CAGCGTTGTGGGATGCTGTTGGCATTAATGACGCCATGTAAAATAAAAGTATTATTTTTGACATCTTAGAATAACCCCTACCACTATCCACATGGTTTGGGCAGGCCCTCATTCAGCAGTGGATTGAGCAAGGGCTGAACATGGCCATTGTATCATGAACACAGTGGTTATTATAAACCCGTGAGGAACTCCACAGCAAATTGTGTTGCAGTTAAGATGCCACCTTTGTATTTCTGGGCCCTCGTTAGTGAATGTCTGTGCATCACACTGATGGGAACAGTTGTGGCCTGGGCTGGATTAGAGAATGGAGAAGCCCATCTATGCGATAAAGCGTACGTACAAGGTCGTGCTCGTTACACACAAAGTGCTTGCGACAATTAACTAGAATACCCTGTTGATCTCGTGGAGCATAAACTATCACGCAAACTCCGGTCATCCTCGCAGCGGTTTTGGATAACGGTCGAAAAAAAGACGGTCACCGCATCAACGTACTTTCAGATGCGCTTCTGCGGCCGTCTGGAACGCTCCTCCTTCCCATGTTAGGAAGCCACCGAAGCTTTGCACTTTTAAAGCATCTAAATTGAAAACTCATTTCTTTCGAACTGCTTTTTGTGTTTAGTTTTTTGTCCTTCCCCCGTACCTCTGATGAGCACTACTGGCTACATACGGTGCGAAAGAAGTTCAACACACACGCACACCAAGGCCCTGGGCTACAAACTTAAAAGCGTTCGACAGCTGCTTCACGTTACGGGGTGGATCATTCCATATTTATACAGTTAACCGAAATTCTGTCAGTGAACTCGGTTGTAAATATGCCGTGATTACTGTCCGTTATTTAAACAAATTATGCAATTTATGTTTTATTTAAAGAGAGGAGAGCCCGAGGAAGTTAACTTGTTCTTCAAGAGCATTCTGGGCCATCGTTGTTTTGGCTACATATGGTGCGAAAGAAGTTCAACATACATCCATACTCGACAGAAGTTAGTCGTAGGATTATTTCTACTACGCTTGTTTACCCAGGAAAGCCTCGCCGAGTCTCTACACACTTTCTCGGGAGGGTCCTGCCAAGTTTTTTTCGCAGGAGTGGAAATGTTGCTGTGTGGAATCCCAATTGGGTAATTTGTAATGTGAAGTGATTTTTTTCCCCATTGTGATGTTTAGCCATGACTAGTTGCATGGTATGGGGTTTTTTTTAACCAAGGGAGGAAACTGGAGAACCAAGTGGAAATCCACGCAGAACAGGGGAGAGAGAACATACAAATTCCACTCAAAAAGGTGTAAGTGATGGTTAGAAATCGAACCCAGACCCTTTAGGCTGTAAGGCGCGAGTGTCACCACTGCGAAACACATGCTGCCCTACTGCATTTAATAATAATAAACAATTATAAATATGACAGCGATGCAAAATACCTCCTTTGTTAACGCTGTTACAGAATGGTTAACATCTGCCCTACAGCAGATCAGGGGATTTGGTAATTCCCCATAGACATTGCCATATCGTGGCAGGAATCAAATGATCTATTCTATCCAAACAGCGCCATTGCCAGGCAGGGTCATGCGGCTCTCGAACCACTTATCAAGAAGGAAAAACCAACAGATGTTGTTGAACTAAGCAGCTAACCAGTGTTGCTTTAGAATTCACCAAGTCTGCTACCTTGTGTCCATCACTAATGCGGCGTAAAGTATGTTTGCAGGCACTGTGTGCATGCTACCGTATTCTCTGTATTACACGACACGATTTTTCTCCCCGTGTATTTTAAAGCAACAAGTGTGGAAGTGCATCCGATGAATCCGGTAGCCGTGTGCGTGGCCAGATTTCCACATAGTTACTCACGCCAGGGACAAGTTTTGCAGGTGCCTGTTATCTTCAAAAGCGTCTTACAATTCGGAGAATACGGTAAATGCAAATGCATTCTCCACGTCCTAAGTGCGAGTAAGGAAAAGAGTCGTGCTTGTCGCCTTGCCGACACGTGTCATCGTTGTTTAAATATAAATACACCATCACATCATCATCACATCATTACGATCTAAGGGCAGGATAGCCCGTAGGTGTCCACTGCACATGTTGTCATTTGTTTACACTTTCCTCTCCGTCTACTGCGCCAATGCACTCAAGTAGCTGGCCGCATCTCTCTGGCACCAACCTCTTGTGATGTCGTCATCAAGACGTTCTCTGTTACGTCTTCCTCTCTTGCCGGTTCATTACATTTTTCCGAACAACAACAACAACAACAACACGTTTAATGTTCCTAGTGTTGTCCATCCTACATACAACCACAATGAATCAGCAATCAAGGTGTGTTGATGAGAAAGGGGTGTTTAGGGGTATTGCTGCTGCACGATGCCTGATTACCAACCACACAAGGGCGGTGCTGGGTAAGTGAGATTCATGAGCGAGGTCGCTGTGCCAAGCTGTAACACCTGACTGAGTGTTACTGGAGATGAGACATCAATTTCCCCGTCAGCGGCACGTATCATGTTCCTACGCGTGTCACCGTAGCCCCGCTCCATCATAACTCATCAAACCCTGACGGCAGGAAACCAGCCAAACGCATTCTAACAAACAACACGCAGTTGGTAATGTTAACGCTATTATTATCCCAATACATCTACGCTTGTTTGCCCAGGAAAGCCTCACTGAGTGTCACGACTCTCTTTCAGGAGACTTCTGCCAAGCTTTCCCAGTGGGTGGGCCATGGTGGTATGTGTAGTGGTATGTGTAGTCCCAATTGAGTAATTTGCAGGTACACTTGTTTGAGGATTGGGATCGTGCTTATTGCCAGTGGGTATTGCACGGTTGTTTTAGCTTTGTGAGGAAAGCTTAGAAGCTGGAGGAAACCCATGCAGAACAAGGAAAACACAAATGCCACACAGCATGGGTCAGAAATCGAATCCAGGCCGTTCTTGCTGTGAGGCGTGAGTTTTACCACTGGGCCACGCTGCACCGCAGCTCAAATTGCAGATTCAGAATATAAATGTTGTGCAAGATTGACACAACTGAGCTGGGTGATGCTAAGAAACGAGGGTTTCGCCTCACCGTGTGTGCTATAACATAGATCTGCTGTAGGTGACCTAGGGTTGAGTTTTGTACAGAGTGACAATTTATCTCTTCCTTAACTCGCCGCTACCAGTCCTGCATCCCCATGTTTCATTGAACTAAGTGTGCAGCGCCGGGCAGGCTCAGGAGGAATATTACGTTCTCTCCACGGGATGCATTTCCCTCCCCACACCCACCCACCCACTCTGCATTGCCCTCCGTGGCCCCGTAACTGACTCCAGTGTGGCGGGCGCCCAGGTGAGGAATCCAGATGAGGTCAAGAGGTGTTTGGGCAGCGATTATGTACGAATGTTTTTTTTTACAAAACCAAAATAGAAACGTACATTTGAGATGTTGATTCTTCTTCTTTATTTTATTTGCGTCATAATTACCGAGTTGAGATTTTTTTCCCGCGCGTCCGATTAGCGCGTTTGACTATGTATGGGGCAAAAGAAGTTCAACATGAATACATAAATTCTGGTAATTATAATCAGATAAAATGTCGCAATTCAGGGTAAAATTTGATTCAAGAATCGATTATTTTAATTGCTTCCCATTTGTTCCATCTCGTTTGGATATTTTAATTTCCTCGAGACGAAGTGAAACATTGGCCCATACCTTGCAGGCACCATAAATAACCAATTCCTACACACACATCTTATTGCATGTACTGTGAGTATAAATGTCTGTCTGGATCAAGTGAAATTATTCATCGATACACGCCTACCCGTTTGATGGAGTGTCCATCGCCTGTGAATCAAATCACGTTTAAAAGTCGCAAAGCTGGAAAGTAGCCAAATTAGACCAAATACCAAATTGGACTGTGCTTTTTTGTGCAGTCATTGGTGACTGAGCTGTGACCATCGATCCATTGCACTGGAGAGATCCCTACAGAACCCCGGGACTCGGCCGAGTCCAGGTCTTCGTTTTGATTCCTGAGTCATCTGGCAGCCTCCTCGTAACAACCGATTCTAGTCGATGAATTCAGCCTTCGCTAGATGCTTACCGCTCAATAACCCAAAGAGAGGGCCCGGTGCGCATCTGGTGTATTGATGAACAAAATAAACACGCACAATGTAACGGGCATTGGGGTAAATACCCCAATGCTGGACATTACCTGCAAATTACTGAATTGGGATCACACACAGCAGCAGGAGAATCGCCCCCCGTCTGACAAAACAGATACATGGCGGGTCCTTCCACAAAAAGAGTCTTGAGACTCGGTGTGGATGCTTGGGTGAGCGAGCGTCACGATAATAATAATATGAACTATCAACTATTTTTTATTTTACCATGTAAGGCCCACTGAGCTATGTAGCTCTTTTCCAGAAGCAACCTGGCCACATGTGATAGCTCAACGAAGTGGCTTATCACGTGGAAAGGTCTAGCAGCCAAACACTCTAAACGCGTGTTACTAAACGTGAAAGGGAAACACCCAGAGGACCCACGAGCAGAGAGACATGCAAACTCCAAATATACAGCAGCAGGCGTCAGGGTCGGGATGGAACCCACGACCTCCTGCACACCAGGCGAGGTAGTCAACATCTCCTAGCCAGCGTGAAGATGATGAGAGACACGCAAACTCCAAATCTACAGCAGCAGGCGTCAGGGTCGGGATCGAACCCACGACCTCCTGCACACCAGGCGAGGTAGTTAACATCTCCTAGCCACCATGATGATGATGAGAGAGAGAGACATGCAAACTCCAAATCTACAGCAGCAGGCGTCAGGGTCGGGATCGAACCCACGACCTCCTGCACACCAGGCGAGGTAGTCAACATCTCCTAGCCACCGTGATGATGATGAGAGAGAGAGACATGCAAACTCCAAATATACAGCAGCAGGCGTCAGGGTCGAGATAGAACCCACGACCTCCTGCACACCAGGCGAGGTAGTCAACATCTCCTAGCCCCTGGGGCGCCCTCACGCTAGTTGACGACTCAGGGAGGGCGTGGCGTCTCACCAGCGTGCGCCCCTTGTCCGCGGCCAGGGCCCTCAGATGCAGCAGCGTCCGGCGGCGACGGCGGCGAAGCGACTGCCACGGCTCGGCCCACGAGTCGTTCAGCAGCATCTCCGCTCCCGTCATGCTCATCTGGGCTCGTACACGAAGACAGAGAGGGCCTTTGACACAGTGCTCCTCGCTGCAAGGGTCATGGCCCACTGGTGGCCCCCGGTGGCCTTGAGTGCGGCCTCTGACGAGCGACCCCTGACAATACACAAAATGAAGTGAAAACAACCCCCATCATCATCATCGTGCTGCTGTCAAACCCCAATGGTTTCAAATGTGTGGCTGCCCTCACACTGATGATGTCTTATTGGTGAAAGTGGCCCCCATCTGAGAATTAGTGAAAAACACGGCTCTAACAGATTGCCTTGAACGGTAGGTAAGTACATTGGTAACTGCGCAACTCTTATAAACTACTGTATAGGTTATAAGCTCTATTAAACTGTTTTGTCTTGTATTTTCTATTGAACTGGTTAAATGTCTCTAAAGGGTCTCGAATATCACGCAGCGGCAGTGAGTTCCAGGCTGATGAACCGCTGAGTAGGTGAGTGGGTGGGTGGGTGAGTAGGTGAGTGGGTGGGTGGGTGAGTAGGTGAGTGGGTGGGTGGGTGAGTAGGTGGGTGGATGAGTAGGTGAGTGGGTAAGTGGATGGGTGGGTGAGTGCGTGGGTGGGTGGGTGAGTGCGTGGGTGGTGGGTGAGTGCGTGGGTGGGTGAGTGAGTAGGTGAGTAGGTGAGTAGGTGAGTGGGTGAGTAGGTGAGTGGGTGGGTGGGTGAGTGGGTGAGTGGGTGGGTGGGTGAGTGCGTGGGTGGGTGGGTGAGTGAACGGGTGGGGGAGTGCGTGGGTGGGTGAGTGGGTGAGTAGATGAGTGGCACACGGGGGGGGGGGGGGTGGGGGGTGGGTGGCCAGCACCACGACCGGCCGCATTTGTTTTCCCACTGACGATGCTTGCACACCACACCAGGTACTCATTTAAGACTGAGTCTAGGGGAGCGCCATGACCGGTTCAAATATTCGCCAATGTCATTTGTTGTTGAGTGGGAATCGACCTCGGGTCGCCAGCTTCTTTTGCCCAGTGCGCTAAACGTTTACGCCACTGCTCCCCACTCGTCAGCAAACACACACACACACACAGACACGTCCTACCGACAGGCTAACAACACAGCGACAACAGTTGGTATTTATTTACAACGACGTGATACCAACACCCCCTCTACCCAAATGACCTGGAATGCGCCAATCCTGTTAAAACTGAAAAGCTAAGCAATTTGAGCCTGGTTAATGCTGGTATGGGCGACCGTCATGTATAACAGGTATTATAGGTTGCGTTATTACATGATGGGCAGAAAAACGCCATTGCAGCAAAATCCTTGATTTGTACCGTACTTCTATGCTCCCACCGCTGTGCTCCCAGCCTGTGCCAACCGCCAAACACCAGCACGGTGAAGTGTGGTCAAATAACCACCACGACTCCAACGCCGTGGGGATGCCTTCATCCAGCAGTGGATTAAACAAAGCTGTACACGCGCAGCATCGCCACGGCACCCGTGCCAGGCTCGGTGCGCTCTCTGAGGCTCGGCTGGAGAAGGCTCAAGGATAGGAGGTGGTGGAGATGGGCCCAGATGTTGCGTATTAGCACGTAGGAGCGAATGGCGCTTGTGCCAACTGTATCCTCTCAGCTCCGTTTGAAGTGCCAGACCCTCTGCTTCCTGTTATTGCTTCCATGGTGGCTGCTAGCAGCTGCCCAGTCCCATGTTTCGTGCGCCCCGTCCTGGAGGGCCCAGTCACAACCCCGCTGTTACCACACCGCCTCCGCTGGCGCTGGAACTGCGTCCGCAAGTCGGTCATGCTGTTTTGACACCTGAATGAGGCCCAATGAAGATTGCAACGGGCTTGCAGTGGCACAGACAACGAAAGACTCAACGCGTTCCTCAATACGACTGTGACCTTCAACGGACAAGTATAGAATACATTTCGATTTAAAGCTTTCGTGACTGTAGGGATTCATCTTCTTGGTTCTTTCGGTAAAGTCACGTAGAAGGGAAGGAATAAAATAATAAAAATAAAACATAATAAAATAATTCTCACGACGTTTCAGCCACAACGCAAGCAGCCGTCCTCAGGTGAGAATTATTTTATTATTTTTATTATTTTATTACTTTCCTTCTACGTGACTTTACCGAAAGAACCAAGAAGAAGTATAGAATAGGTGACGTTTTGGGAAATGGCCCTTCTGCAGAGCACATGAAATGTCGCAGCTCAGCACGCTGGCTCTGTCACCGGGAATCGTGAACGCCGCAGTTCACGTTTTTAATGTGGTAGTGAGTAGTGAGTACAATCCTACAGGTAGACACGTGTATACATGATGGCACAGTCCTGATGTATTTACTTCTCACACGTGTCAACTCACATCTTGGTGAAGTACGGGGTATTTTACATAAAAAAACTCTATCATCGTTCACATCACACATGCGTCTAACTTCACAACGTTTAGGGGCCGTCCACACATGACGTCACGCGATTTTGTACGATTTGTGACACCCCCCCCCCCCTCGTCACACGGCGTCACAAAAAGTCAGACCACCCCTAAAATATGACGTCACAAACCTCTGCCCCCCCCCCAAACCATATTTCCATTTTGAAAATAAAACCTGCTTCAAATCGCTTTAAACTATTGTAGTACGTATTTAATGTGGCGCTGCACCCTGATGTTGTAGGAGTGTTGTTATAACAATTAGTGTTGTTTAACAATTCTATATTTAGTTAAAGTTGTGCATTTTGATGTGACGTCACATTTCTCAACCCCCCCGCCTCGTCACACATCGTCACAAATGTCTGCCCCCCCCCCCCCCCCCCACTAGGTGCGTGACGTCATTTATGGACGGCCCCTTAGAGCAAACTCACATCACACAGTCATGAATTGTACTGGCTGTAAACTTCAGCATAAGAGGATCATTACGTATCTGGTTGTGTGTTTAGCATCGCAGTAGTGGGATGTTAACTCCCTCGCCTGGTATGCAGGAGGTCGTGGGTTTTATCCCGACTTTGACGCCTGCTGTATATTTGGAGTTTGCATGTTCTCTCTGTGGTCGTCTGCATTATTCTCCGGGTCCTTCAGGATTTTTCCTCCACATTTAGAAGCAAGCGATTACAGAGTATTTGGCTGCTGTGAATTTCCACGTGATAATAAGCCACTTTGTTGAGGTATCATTTGCGGCCAAGTCGTTTCTGAAAAAGCGCTACATAGCTCAGTGGGCCTTACCTGGCGAAATAAAAAGAGTTTCGTTTAATAGTTTTAGGAAGAAAATAAAAACCTATCTACGTGAGAACCTCATTTGCCAGTAAAAATATGATAATTGGTTGTTTACCCTTCTATCTGGCAACAAAACTGACACCTTTTTACAAGGAGTCATGTTTGCATAGACCGCAATACCTGCAGTCATAATACAAACAAAAGAACATAACTCTGATAATGTGCACTGTCCTTGAAGTTGATTGGTCCACACCCGAGACAGCTTTCTTTAGAGCCTAGTCTCACATGTGTTGGACCAGATGACGCCAAAAGGCGCCAAAAGGCGTCATCTGGTCCAACCCATATGAGACTAGGCTCTAAAGAAAGCTGTCTCGGGTGTGGACCAATCAACTTCAAGGACAGTGCACATTATCAGAGTTATGTTCTTTTGTTTGTATTATGACTGCAGGTATTGCGGTCTATGCAAACATGACTCCTTGTAAAAAGGTGTCAGTTTTGTTGCCAGATAGAAGGGTAAAAAACCAATTATCCTATCTACGTGACTTTACCCAAAGACCCAAAGAATATGAATTCCTGCAGTCACGAAAGCTTTAAGTGAAGTTTGAGAAAGCAGTACTTTTGCACGCCCTCCTCGCCGCATTTTCTATCGTTCTCGCTTATCTGTCAAGACGCTGTCTCTAGGGCAGATACTCGGCTACTTTGGGCCATGCGAACGTCATTTCTGCGCTTCGTATACGAACTGAATTTGTGGTCTCTCTCCGACGTCCCCGTTCCCCCTTCACATGCGAAACCTTTTCGGAAAGCGCAGCCCCAATCGCGCGCTTGCTGCACGTGGCTGTAGCGATGCCTTCTGACCATTGTCGGCCCCGGTCATCTGTTTCGAATGGAAATACAAACCGTGTCGAGATGCGCACGGAGGCCGTAGCGAGTGAAGCTTTCAACAGCCCCCCGCCCCCCTAGCCTACTGACATCTTCATCAATTGCCTCCATCAGACCGCTAAAAACTAAACACGTTGTTGCTCTATGGGACCTTTTTTGCCAGGACCAAAATTATGAGAGAAAAAGATGTAAGAATATGCTTTACCCCCTTTCTGGCAATAGAGCAGGTGTTGAGATGTCCAAACACCAGATGCCAATGGTTAATGCAGACCCGATGCCGTGACATCGGTATCCATTTGTTCTTTGAACATCTTAACGCCTGTTTTAGCGCCAGAAAGGGCTAAAGTCTATTCTTATACATATTTGTTTACCTTATTGTTGCTACCATTCTGACATAGTAGGACACGCTTTACTTTGGGGTGTCTTGTCCCTGGTTTTTGGGGAAGATTAAGGAGTAGAATGTGCCAGCCTTACTGGACAAGGTTGTTATTGGCTCTAGATTTGAAGCTTTCGTGACTGCAAGGATTCATACTCTAAGGTTTTTTCAGTAAAGTCACATAAGTAAAAAAAGAAAATTAAAATAAATAAAAGTAAAATAAGTTTTATTAATTAATTTTTTTTTACCTACGTGACTTTACCGAAAAAACCTAAGAGTTGTTATTGGCGTCCTCCAATCCTGGTTTCCCATTTCTGGCTGGGGTTCCCGCTGCCTGAGATTGGCCCTCTGCTTCGGGTTTCCGCCTCTGCGCTCCAACGGTTCTCGCGGCGTGTCTACGACGGCGGCACACTCCTTTCTGAGCTACAAAATTAAGGGCACAATGAAGAGGGGACAGGCTTCATGCCCTAATTAGTCTGCACTAATTAGGGTGGCGCACGCTGATAGGAAACAAAGCCCTCACAGAGTCGGTGGAGGCCATCACGGAACAGTGTGGGCGTGCTTTTGTCTGTCTTTGTTTCGTGTAGGGAGCGGTGGCGCAGTGGTTACCACACTGTGACCTGAGCTTGATTCCTGCTGACGGGCAACATCGGTGATGGAAATCTGAACTGGTTCTGGACCTCCCCTAGGTCGACTCAGCCTTAACTGAGTACCTGGAGCGATGCGTAAACATCGGCACTGGGGAGGCAAAGGCGGCCCAAGACCGGTTCAGATAATCGTCACCGGTGTTGGCCGCGAGCGGGATTCGAACTCAGGCCGCCGGTTTCGCAGCGCATTGTGCTAAACCGCTACACTACCACTTCCCGACCGACAATTCTCAAGTTGGCATCGAGCATACACACTCACGTATGGTCATACAGGATAGGAATATCAGGAGTGGGTACATTTGTGTTCAGAAGTGTGTTCTCCACAACATGCCGTTTTTTTGGTTCAATTCCCAGAAACTGTTTTTCAAGAAACCAGACGCATGAAATTGACATTTTAATTCTGGAAAGTTGGCAGACTAACGATTTGCTATAATTCATCTCACGTGCTGATTAATCTGATCCCAATGCACCATTTATAATGTTTATCACATTTGAATAAGCTGTCCTCTTAATCTGTAGTTTGTTTTATAGCCTCATTAGCCGAGCTCTTTCCTCTGCATTTTCCTGCTCGGACTGCTCCGCAGAAGGACGGGAAGTGCTGTCAGCAAAACACGCAGCTTAATGTACCGAGACTCAAAGGAGACTCTGTGCAGGGGGTTGATTCTTAGCTCGCTGAATGTGTGGGCTGCCGGTCACTAAAAGTGCCCTCTGCTTCACGGTTCATTAGGCCTTTTTTAATAACAAAAACAAACCTTCCACCCCATGAATCAATTACCAACAGTGGGGGGGACGGACGGACTGCTGCGGGGGGCAAAAGGGCTCGCTCCCCTAACGGTTACGGCCCATTCACGCGCCGCCATTCACAGCTGTTGGGCCATGAAGAGATTACAAACCCGCTCGGCACGCACACAAGCAGTGCTCGTACTGCATTGGCATGTCCAGGGTGGTTCTGTGGCAGATATGCCCACCGAGAGACTCTCAGTACGCTTCTAGGGCAATTGTAAGGAGGGATTATAATCGTTAATGTAGCAATCCAAAATTTCTCATCTGCCAATTTTTCTTTCTCTTCGGATTGTTGTTGGATACAACGACCACAAGAATTACTGAGAATTGGAGTCTCACGTGCTTTTGTTGAAAGTGATCAATTTTTGTCACTTGTCTGTGATTCATCCTGATGACCATATAACTTTTCAAAAAAAATCTATATATTTTTTTTTACTCAGCTCAATGTATGCTTAATGTTAGGACGTAAAAATGTGATCAAAATATTGTGATGACAAAATTACAACGGCATAACCTCCTCCATGTAGGCTTTCCCGATACATGAATGAGGCTACATTTTAAAAGCAATATTATTTTTGTGACTCCTAGACATCCAAAATGTCAAGAATAGATGGTTTAGTGGCGGCAAGTCCCCACAAACATGGTTATAATTATTGAGTGTGTGTGTGGGTCAGTGTGTGTGTGGGTCAGTGTGTGTGTGGGTCGGTGTGTGTGTGGGTTGGTGTGTGTGGGTTGGTGTGTGTGTGGGTTGGTGTGTGTGTGGGTTGGTGTGTGTGTGGGTTGGTGTGTGAGTGGGTCGGTGTGTGTGTGGGTCAGTGTGTGTGTGTGGGTTGGTGTGTGTGTGGGTCAGTGTGTGTGTGGGTCAGTATGTGTGTGGGTTGGTGTGTGTGTGGGTCAGTGTGTGTGTGAGTTGGTGTGTGCGTGCGGTAGTGTAACGGTTAACGCGCTGCGCTACAAACCCGGCGACCCGAGTTCGATTCCCGCTCACGGCCAACACCAGTTACGATTATCTGAATATGACCTGGGCCTCCCCTAGGTCGACTCAGCCTCAAATGAGTAGCCTAGTGTGATGTGTAAACATCGCTACTGGGAAAACAAATGCGGCCGGACGTGGTGTTGGCAACCCACCCCCTCAGGTGCTCACGAACAGCACTTGCCCCAACATTCTGTTAAGGCTGGCTATAGGGGGGAATGTTTGTTTTTCTGTGTGCTGGCGTGTGCTGGCGTGTGCTGGTGTGTGCGGGTTCGTGTGTGTGTTTTGGTTGGTGTGTGTTCTCTGCGTGTGGCGTGGTGCGTGTGTTTTAGTGAATGTGTTCTCTGCGTGTGGCGTGGTGCGTGTGTTTTAGTGAATGTGTTCTCTGCGTGTGGCGTGGTGCGTGTGTTTTAGTGAATGTGTTCTCTGCGTGTGGCGTGGTGCGTGTGTTTTAGTGAATGTGTTCTCTGCGTGTGGCTCGGTGCGTATGCCGGTGTGCTCTGCAGGCCGGTGCGGTCACCTGCAGCTGCAGGGGGTTGGCTGGGCGGTCCAGTTTGCAGGTGAGGGGCCCCTCGGTCGCCAGCTCCAGGAGGTAGAGCACAAACTGATCCTTGAGCTTCTCCGGCAGGGCCACCTCCAGCTGGCTGGGCCCCACGCTGGCCGGGCCGCTGTTGCGCAGCTGTCGTCAAGAGTTCACAACGCGCGGCTTTTAGATTAATTTCACAAAAGCAGTTCCATTGCAAAGCCTTTCTCCTCGGGGCGGAGGGGGAGAATCTCGGCAGTGGTGCGGCAGGAGGTGCCCGCTCACCTCGTAGACGTGCAGCACCAGCGGCCCCACCTGCTCCTCGGTGCTCAGCTCGGCGCTCGGCGGGGCCCAGTCGGGCAGGGGCAGCACCAGCTGGGGCGGCAGAGACACCCTGCGAGGCACGCACGCTCCCCGGTGACTACCAAACACGCGTGTGGTGACCATCGCTCGCCGATTCATCCGTTGTGACGGGGGGCAGGGTGGCAGCAGCGCAGTAGCGACACTCGCTCCACACAGTAAGAAGGGGCCTGGGTTCGAATCCCGACCTGGGTTAATTTTCTGTCGGAAATTTAGATGTTCTTTCTTCCCCTGTTCTGCGTGGGTTTCCTGTGGGTTCTACGGTTTTCTGCCGTAGCTGAAGACACTTGCATTGGCCGATCGACCAAATTCAGAAAAATTACCCTCAAATCACTCAACTGGGAGTACACACAGCAGCAGCAACATCGCCTCCTACTGTGCGAACACTTGGCAGGACCCTCCTGAAAATGAGTCTTGAGACTCGGTGAGGCTTTCCTGGGTAAAGGAGCGAAATAATGATAAGAAATCCTTCGGCTCTCAATACATGCATTCCGTGTAAAACAATGTGTCAATATTAATTTCCACATACGGCAATGTATTTACAAAGATTGTACAAACCAAACAGAAAAACGTATAGATAATGCAATTATGTGTGCATGTCAGAACTTATTTCGCATCGTACGTAGGCAATCGGAGGCGCAGGGGAAGAACAACAAACTAAACGCAAAAAGCAGTTCGGAAGAAGTGGGTTTTCAATTTAGATTTAAAAGTGCATAGCTCCAGTGACTTCCTAATATCGGAAGGAAGAGCGTTCCAGATGACCGCAGGGACGCATCTGAAAGCGCCACGCGATGCAGTAACCGTCTTTGTTCGGTGGTTCGCCAAATAATAATAATAATAGCCGGAACATATCAAACCGGCAACACAAACGAGACGGTACGAACACGGAAACAAATTAGAGCCTTTAACAAAACAAATCGCGACCGGGTATCGTGAAACTTCATCGACTGGGTCATCGCACGCCTCATGATAGACGCACGGGGAAGCGCGCCGCTAAACTCACGCACACGCTGCAGATGCTCTCACATTGCTGTGCGACAATGACGGTTCACGTTGGCCCCAATAAATGAATTAGGGTCAGCGGAAATGTGTGTGTGTCCACGTGTTAGTGTGGAGCGCAGTGGGTAGCGGTGGTGCAGCGGTTACCGTGCTGCACTACGAACCCGGTGACCCGAGTTCGATTCCCTTTCATGGCCAACGCCAGTGACGATTAACTGAACTGATCGTGGGCTTCCCCTAGGTCGTCTCAGCCACTGGGGATACAAAGGCGGCCGGGCATGGGGGCTGCCCACCCACCCCCTCTCGTGCCGTGCCGGCCCTCAAAGGCGCTACAGCACTTGCCCCAAAAGCCTGCTGAGGCCATACGGGGGACTGTTGTCTTTGCACTCGCGAGGGTGGGACGGCGTGAAGCTGTGAACTCAACGGGGCAGAGGCCAGGCCGTGTTGCTTTAGCTCCGCGCAGCGAGAAGCCGACGCAGCGAGAAGCCGGCAGAGCGAGAAGCCGGTGCGTCTTACCCACGGAGGTCGAGTTGAGCGGAGACCCTGACGGGCAGCGTCACAGCCTCAAACACGTGCTCGTGGGCCTCCTGGTTCGCACTGCACAGGCAGGGAGACAAGGGGGCGACGCGGATGAGGATGCTCGCGCGGCGTGAGGCAACAGGGACTCTGCGGCGGTGGTGGAGGGGAAATGTTGTCTCCGTTGCCGAGCACGCAGAGAGTCGTGGATTTGATACCGGACCATGACGATGCCTGTTGTATATTTATAGTTTGCGTGTTTTTCTCTCTCTCTCTCCCAGTGGTGGTCGCATGGATTGTTCTTAGAGTACTCCCGTTTTTCCCTCCACATTTAGAAATACGCGTTCAGATGATGTGGCTGCTGCTATGAAATCCCACAAGCGGCGATGATGATGATGAAGCCACTTCGATGAAGCCAGGTTCCCTCTGACAAAGAGCTCATAGCTCAGTGGGCTTTTTCTGGTAACATAAAACAACTAGATCAATTAGTTTAGTTTATATCGATGAACCAGCACTTTGGCATGATGTGACAGAGATGACAGAGAACCTAAACATAGTCGTGACTGAACAATCGTCAGGCCCGATTCCAGAGCAGATCGGAATGCGGTGCAGCGGAAACGTTCCCCACACACATTTCGCTCATTGCATTGAGGAACTTGCCTCGAGGAGGTCGTTCATGTGAGCCAAATGAGAAGAGCCCAAAAGCGCCCCCACAGATATCAGGCTAATCACCGTAGAGCGGCAGGGTCGGGTGACACACACACATTACACACACACACATTACACACACACACATTACACACACACACATTACACACACACACATTACACACACACACATTATACACACACACATTACACACACACACATTACACACACACACATTACACACACACACATTACACACACACACATTACACACACACACATTACACACACACACATTACACACACACACATTACACACACACACATTACACACACACACATTACACACACACACATTACACACACACACATTACACACACACACATTACACACACACACATTACACACACACATTACACACACACACATTACACACACACACATTACACACACACACATTATACACACACACATTACACACACACATTACACACACACAATTACACACACACACATTACACACACACACATTACACACACACACATTACACACACACACATTACACACACACACATTACACACACACACATTACACACACACACATTACACACACACACATTACACACACACACATTACACACACACACATTACACACACACACATTACACACACACACATTACACACACAACATTACACACACACACATTACACACACACACATTACACACACACACATTACACACACACATTACACACACACACATTACACACACACACATTACACACACACACATTACACACACACACATTACACACACACACATTACACACACACACATTACACACACACACATTACACACACACACATTACACACACACACATTACACACACACACATTACACACACACACATTACACACACACACATTACACACACACACATTACACACACACACATTACACACACACACATTACACACACACACATTACACACACACACATTACACACACACACATTACACACACACATTACACACACACACATTACACACACACACATTACACACACACACATTACACACACACACATTACACACACACACATTACACACACACACATTACACACACACACATTACACACACACACATTACACACACACATTACACACACACACATTACACACACACACATTACACACACACACATTACACACACACACATTACACACACACACATTACACACACACACATTACACACACACACATTACACACACACACATTACACACACACACATTACACACACACACATTACACACACACACATTACACACACACACATTACACACACACACATTACACACACACACATTACACACACACACATTACACACACACATTACACACACACACATTACACACACACACATTACACACACACACATTACACACACACACATTACACACACACACATTACACACACACACATTACACACACACACATTACACACACACACATTACACACACACACATTACACACACACACATTACACACACACACATTACACACACACACATTACACACACACACATTACACACACACACATTACACACACACACATTACACACACACACATTACACACACACACATTACACACACACACATTACACACACACACATTACACACACACACATTACACACACACACATTACACACACACACATTACACACACACACATTACACACACACACATTACACACACACACATTACACACACACACATTATACACACACACATTACACACACACACATTACACACACACACATTACACACACACACATTACACACACACACATTACACACACACACATTACACACACACACGTGTCAACTGATTCACACGGCTCACAGCCTCCTTGCAGACCCTTTCTGCAAAGCGGGGAAATCATTCTGCAAAGTGCGGACTGGGCCGTGCAAAGCTGCGGGATGAAATCTACAGAGATGGGAGCGGCTGCAGCGCGTGCGGAATAGCTCTTGCGCTTCGTAAACGACTCGGTGCTTCCATGAGTCCCGGCGAGTGAATTGGGAGGAGGCTTGGAAAGCCACAGCAGGGAGCACCACTGCACCCCTCCCGAATAAATATAAACAACTCAACACCTACATTTTTTTTATTATTATTTATATTTTATTTTATTCACTTTATTATTATTTTTTCTATCCACGTTACCGAAAGAACCAAAGAATGTGAATTCCTGCAGTCACGAAAGTTTTAAGTCAAAATTTAACTCAAAACATCCACGATCAGCTCCGAAGAAGGGGGCCCTTTGCCCAAATCGTCACCTATGATATAGTTTTTATTTTATTTTAATGCCAAAGTATTATTGACGAATGTGTCGAATTTATTTTAATTAAGTGTTCCACTGCCAACGCGGCTGCATCACCAAACATTGCGACCAACACGCATGGATAGGACGCAAGCGTCGTTATTTAACCAGGAGATGAAATGAACCCCAACGGTTGACTGAAGCTTGACCGACTGATTGAATTCTAAATTATTTTAGAGACGAGGCAGAGACATCTCGTCGAGCCCACGTTGATGACTGGAGAACACCCAAAAAAACCTTTTTGGGAAGAAAAAAAAGTGTTGGCCACCAACAACAGCGGACTGCTTTCACTTATTGAGCAGGGTCATCGGAACGTTGTACAATGGCAAATACACAACCATCATCAGCGAACCGGGTAATTCACCTCCCACAGCGCATGATCCTATCAGCAAACGCTAGGCCGCTACCGTTTACGACTTGTATCTAAATAAACATGGACAGGGTCACGAGGTCATCGCAACCAATGCCACTGATAGCAACACAAGTTGCCATCCTGCAACTGTTGCTACAATCGACCACTGAGGTCTGAGGTGTGCGGGCTCAGTGTGAGGCCAGTGGACGACCATCCCAAACCACGACCATCTACTTCAACCGTGGAATGTTCACCTAAAGGCCCAACGTAAAAACCATCGCCGCAGTGGCTGCATCGATGGCTTTTTGCCGTGACGCACTTCATTCTGGGGGGGGGGGGGGGGATTTAGAACTCATTTTGTCAGAATAGAGGAGCCTCTCAATCGCCTCTCACCGCGTTCAGGATTCGGCATTTTCACGTAGAGAAACTCACACCATAAACTGACGGTCACTCCAAAGTTTCAGGCCGTGTCCCAGCTCCATTCTAACTCCTCCCTCCCTCTGTGGGGAATGCATTCAGCCGAATGCAATCCCCACAAATGGCGGAATTCATCTGTGTGTAAATCTGGGAGCAGTTCCACCTCAATTTCCTCGAGGCCATCAGTCCACCACAAGGAGCCGAACGATGCCCCCTCGGGATGCTTAAGTTGGGCCTCCATCTTCCACACGTGTACATTTAAACTAAAGGGAAACCATTTAAAATTCAAGCTGCATCACTTATGTGCCGAGTCCGGTAACTCTCGTGCTAATGTCAATGCAAATACATTGCAGTAGGTATCATATTGTGACGAAGATAACAAAGATAATCGTGTGTAAAAGCAGCTGGTATGGGCATCTGCTAGGCAGCCTCAGCATCAATGAGGTAATAGCTCTATTTTTCAGAAGCGACCTGACCAAAAATGATAGCTCAACAAAAGTGGCTTATCATGTGGAAATTTTAAGCAGCCAAATAAACTCAACGCATTTTGATTCTAAATGTGTTGAGGTAAATAACCAGGAAAAAATACACATGACCACTCCAAATATACAGGCGTTCGGCTCGTGATCGAACCCACCACATCTTTCATACCAGACGAGGGAGAAAACATCTCACCAAGGGGAGCATCTAAAGTGTACACGTGAACTTAGCAATCTTCATCAACATCAAACATGTCTCAGAGTGCGGTGAGTGGCGAGTGGCGAGTTTATTTAGCCGCAGGACAACGGAGCCGCCGCCGCGAGAAACTTTGATTCCGAAGCACAGAATGGAGGCTATGGCTTGGAGACTTGCGGCACCAGCAGCTAGAAATAACAAACAGGGCCCTGCGTGCGGGAGAGGGTCTCGAGTTAAACGTACCCACTGCTGACAACACTTCCATGTGGACGTGGTTCATTTATTTTTGTATTTTGGCTTAACAGCTGAAAAGTGTAATCAGTGTGTTATTCCTCTGCTGCCAACTCGAGTCATATCAAAAGGAATATTCTGTGTGTCGGGACGTCATCCGCATTGCGTTACAAATGCAATTGGTATTTTCAATGGCGAGATGTTAATGATCTCGCGTGGTATACAGGAGGTCATGGGTTAGATCCCGACCCTGACGATGCCTGTATATTTGGAGTTTGCCTGTTCTCTCTCCCCATGGTTCCGTGGATTTTTCTCCGGGTCCTCCGTTTTTTTCCCTCAACGTTTATAAACGTGCGTTTAGCGTATGACTGCTGTAGATTTCCACGTGACAAGACACGTCGTTGAGTTATCATTTGTGGTCAGATCGCTTCTGAAAAAGAGCTACATAGCTCAGTGGGCCTTAACCTGGTAAAAAATTTATTGTAAATAGTTTTAGTACACCGTATTGCCAAATCAATAAGCACAATGTCTGCCTCCTTTCTCTATGTCTCTCCACATGAAGATATAGAACATATATTTACAGATTCCGTCATCTGAGATTGCATTCTTTCAGCATTGATTTAATACAGCACTCCCAGAAAGCCGTGCGGCTGAAGGTATGTGTGAAAACAAATCCATACTTTTCTTTCCTAATGTGGAGAGACAGATATGGGAAGATGCAGTCTCCTTATTTCGTCACTTATATTGCAAAACGGACTTGGTGATTATTTTGCGACAGGACGGGCCACGTGATTTAGTCCTGGAATGTCGCCGAACAACGCAAGCCCCCGAGTGTGATTGTCAACGAAAATCAGACTCATTTTGATTTCCAAAAGAGGCTTGGAAAATCGTCTCCTGCAGCTACATATCAAAACTTACAATATGTAAAGGAAGTGGCGTTTTCTCAGGGCATTAGCAAATCCGCTGGTTTCCCACCAATAACAAATACACTGTAATTTCTGCAAACAAGAAATATTAAAAGCGTGCCGTGTGCAGTAAAGCGGATGTTTAGGAACCCGCATCATTCCCGAGAGGACGTAGCTGCGACTTTATTTCATAACCTAAATCTAGCAGTTACACTCACAACCAGATTTGTAAGACCCATGGGCTTAGCGGCTAAAATGTTGTTTTATTTGATTTCCCCCCCCCCCCCCCCCATTGTGAAAGAGACCTTTGTACTTTCGTCTGTGTATTTGAATTGCAATAATTCAATTATTATTATTTGGTTCTTTCGGTAAAGTCACGTAGATAGAAACATAATAATACAAAATGAAGTGAATAAAAATAATAATAAATAAAGTGAAAAAAAATGCGAATGTCGACTGCAGTAGCCTGGTTCTTAATCGGAGTGAGTGTACTGGCATCTATAATGTAGACTGTAGGCTGGTTATTAAGCTGGGTGAGCGTACTGGCAGTCTATAATGTATACTGTAGCCTGGTTATTAACCTGAGTGAGTGTACTGGCAGTCTATAATGTAGACTTTAGCAATGGTTATAAAGCTGGGTGAGTGTACTGGCAGTCTATAATGTAGACTGTAGCCTGGTTATTAACCTGAGTGAGTGTACTTGCAGTCTATAATGTAGACTTTAGCAATGGTTATTAATATGGGTGAGTGTACTGGCAGTCTATAATATAGACTGTAGCCTGGTTCTTAACCTCAGCGAGCGAACTGGCAGTCTATAATGTCGCCTGGTTCTTAACCTCGGTGAGTGTAATTCAATTACGCTTCCCACATATCCAAGCTACCTTTCGGGCTCTTGGCCACTTAAACAACGGGCACCCCCCCACCCTGCCCGCCCGTGTCTCCCAGCGTGCACGTCCGGTCACGTGCGCGCAGCACGCGCGTGCTCCGCTGCGCGTCACAATGGCTCCCACCTCCTGACGTGCACCTCGAACGTGACGTTGGGCCCCGCTTGCTCCAGCCGCTTGACGCTGAATCGCAGGCCCAGCGCTATCTGCAGCACGATGGGAAGGGACACGGGGGGAGGAGGGTAGCGGCGGTTAGGGGCCGTCCATAAATGACGTCACGCGATTTTTGACGATTTTTGACCCCCCCCTCCTTCGTCACACGGCGTCACAAAAAGCCAGACCCCCCCCCTCAAATATGACGTCACAAAGCTCTGCCCCCCCCCCCCCCAAATATAAAACATGCTTCAAATCGCTTTAAACTATTGTCATTGTAGTGCGTATTTAATGTGGCGCTGCACTCTGATGTTGTAGGAGAAAACATTCATTAAAAAGTCTATTTAATTAAGTAGAACGTGTTGTCTATATTTATTTAAAGTTGCGCATTTTGATGTGACGTCACATTTCTCACCCCCCCCCCTCGTCACAAATGTCTGACCCCCCCCCCCCCAGGTGCGTGACGTCATTTATGGACGGCCCCTTAGGTAAACATGGGATAAGTCCTACTGTAAACGAAGCCATTAAGGTATTACCGCGTTGTTATTGCTCGCACATTCGATTACATGTCGGCCCTGCCTCTGGGATTGACGTCTCCTGCGATTGAGCGGGGTCAGCCGCGAGCCAATTTCCTGCCACGAGGCAGCCGCTTGTGATTTCCCGTGGAGAGAGGAGACGGCGAGCAGAGGCACGGCCCCACGTGCGGGTGGCCCCTCCTCCACGCGGCGCCTCTCCGGGTGCCCTCGTCTCAGTCCGACGCGGGGGTTAGGGGGCGCCACGGTGGCTGGGGAGATGTTGACTGCCTCGCCTGCTATGCAGGAGGTCGCCGGTTCGATGTTGACCCTGACGGTGCATGTATATTTTGGACTTTGTATGTTCCCCCCCCCCCCCCCCGTTGTGGATTTGTCTCCGGGTCCCCCGGTTTTTCCCCTCCACATTTAGAATCAACATCACGCGTTTTGAGTACTTGGCTGCAATACATTTCCACGTGGCGATAAGCCACTTCACTGGGTGATCGTTTGTGGCCAGGTCGCTTCTGAAAAACAGCTGAGTGGACCTTACCTGGTAAAATAAAAAAAAATAGTTTAGTTTAGGTTTGTCGCCCGGTGGTCTTCACTTCACGAACATTTCGTGCTCAATTCATGTTTCGTTTTCAAAGTCTCAACTTTGGGCCGCGTTGACAAATCGACTGGCTTTCCGGGAGAAGTCTCCATTATTCAGAAACACCTGCACTTTTGAAGAGCATGCAAGTAAAATAATCGGGGTTCACCAATTCACCCAGCGAATTGATGAAGTCACCATTCTAGGCCTGGATTTGATAACAAAAGTTTTGTCTCTAGATTTTACTTTCTCATTTGAATTTAGTTTTCTGTCTCAATGTTGCAACAGATTCCGTTAGCCTAAATGTAACGTCATATAATAGGCACACCATTGAAAAGTAGAGACGTTCTCCACACGCGGTGCAATGAATGCCATCCTGAGTTTTAAGCATCGCTACCGATCGATGGGTCGACGCACCGTGACACTCCTCACGTGTGCGCCGTGCTGGGTCTGCACAGACGTTTACCGGCGCTGTGGAGGCAGCAGCGAGGGTAGGTGGATCACCGCACAGATGGTGCGAAACTCCCTTTCTGTGGGCATCGAGGGGGTGCCGTACCCTGGATCGCTGGTAGAGCAAAGTGCGGATTAATGTCATTTGTGTGGGATAGAGTAGCTGCCCTCTCCGGTTTCCTCCCACACGTATGAACACTCATTATCTGGCTGAAAATGTCTTCATATAGAGAGAACTGCAGAGCTTGGGCCGTTTTTTTCTTGCACCGGCTCACCGCCTGGCTGCCTCGCTCCCTGTGGTTCCTCAGCGATTGTGAGATGAAATTTGTATGAACCACGACGCTATATGAAACTCAAACATTCATATTATTAGTATTTAACATGCAAGACACACATGCATATTAAACTTGACAAAAATCACGACTAAGTATGTTCTATTGAATGCGGCCTTGAAGAGGAACTTTTGTCCGATAAGCCTACATCTGTGACTGCCCGAGTGTGGATAATAATAATCATGATAATAACCTCTATTTTACAAAGCGTCTTTCATATTAAAGTGTCTCAAAGCGCTGTACATAGAGATACAACTACACTCACAAGTATAGATTGAATCTAAGCGAATTAGAAAGCTGTTAATAACCATATCAACGACTACACCCGACATTCGTATAAAATTAAATAAAAACTATGATAAAAGCGATGAAATACGTGGTTTTCAAATCTTAAGTTACAGGCAAAGCCTGTACAAATAGGTGCGTTTTAAGACGTGATTAAAACACGAGTGAAGCAGACTTAGAATATCTAATGGACCGACACGAAACTAATCTCTTTTTAATTTTAAACAAATTTGTATTTAGCCAGGTAAGGCCGCCTACTGAACTATATCCCTCTTTTTCAGAAGCGACCTGGCCACAAATGATAGTTCAACAAAGTAGCTCATCACGTCGAGTAGCAGCCAAATGCTCTAATCGCGTGATGTTGATTCTAAATGTGGATGGAAAAAGGACCCAGAGAAAAATCCACACGACCACAGAGAGTGAGACACGCAAACTCCAAATATGCAGCAGGCGTCAGGGTTGGAATGGAGCCCACGACCTCCTGCATACCAGGCGAGTTAGTTAACATCTCGCCACCGAGTGAGGGATTCCACAATCGCCTGGCTGCAGAAGGCTCCGTCTCCCACAGAACAAGGCAGTCCGCTCTTCGGGACAGGAAGTATTGTCCTCTGCGAGGTGCCAACGAGGAGCCCCAGTGGTGGCTGCGTCACGGAGGCTGCAGGAGACCTGGCGATGACGCGCTGCCAAATCGCCCCCCCCCCCCCCCCCCCGGAGCTCTTTCATCTCAAATCCCGTTGTTCATACTCTCCCGTTCTTTCGGTAAAGTCACGTGGATGAAAAATAATAATAAAATAACACGACGTTTCGGTCGCAACACAAGCGTCCGTCATCAGGTGAGAAATAATGATCGGCTGTTGTGGCTTTAAATAGGCACGGGAGGGGGGGGGGTGTAGAGTCGTGGCTGCAGGAGTTCACGGGGGGGAGAGGGGGAGAGTTTGTGGCGTGCAGGGACCGGTGGGGGCTGGATAAATTAGCATGCCCATGAGCTTGAGTTAGTAAACGAAAACAGCACGGGCGGGTGAGTGAAAATCACAGCAGTCGAAACTTGCCGAGTTGTTTACTGGAATATTGGCCACACTTCCTATGCTGTATGTACGATGGCTCTTTGGCAAAGTGACGTTTGCCACCGACCCTTAAATGTGGAGCAATCCCTGGATTGAAAAAAAATATTATCTTAAAAGTTTCAGTTTTATTTCCTCGTCTGTGGTCGGCTTGCCTTCGTCATCGTCCCTGTGAGTCTGGAACAGTGGCGGAGCACTTCAATTCCCCTCCTCTGTGACAACGGCGAATGCTCAATCCCCCCCGCCTGCGTCTGAACTGCGTCTGAACTACTGTAGCGGGGCAAGGCGTGAATCGCATTTGCATCACGGCGTCACTCGTCACGTTCGCTTGCCACGTGGAGCCTCACCCGAGACTCGAGGCTCTGTTTCAGGAGGGTCCTGCCAAGTTTGTACGATGCTACTGCTGTTGTGGCTGGCTGGCTGTGTGCAATCCAAATTGAGTAACTTGCGGATAATTTTACCAGCGTTGTGAGTGTTTGGGCAACACCAGTCGAAATGTATGTTTGATTTCTATAGGAGGAAACTGGAGAACTCGGAGAAACCTCGTGCAGAACAGGGGGAGAGAGAACTCACACACCCCACAAAGGCACCCGAGTCAGGAATCGAACCCAGACCCTTACTTGCTCTGAGGCACGGGTGTTACCACTGCGCCACCCTGCTGCATGCAGGGTGGGTGAAGCGTAAACTATAAAGAGCAGTAGGACTGTGATGAATAGTCCCATAACAATGTTTTACATGCTGTCAATAGCGGATTTCCTTGCTACACGCCAGCAGAGCACGCACAGTGAGACGTGGAACATATGGCTGTAGCAGAGTAGGATGCACCCCATATAGAGTGCAGAGATCCATCGAGTAAGCAAAGAATTTTGTTCAGTAAACACGGTTAATCTGATTGTGACAGCGAGCGGCCAATCACCCGGCCACTCTCTGGCGAAAAATAAAAGCGTAAAAGAAGCGTTGGAACAATTAAAAAAATGCTTCTCCGAGTCTATTCTGCTGCTCCAATGGCACACATCGCTTACCAGGGCAGGGAGTTCGAGGTGGGAAAAACTTGGTGTCAAGGCCCGGGATTCAGCGCTGGGATTAGAGTCCGCGAGAAAGTGATTTGAGCATGAAATTGTGAATAAAATAAATAAGGTCTTGGTGTCGAGGCTCGGTGTGAGGGCAGGAAGTAGTTCTAGGCGTGATGGATGGCTGCGGATTAAGGCTGTGGGAGTATTGGGAGGAGAGCTTGGGATTAAGGCTGAGGTGATAAATCCAGAGGTGAGCCGTGGGCGAACGCGTGCTGCGGCGATACTTACGCTGCTCTGGCCGGCCATGGGGTTGCCCAGGTCGCACAGAACGCTCCGGGATGCATTCTCAGCCTTGTAGGAGCAGCTCAGCAAAGTCAGCGACTGTGCGGCGTCAGGGGGCGATGGGGTGTGGGGGGGGAAGACCAGGCAGCAGGGTTACAGACGACGCCGCCACCGCCACATGCTCGGGGAATTGTTTGTTTTAACAGCAAGTTGTGTTTGAAATACAACTGCTTTTTATGATTTGGTTTTTTTTTTCACCAGGCACATGCATTATTATTGTTTATTGTATCAATACGCACGGCTCTGTTTGACTGGGGAAAAATTTGTCATATTTAGTTTTATCGACCAATGTAGGAGGACTGTTTTTTGTCAAAATTAGTTCAAGCTGCAAAACCCAGACTGGCATCGACTTTCCGAGTCTCATCAGCAGGGTGTGGCCAGCTATTTATTTGTACGCGTACGAGTACAACAGTAAGTCATACCAACACCGCGCATTCACATTGCACCGACATACAGCATTCCCTCGTTATTCGCGAGGGATATGTTCCAGAGATGCTCACGAATAGTAAATTTCACAGACAATGATAATGGCCTTAAATAAACAAATACATACTTAAATAATACATATCATAACTTTATCACATCACATTCTCTCCCATCACTTTATCTCATTCAATCTATCTCATCACTTTGTCGCATCACATTCTATCTCTCTCTCTCTCACTCGATGCAGTCGTGTAGAGTTCCAGACAGCCAAAAATCGCGGATGGCAAGTTCGTGAGCAACCATGGAATACTATACACGACAATACGTGAAATCGTGGAACAGCGTTAGAATGCAAACGGCACCATGACGTACGATTCAGCAGAAAGTCAAAATAAGACGCGCAGAAAACACAAACGCATAAAAGTTACCCAGCTCAGCAACAATCACACACTTCCCTTTGGCGAGGCGAATGAGAATCAGAATCTTTATTTATCTGGAAGAACCCGATAAGCTATGAATCTCTATTTCACAGTCGCTTCACGCTGCACCGGACCCTTCGGTGCAGCCGTGCGACACTTTGCAACTCACAAAGGTTATTTTACACTATGAGACCTCCTTTACCAGTGGCAAAATATAGTAATAGGTTTTTATAATTTCAACTGGTACAAAAACTGACACCTTTATACAAGGCATCATGTTTGCAATAACCACAACACAAGCAGTCAAAATGCAAACAAAAAGAAACAACTCTGATGATGATAATGATGATATGCATAAACAACTCTGATGATGATAATGATGATATGCATATCATCATTATGTTTCTTTTTGTTTGCATTTTGACTGCTTGTGTTGTGGTTATTGCAAACATGATGCCTTGTATAAAGGTGTCAGTTTTTGTACCAGTTGAAAGGGTAAAAACCTACTACTAAAGGTTATTTTATCTCCGCCACACGTTCGGGCATCGGAGTGGCGGCCCAGAGGTCAGCAACCAAGAGGAAGACAAAGAGTCAAATGGCGGGGCACTGTTAGTGTGGATGATACACTTCCAGTGGAGCAGTGGCACCCAGCACTGGATGTAATAACCCCAAGCACACTCTCCGATGTTCACATCATACGAGCGGACGGTTGTTTATTTGTTCCCAAGTGTGGAGGATTCCCGATGAGAGGCGGCTTGGGTGTCTTGGAGGGACGTTCTCTGCTCGTGCCCCGAGTAATTGTGGGCCGCCAGATGCCAGGACCACTTTTGAAATATCACCGGCCAAATAACTGTCAAAAGGACATGTTTTTAATACGAACGTGCAAAAGGGTCATTTTTACACATAAACGAAGGATCGTAAGCAACGCGGCCTCACAAGTGGAGCTCACGTCTCCCTTATCGCGGCAGCCAGAGCCGCGAGACGAGAGAGGGCAGAACATCTCCCACGCGGGAAGTCATTCCTCGTCTTTTCTCTTTTCAGCCAGACTATCGTCATAAATTCTGTATCCCCCCCCCACCTATTTAAACTTTTATTTTCTGCGAAAACACATATCTCAAGCTCTTACAATTACTTTATAGTGGCCTAAATCAGGCAGGCTGTGAAAAGTTCAGTCTGGCTATAAGATGATGACTGCAGTTAAAATTGTATTTGGCCTGTTAGTGGTACGGGGAAAAATGTTAAATGCACAATGTAATCATATACAGCAATGCTGCTACCCTCATTACTAAATACCATTGGATTTAGAGATCCATTCGGTCTCAAGAACAGAGTTGTTTTAGGCAATACACGTTGGCACTTTATGACCTCCCATCTATTTTAATAAAGTTTTTCTCATTTTCTAACATTAGACATGTGCGCGTGCGCAGACAGAATGCAGTCCCTTGTGCGCTCATGTTTGGTTTCATTAGCGGCACATTAGTTGAAAACGAGGGCACAGTAGACGGATGATAAACATGCGAGCCATCTGATTTGGCTGGACGGAGAGGAAACTGCTGCTCTTGCAGCAGGCACAGCTGCGCCGTAGAGCTGAGGGCAGTTACACACCCGGAGGTCACACGGAGCCGCGCCGAACTCCGTTAACCACTCCGCTGAAATTTATTTCCTACCGCAGGAGGGAGGGATGGATTATTACATTAATGGAGCAATCGGCGTGTTTTGTCCTCGCGGAGAGAGCGGCTATTGTTGACACTGAACAGTGAGGGTGGACAAAGAGGACTGATATATGTTTGGCAATAACATTTCATTCCCGTATTTTGGTACTGGCAAAGGAGGTCCCATGAAACAACATTTAAATCTTTGTGATTGTCTTTTTCGACACTGTCTTTGTCTTTTCGTGAGCCAGGCGAGAGAGCTCTGAAAATTATTTTTTTGCGAGGGCCACGGGACTAAGCCGGGCTATACAGTGTACTTTCAAAAAAGCCGGAACAATTTTAATTTACATATTTTCTATCACAATTTTAGTTGAGCATAACTTCGTTACATGGGATTTTGCCGCAACCCTGGTACATAATTGCCTGCCCGCATGACAGGGCCTTCAATTCTTGCAGGAAGTGGTGCACTTTGGCAATTCCCGACAGAAATTGTGGGAATGTGAACATCGGCTCCAAACGCACGGGGCTCGATTGAAATTACACGAACAGCGAAGCTATCCGGTTCCCTGTAATCACAACAATCACTAGCCGCCATTAGCGGGTGCAACGGACACCAGCAGCGATTGCAGGCATCGTGCACCAGGTAGCGCAGCAACTTTCAGGGTTCATCGCGAGGCCAAGGATCGGTGTTCTACATCAGACTGACACAAGGCTCCCTCACGTCATTGCGTGAGGGGCCTGGGCTCGACTCCCGACTCGGGATGCTGTGCTGCGTGGAGATTGCATGTTCTCTCCCTGTTCTGTCTGGGCTTCCTGTGGGATCTCTGGTTTCCTCCCATAGCTAAATATACATACACGGCACTGTAAACAGTATTGGCGAAAAACATCTCAATGCTGACAAATCACCTGCGAGTTACACAATTGAAGGCACGTTGAACTTCTTTCACGCCGATTAGTATGGTTGGCTACGTACGGTGAAAAAGAAGTTCAACACACACGTGCACGCACCCTAAGTAGCCAGTCGTGCTAATCGGAGGTGCGGGGGAAGGACAACAAACTAAACACAACAATTTACATCATGAGACCTCCTGTGCCAGTAGCAAGATATAGTACTAGGTTTTTACCATTTTGTCTGGCACCAAAAACGGACATATCATATCATTATCAGAGTTGTCTCTTTTTGTTTGCATTTTGACTGCTTGTGTTGTGGTTATTGCAAACATGATCCCTTGCATAAAGGTGTCAGTTTTGGTGCCAGACAAAAGGGTAAAAACCGATTACTATTACTAAACACAAGAAGCAATTCGTTTTCAATTTATATCGGGCCATGATTGGGATCACAGCAATAGCAACATCGCACCCGACTGCAAACTTGGCAAGACCCGAGCGTCATAAATGATAGTAAGGTTTGGAGATATGGGAAGACATTCGTTACCTTGCGAGTTCTAAGTAGAAATAATAACAAATCACCGCAGCTTTTGAGCTCGTTTCCTGTTTGTCGTCTGAGAAGCCGTCTCATGCCGAGGTCAGTTCACAGGACCAGTCTCCCATTGCACTCCAGAAGGATCACTGACCAAGCGGTCCGCCCGTTATATATGTACCCCTTGTAAACCAGTGATGTTGATGAACGTGATTAGTTGTTTTTTGTAGAATATCTAGTGAAATGTGTTGTACAAATATATATGTTTGGAGAAAACTATATTTTTTTAATTATGTACGTTTAATGTCGTGTTGTCAGTGGCATAAGAATACATTTGAGCCGATTCATCGTGATTATAGCCCCCCCCCCCCCCCCCCACGTGACCTCTCCCGGGCGGCGGCAGTGGGACAGCGACTTGCTCCGTGTGACTGCCAAATGATCTCCGCCGAAGCTGAACTTCGCTAAGTTCAGCGCAACGTCCCGTGCACCGAGGGGTTTAGTTTGTGTAGTCGTCGTTACAAATCAGCGACAGCTGTGGGGAATCTCAACTCATCCCCGGAGGGAGCTTCAGATTTGCCTGCAGGACCTCAGTGGCGTTGACTCAGCGCTGTGACTGGCCTTGCCTCGTGTCCCAGCACCACGCACCCGGATACCTCTGCAGTGTTTCCTAGCACAATACCGTGGCTAGAAATAGCACGTCATTATGCAACAGTGGCACATCATGAATGCACTTCAGCGCCACAGCTGGACGAAGGCCCTCCCCCACGCTCTCTCAGTCGTGGGCGTTGTTTGTCCATACTTCACCGTGCTGGTCAGGGCGGATCGGTGGCACGGATCTCAATCGCCACCGATGTTAGCCGTGGACTCGAATACAACTCAGCTCACCGAGTTCTCAGCACCGGGTGCTCACCGACACTCGACTACCCCACATACAACTAAAACGGGCAAGTGCGTGACGTTGATGATCGACGTGACCATCATCTATGCCAGCGGTGGGCAATCTGCGTCCCGTGGAGCCCCCCTCGTAGATCGCCTGGCCTCGGTGTCTCTGTGGTAATGCTCGGGGGTCGCGGTGAGTGCACGAGCGACGGTGTCACTGAGGTCAAGGAGGGCCTCTTGCGTGGCCCACCGACTCGTCCGCCGTTGCCCGTCACTGATCTCGACGGCGCTCGTGAGCAACGCAGCACCAACGAGGCGGAGGTGGCAGCGTTGGCAGCGTGCTCCCTGCACGCTCCCTCGCCACTCCTCCATGCACCAATCCACATCGCGAGCTCTCGCTCTTGCGGTTTCCCCCCCACCCCCTCCGATCTCATCCTCACAAAAAAAACTTCCCAGCCAAGAGACTGACTTATTTGTGTGTCTTTGTTTTTGTCTCGGCCTGTGTTTAATAAAAACGACTTTGTTTAATAACTTGAAAAGAAAATAAGGAATCAGGATATCTCAAAATATCTGGATTGTGTACGTAATCATACTCGGGTTTATTACAAGAGCCATCATTGCCAGACCACGTGCCCTGTTCTTCGTTCAAACTGTTTTTTTTAGCCCGTCTCGAAGATCTTTACAATAACGTGCACAAATGTGAACACGTGTGAGCCGAACCAGGGGGCACTCGAATTTATATGATCCAACATGGAAATCATGGCAAACTTCAGTTTATTACTGGGTACCATATTCGTTGAATACCAAGGTTTATGACTTTAATGTGTCTTGGTCTAGCACAGTGAGATCACATTTTAAATGTTGTAAATGACAAGAGTTGCCAAAGTGCTCGAGATATCAATCATTCACTGAGTAAAGTGCAATCATTATCGCCACGTTGGCGAGATGTTAACTACCTCGCCTGGTATACAAGAGGTCGTGGGATCGAACTAAACCTATATGCCTGTATGTTTGGAGTGTGCGTGTCTCTCCACGTGGTCGCATGGATATTTTTCCCGGCCCTCTGGTTTTTCCCTGTACATTTAGAAAAATGCGTTTCGAGTATTTGGCTGCTATGCATTTCCACGTGATAATAAGCCACTTCGTTGAGCTATCATTTGTGGCCAGGTCGCTTCTGACTACTACAAAGGTACTCGAATGTATACGTGTGAGTTTGTGTGTGTGGCGGTTTGGGAGCGGAAGTGTAGCGGTTAGCGTGCTGCTTTACGAACCCAGCGACCCAAGTCCAAATCCCGCCCGTGGCCAACATCGGTGATGATTATTTGAACCGGTCCTGGGCCTACCCTAGGTCGACTCAGCCTCAGATGAGTACCAATTACGGTGTGTAAACATCGCCACTGGGGAGACAAAGGTAGTCGGGAGTGGTGCTGGCCACCTACCCCCTCGTGTGCCTTGCTGGTCTTCATAGGTGTTACTCCCTAACGAAACTTGGCCCAAAAAGTCTATTCAGGCTATACGGGGGATCTTTGTCTTGTGTTGGTTGGGGGCACGGTTGATTGGACATCTATCGGGGGGGTTTTCACCCTGGTGTCAGAATGCTCCACATGCCCCACCCTTGCATCGCGATTTGTGGCCATTTACGGCGGCACCACGGGTTCTGCCAAATCTGCCCTCCAGAACGGTGCATAACATCCGATCAATAATTCGAGTGGAAGTCGTTTTTATGAAAAAGTTTATGTGAGCAGAACCACAACCCAACGTATGCAAGTGGGTCCACGATCTGCTTTTGTTTTGCGTTGGTTTAAGAATTCTCACTGGGTTCGGGAGAATGCTTACAAAACTCTGTGCATGCATCCAAAGGTATAATAAACGGTCTACACATCCAGCAACCCCGAGAAAGAGCAAAGAGCGCACGTCAGGGATGCCTGCGGCATTTCTGTTCACAACCACGGACTTCATTAAAGTGACATTTGTTGCATTATCATGAAACGCAATCAGATATATTTCCGTTACCAGATTCAGGAAAGTTCATGATGGACCACAGCACCCGTTGATGTGAGCTGCCAAATCGACTGTAAATACGAAATGGCAGCTCCACGTCCTATTACCCTGCAGTGGGGTATCGTGGTATTTACGTGCCACGCCAAGAGCCCTGCTGCCTCTGTCGAGCAGCAGCAAAGCACAGCACACAGCGCCACGTCTGCTGTGCACATGTGGCTGCCTGCCTCTCCATAGGAGAGCAGATAAGAAAGAATAACTCAGACGTGAAACTTTCGTGACTGCAGTAATTCCTATTCTTGGTTCTTTCGGTAAAGTCACGTAGATATATAACACATTTTTATATATATATATTTTTATAATAAATTGCTTTTATGATTTTAAATTTACAAATGTATATATTTATTAAATTTCTATTATTTGTATTTTACATCATTATCATTTTTCTATCTACGTGACTTTACCGAAAGAACCAAGAATATAACAAGAATAACTCATTATAACCTAGCACATTGCATTTAATGAGGCTATTGATGTAGTGGAAGATTTTTCAAAAACTGTTGTGTTACTGTAACCATTTAAAATGAATCTGAGTAAATAATTTTTACAATAAACTTGCACGTGCATCAGCCCAATATGTTACGATGCGATGTCTTGCTTCGTCATCGCTCTTGATGCCCGTATAATGTTTATTTGCGTTAATTATGGTTTTGCGCAGCATTCGTTTTTAGAGCAACTGATTGAATTTACCTCGATGTCAAATTTGTTCTTTTAAAGGAAATTGGGTCAGACAGACACCTTGACGAAAATAACCAGACCACATCACCGGATTATTGGTCGTGGAAAAATCCTGGGAATTTTGCCAACAATTGGACGAAAAGCGACACTGGACAATGCGTGGGTTAAGCTCGTGATCTTGATGATTTTCTAACGTCTCAAATTAATACGAAAGTCTTGAACAACGAATCAGTGCATCGACGGAGAGACACGCAAAGCGACATTGCGCTTAAATTCATGAAAGCAAACAGGCAAGATTCACAGCTTCGCAAAACGGGCAAAACACATCTCTGTTTTGGTGCTTTGCTTCACCAGCGGTAAACAGATGCTCCAGTCGTTATTTCGTTCAATTCTTGCCGGTGTAAACACGCATTTGGCGACCCCAGTCATACGGCAATTTGTACGGGGAATGACCGACGCGAGTCTTCAGCAGAGTGGACTTTAAAGACCTGTGCCGTCATCTGTCCGTGTGTGCGATCTTCTTTCAGTATCGGCCCAAATCCAAATAAACAACTTGCAAACACATTGACAAATGCGAGGTAACAAAACCGTTTCAACAATAGTTACCGTAATGTAATTATTATTATAACTGTTCTATTATAGTTTCATGCATTCCAATTTTCCTTACAGAAGTGGTAATGAATCTCCACAGACTTCCCTCGGGGTTAAACAAATGAGACTGGATGTCACTGCGTGTCCTCGCACTCTTCACAACAGACTGTTGGCCAAACATCCCAACAGAAGATCACATAGCTGGGGCAACTGTTGTAGTTTCCTACGTCTCTGAATCATTGTCTCTCTCACTGTCACCGACAGCGAACAAAAAACTGTGGCCGTTACAAAATCCAACATTTTCTTTGTGTCTTTCGGTAAAGTCACGTAGATAGTTTAACACGTAGCAGGCTTTCACGACCAATATTATTCATAATAAAGGTTTTTGGGTTAGATCGCGTTATTTATAGATGTGTGGCAACCCTCCACCACCCGACACGGCCAATCAGTAAAAAGTGTCACGTTGACAAAAGACAAATAGTTCACTACTTTAGCCCGCCGCCGGTGTGTTGAGTGAATCCACAACATTTACAATTTTTGAGTACGACGTTTCGCTGGTAATTACATCCAGCATCATCGGAAAATTTGCAATTTTTATAATGAATCACGTAGATAGGTTAAAATTAATTATGAATTTGAATTCCTGCAGTCACGAAAGCTTTAAGTAAAAATCCCACATTGTTATCACCTGCTAGCAACAGCAAGAGAAGATTAATGTGAAACCGTAGTGGTGGCTCCAAGTGAAGGGGTGGGACCGGGGCGGGCGATGGAGATGATTGCCACAAAAATGAGTTGACATTGCCAGAGAAAATACGTTTTTTTTTATTAACGTAGAGGCCTGTTTAAAAAAAAAAAAACTTCATTTCAGGTCCACCCAACCCCCCCCCCCCCCCCCATGTGGAAGTTTGCAAATCTACGTCTGGTGAGACGTCGATCAGCAAGGCCCTCCCGTGACGAGCCGTGGCCACGAGGTGGGCGCCGCATGTACAAGTCGGGGGGGGGACGAGGGGGGGGGGGTGGAGGGGAGGGAGGCCGAGGGGAGGGGGGCAGGGCGGAGGGGAAGCGAGGGAAGGGGAGGTGGGGGCCTCACCTCGTTGCGGACGATGCCCACGTAGTCGGCCTCGGGGGGCAGCACGAGGACGAGCTCCGCCTCGTAGGCGCCCTCGCCCGCGTTCCGTGCCACGAGCGCCAGCGTCACCAGGTTCTCCTCCCCCACCAGCAGCGCCTTGCGGTCCCTGGGGGGGGCACGGAAACTCGCTCAGAAACCATCGCAGACGGCCCAGGTGCCCCTTTCGGGGATGGAGTGTGAGCAGCGGCAATGGAGGTGGGGGGGGGCACATAAATACATAAATTCCGCGTGTGGAAGCCCCGGCACATGGAGCTCACGGGCTGGGGGCGAGGGAGATAAATGGGCTCGCTGCCCCACTTACGTAGGGGACTGCGAGCGGTCAGCCAGGTGCCCTTACACAGACGGGTGGGGCAAAGGCTCTTCATGGGGAATCTGATCATTGTTGTTATTTTATTATTGATAATAAAGGGGGTTGTTTTTGGGGGGGTTAGATCGCATAGTTATAAATGTGTTGGTAAACCCACCACCACCCGACACAGTCAATAACCAGCAGAACGTCGTGAACTCAAATGATAATGTTGTGGAGTTTCCAACACACAAGCGGTGTGCTGAAGTAGTAACTAACTGGCACGTTTTGTTTACGTGACAAATCTTACTAATTGGCTGTGTTGGGTGTTGGCGGGTTTAACGACACATTCGTATTTACGCGATATAACCCATTTTTTTTTTTATCATAGATAATATTGGTCACGAAAGTCTATGCGTTAAACAATTGTATTATTATCGTTCCACTTGTGTCACCAGGAAAGCCTCACTCAGGAGTCTCAACGCTATTTTTCAAGAGTGTCCCGCAGTAGGGGGCAATGTTGTGACTCTGCTTGTGTCATTTGCGGGCAATTGATCAGCATCGGGATGTTTAGCCAACCCCCAGTCACACGCTGTGTATTGTCTTAGCTATGCGAGGAACCCGGACAACCCGGAGGAAACCCGTGTAGTACAGGGGGAGCACGTACAGACTCCACACGGAAGGCTGCCCGAGTCGGGAACCAAACGCTGGCCGTTCTTGTTGCGAGGCGTGAGTGTCAGCACTCTGCCGCCCTATAACAAATCTCCTGCCGCCTCAGTCCTCCATAGCTACAGTGGGAAGAGCCTCAGCTTCCGAGTGGACTGCATGGTAGCTGCAAGCTGGACTAGACTCTGAGGATGCATTCGTCTCTGACATCCACCGGGTCACACGTGGCTTTAGGAATTTGCACTTTTTCAAGCAGAATTTTCTCTCCAGAACCTCTTTTCTCTGTAACCCGTGGTGATTTACTGATTTCATGTGTTGCTCCAACACATGCTGAGCATATTTTAGAAAGTGTATATAAAAATTGTGCTGACTTGCTCGACTTTATTTTTCAATCCCAACTTTTATGGCATCGATTGAACACACAATCTCCTGCATGAGATCTCCTTTTTGTCTGTGAGTGTAGAGGAAGGGGAGAAATGGACGTGAAAAGAAAAGTTCACCCCTCGGAACATCGGGGATGATCCGTGGGCCACGATTGATTTGAAATGTGGTGTCACTGTCTGGTAGGGCGACGTCCGTCTCACAACACGTGTCGGACATGTATGATGGTCGGAGCCTCATGGTAACGGCACAGCGCAGGGGTCGGCAAACCTGCGCCTCTGGAGCTGCACGCGGCTCTTGAAGGGCCGCTTCGTGACACGTGACTTAGCAAGGAGACCTCCGTCTCGTATTCACGTGCATTGCAGCTCTTGAGATATTGGGTTGTTTTAACCGAATTCGAAAAAAAAATGGCCTTTCTTGTTATTTTGGTTGCCGACTCCTGGCATAGCAGATCTGTCAACCCTCGTGGACGATCCACTGTTGGGGAAACGATCGATAGATGAGAGGAGTTTGACTGTCTGGTGTTGGCATCAGGCCTGGCTCAAGCTCCTCTTGGATGAGGGGGTCCCGTAGAGCTGGCATGTAGAGGGCCACCGTATCAGTGATCACCACTAAGGAAAGTGAACTTGGGTGGCCCGAAGGAGCATGTGAGTGTGGCTGTGCGTGCGTGTGGCTGAGAGTGTGTGTGGCTGTGTGTGTGGTTGTGTGTGTGTGTGGCTGTGTGTGTGTGTGGCTGTGAGTGTGTGTGGCTGTGTATGTGGCTGAGAGCGTGTGTGGATGTGAGTGTGGCTGAGAGCGTGTGTGGCTGTGTGTGTGGCTGTGTGTGCGTGTAGCTGTGAGTGTGTGTGGCTGTGTGTGTGGCTGTGCGTGCGTGTGGCTGAGAGTGTGTGTGGCTGTGAGTGTGGCTGTGTGTGCGTGTGGCTGAGAGCGTGTGGCTGAGAGCGTGTGTGGCTGTGTGTGTAGCTGAGAGCGTGTGTGGCTGTGTGTGTGGCTGTGTGTGCGTGTGGCTGAGAGCGTGTGGCTGAGAGCGTGTGTGGCTGTGTGTGTGGCTTAGAGCGTGTGTGGCTGTGTGTGTGGCTGTGTGTGCGTGTGGCTGTGAGTGTGTGTGGCTGTGTGTATGGTTGTTTGTGCGTGTGGCTTAGAGAGTGTGTGGCTGTGAGTGTGGTTGTGCGTGCGTGTGGCTGTGAGTGCGTGAGCGCACCACGTGACCGAGAGCTTCAGCTTGGGGATGCAGACATTGTCCTCACCACAGTCAAGCAAGATGTAGGCCTGAGGAGGAGACAAACATCATCACTGTCATCATCATCGTCGTCACAAACCAATCATCAATTTTAAAGGCAACACGACGGAGGGAAATGTTGCTAACTGTGCGTGTGTGTTGATGGGGAGACGAGGCAGGGATGTTAGACGTCATTATGGGCATCAGGTGCTCATCCACATTCTGTTTAATTGGGTCTTGGCGCGTGTCAGAGAACTCAACAAAACAACGATTACTTACAATGCCCCATTGGCGTTGTACAAAGCTACGTCACTCTAAATTGAGTGAGGACAGACAGGCAACGCTGAGCAGGCTAACAACCGCTCCATTCAGTTTTCAAACTTAGTGTTAGAATGAGCATCAGAGTGGCGTTCATCTCCACCAGCAATTCCGAGCTCACTGTGGAAATTCCACATTCCCATGGTAACAATAGTTGAATTGTAATATAGCATCGTTCATGCAAAGCTGCATCTCACAACGCTGTACAAGACAACAGCTGAGCAATTGTATATATATTTTGCACCTCGCAATAAACCACATAGGATACCAAAACCAAGGTCAACTGAATTAAAACTGTGGGGTGAAGCACTCCATAGGATGACCGCTATTGATGTCCCACAAAGTAGCAACAATTTTATTGTCCCCAGAGGGATGACGATGAGCTGAGTTGACCCTCAATCCCCCCAAGCGGGATGCGAACTGGAAACCCGTCAACAGCGTCGTCTATCTACTTAATGGCTGCTCACTTTGGAAAAACAGAAACCGGAGGGCCCATTTCACAAGTTTAAATGTATGTATGTTGAACTTCTTTCGCACCATACGCAGCTAATCATGCTGAATGAGAGTCTAGACTGCCGTGTGTCTGCAACAGACGGGAGATGATGATGGTCGTCAAAGTGTGGGGGATTGCTGCTGTTGCTGGGAGTTTGTGGCCCAGAGGCCCTCCATAAAGGGGCCTGCATGGGGAAGGAGAGAGTGGGGCCGAGCTCGCTGGTGAGCATTCGTGAGCTGCACCTGCTTGCTGACGTGCTGCGGGCTGTAGGGGTGGAGGACGGGGTGGAGGCCGTGAGGGCCCCGCCTCGCCTGCTCATCCAGGCTGAGGTTGAGGCCCACGGAGATTGGCGTGAGCTTGTCACGGAACTCCGACTCGCCCTGCGGCACAGCCAGTGGCTCGCTCAGTGTCTCACTCACAGCCATTGTGTTAAATACCTTCAATGACAACAGAGTAAGGTGACATTTCTTAATGAGTGCATGAATTAGTACGACTCTTAATTACAAAAATATGTGGAGGGCCAATTATTTTTGTCATTAAAGCCTTACACTGAAGTGGCAGATATTACTCTGATATCAACACGCATCACCGCAGAGCAAGGAATCTTTGGAAATTGACGTTTGCATGACAAAATCTGAATTTTTATTATCCAGGAGAAATCCGATGAGCGATAATAAATCTTTTACACAGATGCCCATGAGGGGTGGGTCGTAAGGTTACTACAACAAACATTACAAAAACACGAGAGGAGTGCAAAGTGTAGGAAATGTGAAAAAATCAACAACAAAAGACTTGTTATTTTACCAGGCAAAGCCCACTGAGCTATTAGCTTCTTTATCAGGAGCGACAGGGCCACATATGATAGCTCAGCGGTCGGGAACCTATGGCTCGCGAGCCATATATGGCTCTTCCAGTGACGGCATATGGCTCCCAGACAATTTAGAGTTGAAAATAAATAAATAAATAAATCTGTTTGGAACTGATTTTAAAATACTTGTGATATTGCTTAATAATACGGTGTCATTTTAAAGTAAACAGAAATTAGTTTTGAAGATACATTTCACTGGTCACGCCTGCATGAAGCTCAACCTCACCACGTATGAACCAGACTACAAGGCCATCAGCAAAACCATGCAGCACCAGAAGTCGCATTAAAAGTAAGACATATTTAATTTATTATACGTTAAAAATACTATATGGCTCTCAATGAAATATATTTAGAAATATTTGGCTTTTATGGCTCTCCCAGTCAAAAAGGTTCCCGACCCCTGTGATAGCTGAACGAAGTGGCTTATCGTCCCGTGTAAAAGTACCACGCGTGATCTACAAATTACAAATGCTCTGACGGCTAATCGACCGTCACAGCGTTGGCGGCGGTTAGTGCAGCGCACAGTGGGAGGACGTTGAGCAGGGTTATCCCATCGCTGTACTATAATGGGCCATCTGCTGATAATTAGACATCGCAAGCCTCACGCCATTACTCACAGCAGTGCGCATTTGTCAGCGGCATGGCCTCAATGTGCCTCGTTTGGAAACGATGTGCAATTTGGACAGGTGATACATCTGCAGTATTTACCGACTGCATCGACGCTTTATCGGCGGTTCGTGAGAATTGTATTTTATTATATTATATTTCTATTATTTTATTATTTCCCTTCTACGTGACTTTACCGAAAGAACCAAGAATACTCATTTACCAATGAGTTTGTAACGTTGTAGATAGTTGATTTCACAGTTTAACACGTAGGCCTTCGCGATCAATATTATTATAATAACGTTTTTTGTGTGTTAGATCGCGTAAATATAAACGTGTCCTTAACCCGCCACCACCTGACACAGCCAATTAGTGAGGTTTGTCAAATAGACAAAACGTGCCAATTAGTTACGAGTTCGACACACCGGAGTGTCGGAGAGTAAACCCACAACTTTTACAGTTCGAATGCGACGTTTGCGCTGATGATTACAACCAGCTTCATCAGGCGATTTGCCAGAATTGTGAAGAAACCTTCCTGTTTTCGGGTGTTAAATAGAGTAAAGGTGAGCCTACATGGTGGGTTCACGACGCTTTGATATTTACACGATATACCAAAAAATAACTTTTTATCACGAACACCCCAGTAGCAGAATGCTTACGGAGGCAAGTCTAAAGGGAAAACCCGCCCCATCCTGCACTGCTACCATTCTACATGGGTGTAGCATTGAACACATCACCGTGAGAATATCAGTATTAACCAGGGTGGCCTGCTGCTTTCGAGCCGCGAACCTCTGTGAACGCGGCCACCGCTGGGCCACGGCGTCGCTATTGGCCAAGGGGCGGGTGGGGGGGTATTGGGGGGGGGGGTATTGGGGGGGGGGGTGCGGGTGGGGGTTTGGGGGGCACTTACCCTGAGAAAGGCGAGCAGGGCCACGCAGTGCGGCCGGGCCCGGTTGGCCAGGCTGAGCCGTTGCTCGTGAAGCGACGTCTGGGACAGCAGGAAGAGGGCCCGTCGCCCCGAGCCCTTCAGCTTCAGCCGGTCGAGCTGCACCTGGAAATCTACCTCTGCCCAGGGCAGCGGAAGCGACACAACACACAGACCGTGGTTTGCTAGTGCTGAGTAAATATTTTGGCTTAGACATCGCGCGCTTTCAGATGCGCTCCTGCGGCCGTCTGGAACGCTGTTCCTTCCGATATTAGGAAGCCACTGATGCAATGCAATTTTAAATCATCTAGATTGAAAAGCCGTATTTCTTTAGAACTGCATTTTGTATTTAGTTTGTTGGCCTTACCTCGCACCGATTAGCACGGTTGGCTACGTACGGTGCGAAAGAAGTTCAACATACGTACAAATCTCACAAATCTTTTTCAGGAGGGTCCTGCCAAGTGTTTCGATGTTGTTGCTGTGTGTCGTCCCAATCGAGTCATATGAAGATAATGTATTAACGTTGGGATGCTTTGACGGATATCAGTTACAATGGTTTTCATCTTTTTTCGAGCGATGGGAGGAAAGTGGAGAACCCGTTGGAAACCCATGTGGAACAGGGAGAGAGAACATACAAACTGCGGACAGAAAAGGGCCTGAGTCGGGAATCGAACCGGGGTGCTTCTAAACGTAGGGCGCGAGTGTAACCACTCGGCGCCAAACTGCTGTCTCAATGACAACACAAAAACTGGAGATGTGAGCTGAGCCAGAGGCCAGGGCTGTAGCTTTGAGCCAGAAAACTTCACCTGCAGCTGCCGTCAACGCTGCCATTGCTCTCATAATCAGCGAGTAAACAATTTACACGAGGCGGTGTTATGTTTTACGAAAAGCAGATGTGGTATTGTGGGGAAAAAATATATGATTAATCAATATTGAAGTTTCGATGTTGCGGTGGGTGGCATTAATGCCCACGTCAATATAATTCATGGCATTGGCCCAGTCTCAAACGACTTGGCAGGCACAACAATTCACAAAAACGTGGTCTAACGTTAATTCAGCCCAGTCCCAGTCTGGAGGCAGTATATTCTACAGCATTACACGAGCAATCACCCACCTGCATAGCGGATTAAAACATTGCCTCTTGGAAAAAAGTAGTGTTTGTGTCCACGCATTGCCATTTAACATGGACTCCAACGTGGAGCCAACGTGCCCGTGTGAGTGCAGTTTGCAACTTTCTTGAAGCCCCGTTTGAAATGTGTTTTGTTGCACGTGCAGCACACGCTCCGATTGACAGCGCTTGCGTGTAAGGCAACGTTTGCTTGGATGGGTTTGGTCGCAAGAACATTGCTGCAATGCTAACGCCAGCATGGCTGAGGTGTATACGAAGAACCTGGATATGTTTCAAAAGTAAAACTTGATTGACCTACAAAAAAGGCAAGGAAAACACTCACTGCAGTTATCACCGTGATTGTTTTCTAACTTGCAGCCTTCTGATCGCGAGTGATGCGTTCCAAACCACAGTGACAATTTGCCAGTTAAAGTTTGTGAAATGGATATTAAGCGACCTGTGACGGTAAAAAAGAATAGTTTGAAAAGCACGCGCCTGTTTGAAAGTTAAAAGTAATGAACACGACTTTAAACAAAATCGAAAAATAAACATTTCCACGAAGCCCACCTGAGAAGGCGAACCCTGCAATAAGCAAGGCGTCTCTCTCGTTTGTTTTTACAACAAATAATATTTCTGACGGCTCCGTCACAGCGGGGGAACGGAGGGAGCAACGCTGTGGATTTGTTGACAAACGCTGTACGGTCATGTGCATCTTGTCTTCCCAACGGCGGGTGGACACACGCGGCTCGTCAGGAAATGTTGCGTTGCTATGGCGATCGCAACTCTTCTCACTTGACCTCGGGGTCAACGTCCACCTGCATCCTAACTTCGTATGACGCGACACTGCGCCGAAATGATCAACATCAAGGCTGTTGCAGCACAAGATGTAACCCGATGAATACATTTTAATCGATCTCCTTTCCTCCAACTCGAGATATTTTTTATCATCCATTCTTGATTTGCAACACTACCACTGAGCGCAATGCACACACGTTACAATGCTGTTTCTGCTCTTGCTCGTACCACCCGTGTTATTCTGTGCATTGCTGAGAAGGGAAGTGTGAGAAAGGACGGGAACACTGCCTCACTGTCGATGGCCTGGCTCACATCCTCCGTGTCAGCTGTCGTTAAATTGAGGTCACAGCTGCCAATAGCTGGGTCACGCTCACGATGGTGTCCCCTCGGCCTGGCTCGATCAGCAGCAGGAAGAGGGCCCCATTGAAGGGGCCAGAGTTCTGAGAAGCACATTGCCTGCGACGCATCTTGGCACCTTCTTGGGGCGCGGGGGGCGGCATTTTGGGTCACGTGGGTGATCGGCTCCGACACAGCGTCGAGCCCTGCAGGCCAGAGCCTCTCGTTATGCACCGAGGTGGTGATTCGATGTTGGCCGTTTCACCATCGCGAAGAATAGAGAAGTTGCAAGCGAGTTGGTGGAGGGGAGTTGACGGTTGGCATGGTAACACGTGTGGAGCCCTCTTGCATGCCCCGTCGATGGCTGGCTGCATTACAAAACAAAAACTACGCAATTGGTATTGACCAAAACATCCCAATGCTGACAAAATGACCTGCAAATTACTCAATTAGGATCACACTCATAGCAACATCACCCCCTACTGCGAAAACTTGGTAGGGCGCTCCTGAAAAAAGATACTTAGTGAGGCTTTGCTGGGTGTACAAGCGTAGTAATAATTATCATAATTTCCCAGGTCACTGAGAGGCAGTAAAGCCACTGTCACTCTTCGGGTTGGGTTCCTGCGAGACGCAAACCATTTATTCTCTTAGCGTTGCGGGATCTCCGTGGTGGCTGCGCGAGTGTCAGCGGCAGTGGAAACTATGGGAATGGAATTGCCCTTCTCCGAGTGGGCTCGTTGGTTTGGATGTGAACAGCAGATAACGGTGGTTGACAAATGTGGTCAGAATGTCCCGTTGGGTTATGTTTGAAAATGCATTGCCTGAGGTCGACAGTGACGCCGAGCGAACGCTGTGAGCACGACGAAGCCATCAGGATCCTCTTTGGGGCAAGGTGTGTCACCTTTGTATATTCCAAATAACTTAAGTGTGGTATATTTGCATGTTTTAGGCTTTGGTGTTGAAGATTATCATTTGGATTTAATGTGGAAAGGCAACAGTGGCTGCTGTCCTGTGGATCGACCGACTGCTGTCGTGGGAATGTGGAATTTCCAGTAATGAGTGCTGCCTCGTGCTCATTTCAGCCAGAAACCAATTTAACGCGTTTTTCTTTAAATCTCAGCGTCCCTGCATCGGAATGTCCAGCTGGCATTACGAAGCCGCGCTCTGCGAAGTAATGCGCTCGCACGCCCGCCGCCTTCCTCACCCATTGTTGCAGGAACACTTTTGCCAACCGCTGAGAGACAGACCTTGACTGTGAAGCTGGAACAGAGTGAACACCACACACGCACACACACAGAGGGAGAGGTAATGAGAGGGAAGCTGGACAAAGCAATGACGAACACCGGCGCAAATCCGGCTTCCCGGCTTCCCACACCGCTCGCGTTGACGAACGCGTCGCCGCACGCAGCTTCGGGCGTTGCGATAGCGAGTCAAGTCGACGGAATTCATGCCGAGTTTGACGCGAAGGCTTTCGCGACCAATATTCTCCGTGACAGAGGACAGGTCGCGTAAATATGAACGCGTCGTTAAACCCCCCACCAGCCGACACAGCGAGTGAGTAAGGTTTGTCTCGTGAGCAAGACGTGCCAGTTCGTTACTAGTTCAGCACTAACCGGTTGCGTGTTGGAGAGTAAAACCACAACATTTACAATTCGAGTGCCGTGACGTTTCGCCCGTAATTAGAACAACAGCAACAACAACAGCCAGCCTCATCAGGCGATGGCCTCGTGGAGAAATCCTCCTCCTCCTGTTTCGGGTCTTGGTTTATTTTGTCGTTTTTTTCTGCTTGCTGAAAATAACGGCGGTGCCCTTCTGCCAACAACCAACATCTGGCTGCGCTCAAAGCGCCATCGCAACATGTGTTGTTGCCACGACGGGAGGATGCAATCGCAGCAGCTGCATCTCACTGCAGCCGCTAGGGGCGTCCTTCACCCAACCCCCCCCCCCCCCCCCCCCACGTGTCGCGCTATTACAGCAGGGGGCCATCCTTTAGTATGTACGCATGGAGGGGGGAGTGGGGATAACCCAAATTCGTACGCTTGCGTATGGGGGGTCTACTGACAATGTACGCATAGGAAACGGGGGGGGGGGGGGGGGGCGGTGAAGCCTCAATAATAACTTGTCTCCATTGGCCTACAAATGAGTTAGATCGTCCGGCGGTGGACTGTTTGCTTAAACACGTCAATATTATTCATCCTTGATCGTTTCTGCGTGGATTAAATATCGGCCGTTCTATAGGATTCTGGGGGGGGGGGGGGGGGTGCGTCAGGCATACGTACACAGGTGGGGGGGGGGGGGGTAAAAAGTTGCTTTATTTATAATTACTGCTACGGATGTTGAGAACTTCTTTCGCGCCGTACGGAGCCAACCGTGCTGATCGGAGTTGGGAAGGACAACAGCCTAAGCACAAAAAGCTGTTCTAAAGAAATGAGTTTTTCAATCTCGATTTGAAAGTGCACAGCTCCGGCGGCTTCCTAAGGAAGAGCGTTCCAGACGGCCGCAGAAGCGCATCTGAAAGTGCGCGATGCGGTGACCGTCTTTGTTCGATGGGTGGCCAAAAACAAATAATACGTTTGTTCGTTGCGCAGTATTCCTTAAGCACCCCGCTGCACTCGTTCTCTGCAATGTCGATGTTTTTTGTCTGTGTGTTGTTGTTGTTGTTGCGGTGCTCACGCACAACCATGGATCTCCCGCGGTAAATAGCCGGGCAACTGGCTAAACGGGATCATCGGCAACATCATCATCTGCATAACGAATCAACATCATCATCAACATTATTGTCTTCATCTGTACAACGAATCGAAATGAACTGAACATCTCGATTACGCTCGTTCACCCAAGAAAGCCTCACCGATTCTCAAGCCTCCCTTGTCGTCGTCATCATTGTTGTGAAATCTGGTGCACGCTCACCATGACACAGGGGCACCCGAGCCGGGCATCTTGCAGTCCTTGCTCTCGGTGTTGATCATCTGCGGCAGCAGCTGCAGCTCCACGTCCAGGATCACGACCGGCCGGGCCCTGCGGGGGACACGGAGGCGGACCGTCAGCCTCCAGCACGTCCGTGGACGTCCCTGCTCACTCGCTCGCTCGCTCCCCGCCTCTCGCAGCCTCCACCAAGAGGGCGAGTAAATCAGCTGGGAAGAGCACACAACTCCCACCGTCCTACCTCTCCAGCCGCATCGATAACTCCCCGTAGGACCCAACCCGACCCTGCATTTGCTTTATCGCTGCAGTTGATTTCATGTCTTTTTTTGGTTACTGTCGTAGCCCAGATCACTCTGGCAAATGACACCCTGCTTGTTTCTTAAACAAAAAATAAACTCGCCCGATACGACACCAACTCATCCCTGAGTAACTTGTGAATCTTACGCTGGCATTACGCAACTCTACACCGTCCACGATTGCCTCCTGATCCTTGTCTTTTAGGACTACGGATAAATATTCCCTCTACACGGGCTGCTGTGCTCAGGCTAAGTAAGCTCTTCATGAACATTACTATTCAGAACGTGAACATTGTACTCCTCACCATGCACCCTCTATACCAGTGGTTACCAACCTGTGGCCTGCGGGCCACTGGCGCTCCGCAGAGCCGTGAGCAGAGCCGTCCGTAGGGGTACGGCGAATCGGGGCGGCTGCCCCGGGCCCCTCGCTTTAGGGGGCCCAACTCTTCGACATCACGCTGTTCGATGCAATGCTTCTGGTTTAGTTTTAAGGCGTCGGGGGGAGCCCACGCGGTTGGGATTGCCCCAGGCCCTCGTTCCCCACTATGGACGGCCGTGGCCTTGGGAAGTGGTCCCCAGAACGGGTTGCCGGTCGACTGCATGGGGGTCCACGGAGGGTGTTTGGGGGCACGAGGTGAACGAGCAGAGCGCTGCTTTACCTGTACAGCACGGCCTTGGACACTCCAAAAGCCCCCACCAACAAATCTGTGGAGACAAGAACAAGAGCCCTATTCTGAGTCACCTGCTCGGCTCTGGCTCGGTCGCCAATGCTCAGGCTCAGCTCAGGCTTGTATGTTTAAATTTCTTTCGCACCGCTCGGAGCCGGCTCAGATTATGGGGGTGGCTCTGAGCCGGCTCACTTGAGGTCAGAGCCGAGGCTGATCCGAGAGCGTGAAAGGAGGGGACGTGCAATGTTGGTCTCTTCCATCAACGCGGCAAGTATCGTAGAGAGCATAATGCCTCGAAACAAACGGGTGTACGCCCCCGGCGTAATGAATCACCAGCGAGGCGCCGGCAGGATAGGATTACCACTGCAAGCCCTTTCAACACACATAGGACCTGCCCTACGACGCACATTTCTCGACTAAGCAAACAATTTAAGTTGCAAATTATTTTGTGATTAATCAACTGTCTTGAGCTGCATCAAAGTACTTGCGCATTTCATGATATTTACTATTATGCAATGCGATAGATTTGCAGTGTATATATGTAAACTAAATATGGAACAAGTCGGTTAAAACCCAAAGGAATATGACTAATATTACAGTGATGGTACGTGACAATGTGAAGGTTACGTTCCTGGGCATGGCTAAGTCAGTAGACAACGATAACTGAACCGGTCCTCCGACCCCACCTTTGGCCAATCGGCACTGATCAACGCGATGAAGAACGGCCAAACAACCGTCAACAGTGACATGGTGCAGGGAGGCCTTCGTCCAGCAGTGGATGCACATATTTGGGTGTGGCGTTCAGGCGAGACGTGAGGGCCCACGGGGCCTAGATGGCAAAGCTGTCAACCCATAAGGCTTACCCCGTATTCTTGTGCAGGGAAATTGAGTTTTCAGGTCCATACGGCGTACAGCCGTTTCACTACGGGAAAAATGTGTTTGTCTATTTGTTTGTGTTTCTCCCTTGTGATGGGACTTTGTAGGATGAACGTTGAGATTTATAAGGGCACGGGGTGACCAATAAGGTCTGAATTGGTGTGTAAATAAGGTAGGCAGCACTGACAAGGGGTTGACAGGTGTGAGATGGCCGAGTGGAGGCCAGCCAGAAATCAACCTCAGGACGCCGGGCTTAGTGCGCTAACCACTGCACCACCACTCCACCCCTCCAACCCTTACTGGAACAGCTTTTATTGCTTTAGAACAGTTTTTGTGTGTGTTCAGTTTGTTGTCTTTCGCCCGCACCTCCGACTAGCACAGATACGGTGCGAAATAAGTTCAACATACATACAACAACACTGTGTAAATTATTCACAAACACCGTAATTTTAAAAATTCTAATAGAATGTATAGAACTTGAAGGAAATGCTCAGATAGTGAGGGTGCCGTGATGGCCAAAAACAGACAAAGACCCCAGTCATTGCAGGAGGTTATGAACGCACGCCGGAGGGGTTTCTGCAGCTGTCAAAGCATTTACAGATGTAGAAAAAGGTGAATCCGCGAGGGTTTTCGGAGTTTAGAAATCTGATGATAAAAGGATCGCTTCCTGGTCAGATTTCTGGCATTGCTCAACAGATTAACGCTCGAGTTCAAAGGGGGGGGGGGGACAAACGGGGGAAAAGCGGAAATATCCTGAATTAGATTTTTTTTTGGCCGAAAGGACTTTGCTTCCACCGACTCGTAAAGACAAACCGGGACACGAGAAGACGGTCTGGAGGAAGCGAGGATGGCGAGAGAACGAACGGCCGTGTGGACACGGAAGGTTGAGTGGCGGCCGAGGTGAAAGATGGTGAACGAACGTTTTAATATTGTGCCACGCCCGCACACAGGTGCATTTGCACTCACGGCTGCATCTCCTGTTCGTCAACTGCAACGTGAATGTTTTACTCCCAAACGGGCTATCGGTTTATTCACAATGGTGAACGGTGAGAAATGTTGTTTGATTTTTGTGGAAGTTTGAGCTGAGTTTCGGGGTTTGTGTGCGCGGAGGTCAACGGTGAGTGGTGGTCAGGATGGATTGGGACCTGTCCATCCACTCATAATCATTCTGTCCACCAGTCAGTCATTCGCATCATCAGTCATTACATCATCATCCGCCTTATCAACATTATAATCATCATCGCTGAAATGGTCAGCACGACAAGTTTGATCATCAGCCATCACCAACAAAGACCCAAGTTGACAGCATCATCAGTTACTATCCACTTGTCGTTGATCATGGCCTTCAGAGAGGTGGCAAAATATAAGAATCATAAATGTGTTCTGCTCCACTAAGAACTGGTTTATTATTGTTGTGGTCATCCCGCTTGTTTACCCAGGAAAGCCTCACAGAATCTCGCAACACGATTTCAGAGGATCATGCCAGCTTGTCGATGTTGCTGGAGTGTGTAATCCCAATTGTAATCCAAATTGTGTAATTTAAAGGGCATTTTTCAAGATTGGAATGTTTGCCCAGTACAATGTATGGTTTGTCTTAGTCATGGGAAGAAACGGGAGGACCCAGAGAAACCCCATGCAGAACAGGGGAAGAACACACAAACTCCACGCTTGAAGGCACCCGAGTCAGGAATCGAACCCAGGCACTGCTTGCTGTGAGGCACGGGCAGTTGCCAAGCGCCAACCACCCTGGCTACTCGCTCAGTGGTCTCACAAGAGTCGAGGAGGAAAACGACATTTCACTTCCCCAGCAAAGTCCCTGCCCCAGACTGCTGGATCTACGCGCATGTGCCCCAGTCACAGTGACAATGGGATTTGCTGTGTACATAGAGGAGCCACCAAAGGAAACAACAAAATAACAAAAACTTCATAGCTTGCATCGCATTGACGCACAGCCCAAGACCTCATTTCCCACCAACGTACAAGGACGTGCAACGCAAAGGGGCTTTTTTAATAGCAGCACGGCTGGTGCACACAAAACAGCGTGACGGGTTCGGGGCGGGGGAGCGAGAGAGTGCTCATGGTCGCACAACAGAGTTGTCACGTTGCCACACCAATAAGAAATATTTTAACGGGACCGTAAGTTCATCCCATGTCCAGAACGGACGTCGCGTGTGTGAGTGCGTGCGTGCGGTGCTGTACGTGTGCACTGCCAGGGCTGTGGACATTTTCAACAACTTTCTTTGTGTCAGGCACTGTGGATGGAGTGTATTTTATCCCTTGTGTGTATATTAGATTAGAGTTTTGCTGGACATTATTCTTCCAAGTTCGGGGTGTTTATCATCAGCCAGAAACCATGTTGGCAATGTTTAACAACACTTAACGTTGGCCAGACCTCTCTATTTTTCTGTTGTGTTTAGCTCTTCATTGCGCATGCAGTGCAGCTGAGGTTGTTGTTTTTCTTTGGATGTCACCCAGCAACTAGAGTTATGTGCAGAATAAATGTTAAATTACTGGTCGGATGAGTTCATTAGTACCGTGAGCTTTGACGTGAATACACAAGGGACTAAGAGTCCAATTCATTCACAATTTGGTTTCACGCTTTCGTTGAATTTCGATGATAGGTGGAAATTCCACAAAAGTGATTCCATCAAATAAAATCAATGGAATTGTTTTTGCCCACAATTTGCTGCTACAGTAAACTTTCGATTATCCACACCCGAGATTTTGACGTAAATGAACAAATCATGGATTTTCCCTTATTCCCAAATGAATACTCTAAAAATAGTTCTACATTGTTATTCTTGGAAATGTTTATTCCAAGTCACGTGCTTCAACCAAACAAATATGTTCTCCAGATAATTCAAAATCCACGTGATCGCCTCTACAGTACAGAAGTTGGATATCTTTACAACAGTGGGTGGAGTTTGCTTGATGTTGATTGGCGTGGCTCTGACATCCACTTTGTGGGTCGAGTATTCTGCGTGGGAGCAGGAAAGTGTTATCACTCAGCATACACATCGATCGGTCGATCGTTCATGAGAATTCGTTCTAAGAGTAACATTAGAAATCGTCGGTTGTGCTTCATTTTGAGCGATTCGTCCTATAATTTATTTGGTGAGTTTTAATTTACGAAACTGTGTGGTGGCAGAGAAACGGAAGGGGTGTTGTTTTAACTTTTACAAACTCAATTTTCTTAACTTAAACAAAATCTTCACTTCAAGCTTTCGTGACTGCAGGAATTCATACTCTTTGGGTCTTTCGGTAAATTCACGTAGGTAGAAAAATAAAATAAAAAATCACGACGTTTCGATCGCAACACAAGCAATCGTTCTCAGGTGAAAAAACATAATAATATTAGTGTTTTTTTGACATTGAGATCCGCGGAAAGTTTATATTTTTGGATTATCCACGAATTTGAATGATCCTCAACCGTCCTCCCCGTCATGAGCGCTGTAGTCGACCGCACTTGGAATGGGTGGAACCTCCTTTCACACAAATCCCGACAGCAGCTGGGGGCATAGGTGACGTCAGCACGCTCACCCCGCCGACTGTCGGACCAAGCCGACCAATCAGATTCTGTCCGCTCCACAGCCGCGCACGTGCCACGCGATCGCCGCACGCGTTGGCCCGGAGTCATTCAGCCGCAGCTCTGGTCTGTGGCTGAACTCATCTCCTTTCCCTCTGAAGTGATCTCAGGGAGGATTGCACCGAGGGCAAGGCTCGCCCTCCTGGGCTGCCGACCCCCCCCCCCCCCCCTCTGTCGAAAGCTCTCTTCCCATTGTCTTTCTGTATCTCTGCTCACGGCTCCAAGGAAGGGCTCACTGAGCTGGTTGACATTTGCCCAACCCCGGCAGCGATGAGCCACCGATGAATGGGGGTTGGAACTCACCGCTGGCCCTTTTCCTCCCACGCGGACTCTTTTGCTTCGTAGTGGAGTGCTGGCTCCCCGTCATCACGTGATACTTGCCTTTTTTTTTCAAAGCATAGCGACTCCCGGCTGGTATAATACCATAGGGTCGCATCTGTGCAGTGCCGGATTATCCTCGTAGCAAAAGTAGCTACATATGCTACGGGCCCCGTACTTTCAAGGGCCCCGCGCTAAATGCTTTCAAGCTATCAATTCTGGTTCAATGATTCTGCACTTGCTCTATTACGATAGTGCTATACTGCCTTCAACTTTTATGTACGACTGGGTGTTTAGGGTTAGCGATTTTTAGTATCTGGCTGTACAGCAATGAAAAAATAAATCACCTTACTATGTAGGTAAAAAAATTGTGTTTTAATATTCATGTTTTTTTTTTATTTAGGGCGTTTTATAACATATGCTACAGGCCCCGCACTAGCTTAATCCGGCACTGCATCTGTGATCAGTTGTCGACGAGAGTGGATATATCGTTCAGAATCGCGTTTAGGTTGTTGCGTAAAGTTGCTTCATTAGCGAAAAGTGGTTAATTGATAGTCCTGCTAATTGCTTGGTGGTGGTAAGGCGGTTTGCTGTTGGTGTGCATCCTTTGCACGTTTAGTCAACACATAACAATGGTGGCATTTACTGGAACCCTGAGCCGGAACTTTTGTAGTGGAAAATGCAGTCAATTGGAAAGACGCTGGTTATTCTGAGATTGAGACGATATCTGCTTTGCCCTGTAGTAAAGCAACACATTTGCCAAAGTTAATACGTTCATCGAGTCTTAAGAGCTGATAGTTTAATTCGCAAATCTGTCCAATGATTTATGTCGGGAGTTACCAACATATGCTGGCTATGTTCTGACGTGGATACAATTGTCCCTGGGGAATAATTTGCTGGAGTATATCACGGTATGGATTGTCCTAGCCATAACTTAACACATTGTTTAACTATGGTTAAATCGTGAATATCAATTAACCTCCACCCAGCTAAATAAAGAAACACAGTTCAATTAAATTGAAGCAGTCAAACTACGTCTCCCGCGTGATAGAAAGAGAAAAAAACCAATACTGAATCTGAACGCCCCTGGCTTCTCCAAGTGATCTACCCGAAGTCCTAAATCATGCCCAGAATATCGGTGGATATTAGTGAGGGTCGCACCCGAGGCGAGGCGCGGCACGCGGGAAGTGGCCGTAACTGCTCAAGGGGAATGAATGCAGTTGGAAGCAACGCGATACGCGAAGGGCCTGGATGTGTCCATGCTTGGGCACGCTGCCGAGCCGGCAGGAATGTTCGCTATCGCAAAACCAGACTCTGGAACGGTGACCGCTTGGAGCGCAGCCACGGCACTCAGTGCCTGGGCTGTGTGCAGCCCCTGAGCGTTACTGCGAGGGAGAGCTTAAGACATTATGATCTCGGAGGGCACGGGAGGAAGTGAACACCAAAGGTCTAATCTAGATTTGAAGTTTTCGCGACTGCAGGGATCCATACTCTTTGGTTCTTTCGGTAAAGTTACGTAGGTAGAAAATAAAATAATTTATTTTATATTAGGGTACTAAAGGTATCTCTCTCTGATGCGCATTTCACTATATGCATATCTTGTGAAATAATTGATGATGATGTGGCCATTTAAAGAGAAAGTAGAACGGGTGGCGTGTAACGTTTGTCTCAGGGTTTTGAGCCACTGGAAAATGTGAGTTTGAATCAGATGCCCATGACGTGTAGTTCGTTGGTTACTCTCAGCCGTACACTTATGTCTACGCGTAAAACATCACGGTTAGGTTTGTGTTGATTGAGTCTGCCCAAGCTCTGGGAATGAATGAGAACACCACAAATTGTTTTGCAATAACCGATGGAAGGTGAATATTCACCAGCCTTGGGTAGGCAGCGTGGCACATTTAAAAGAAAAAGAATAACGGGGGAAAGTCGAGGCACAGCGGTTCGCGCAATTCCCTGTGAACCCAGTAACTTGAATGCTATAATCAGAATGTATTTATCCAGGAGAGCCACACTGAGACACGTGTCTCCTATTCCAGGAGGGTCCTGCACTGGATATTGCATTTCCAGATGTTTTCAGCCACACGTGTGAGGAAACAGGAGCACCTGGAGATAACCCACACTCGAAAAGGGGGCAACACTACATCCCCGTACAGATGGAAACAGATGGCGATTAATCCACTTGCTGTATCACCTCCTTCTCCTGGTGAGCCAGGATACGGCTCCTCCTCGACGCCCACGGGAAGGGAGTTTCGCATTCGTGCTGCGGTGATCCACCAACTCTCGCTGCTGCCTCGACATTGCAGGGTGGCAGCTGGCACGTGCACTGCAAGCCACCACTGAATGTGATTCGGGCCTAGACATTGCACACCCCCCCCCCCCCGCACTCTTTCCCTCTTTCACAAAAGTCTACTTGGCCGGCGTGGTGAAGTAGGCTCCAAACAAACCCACTCTAACAATTCGGCATGGTGCCTCTTGCTGAGCTCGGCAATAACTTTGCCAAATATTTCGCTGGTCTGCGCTGTACAAATGTCCACTGCCAGCATGCGCAAATGCCTCCTGTCAGAGTTCATCTCAGTGCTCAGTGTTTCCCATTTGTGTTCTTGGAATTGCAATGCAGTGGGAAGTATTGGAATTACATACAAACAGTTGAGCCATTCTGAAGCTGTACAACGGGTGGAGGTGCAGTGGATTCTCTCCGGCACGAAATCGGCCCCTCGGCTGTACATTGTGTGTACGTTGAACTTTTTTGCAGCGTATGTAGCAGAATTGAGCCGATTTTATGCAAAAAATCGTTCCCCAAAAAAAGCGGCAAAACGTTGGCACAATTTGCTACTTGAATCGCGACCCGAGGTGCAAAGCGTTGAGTGCGTCGATGTAGAACGTGGTCGGGAACAACGTTCGAGCGAACACAATTTAAGTTCCGCACGTGCGTGGGTAGCATTGTGATACATGTGGCCAGCAGCTCCCGATATCACACATTCCTTTTGCTAACCGAGCTCAACCAACACCCGGCTCGGATGGGCCGTGTTAACGTCGCACACTCCGTCCAAGCGGCTGTGTGCGCATGGTTAGGGGCCAGATGTGTCCACGGCTATAACCGGGCTCTCTGGCAGCTGACCCTGCTTTGTGTAATGAGGCACAGGCTCTGGAATATTACGCGTAAAATGCGAAGCCTCCGAAGCATTTACAATTTAGGTGGGTTTCACCCGTGAGCGTAAGAGTAATAATCATTTAAACCAACTTGCAGCTCTGCGGATACGTGCGTGCAGTCTGCAAATGTTTTAAATAAACCCAACTTAATACTGCATGCCGGAGAAGATGTCGGCACACCTAAACCACATTACAGCGTGCATCTGCTGACAGGACCCGGTTTACGATCAACTAGACGATTTTTATTTTACCAGGTAAGGCCCACTGAGCTATATATATAGATATATCTTTTTCAGAAGCGACCTGGCTAACACAAGTGATAGCTCAACGAAGTTGCTTATCACGTAGACATTTATTTCAGCCAAATACTCTAAACGCATGTTGATTTTAAATGTGGAGGAGAAAAGCAGAGGACCTGGAGAAAAATCCACGCGACCATGGGGAGAGTAACATGCAAACTACAAATATACAGCAGCAGCAGGCGTCAGGGTCGGGATCGAACCCACGACCTCCTGTACACCAGGTGAGTTAGTTAGCATCTCCTAGCCACCGCGTTATCTAAGGACAGTGACGATATTTTCTAAGTTATTTGTGGGAAAATATGAACCTTGAGACATGGGTTTTGAACCAAAGCAGCGTTTGCATTGAACTCATCGATTAAAATAGATTCTGACGCTCATGATTCAACCATCCAATCGTGTGAGTGCCTATGCACTACATGGGGCGCTACATTCACCACGATGTTACAAAATCATATATATTTTTGTGAATAAAATCGTGACCTCGAAGTGTGACAATTCATCGAATTACGAAGCAGTGATCGCCACATGGCCACTCGCAGTGGCTGTCTGCTGTGGATGCAGCGACGACCTTCATCTAACACCGACGAGTCGAGCAGCCTCTTCTTCGACGGGGACCTGGGAATTATTCTACGGGGGCCTTTAGTCTCGGCATTCAGATGGCACTCTTTGGTGAAAACATTTCCCGAAGAATTTATTTTTTAATCGAGCAGCCGTTAACACCGAAGCCGCGGACTCCACCGTCCGTGCCGAGTGGCCGAGTGAGCGCGTCGAGCATTCGCTCATCGGTGCGGGAGCGGAGGGCGGTAGGGGGGGGAGTGGTGGTGCAAGCTCACCTGGGTACCCGTTCCCGTCCACGTCCACGGCGCCCCTCAGCGAGTAGCCGAAGCCGGGCAGAACGCCGGCAGACGCCCACTGTCCCTGCAGCACCTGCGTGGGAGACGTCCTGAGGCCGTCCCGGCTGCCGCTGTAGACGTGCACCAGGCCGCGCTGGTCCTCCCCGCCAAACGGGGCGCCCACCGCCACGTCTGCGACGGCAACCAGAGACACGCGCGGGGCTGTTGGGGGGGGGGGGGACTGAGCGCCCTCGCCGTCGTCTACAACCCCCCGAGGACTCACCCCTCCCCCCCCACACCCGCTGGCTACATCTCCCCTCTCGTCTGACTCCACGTGCGGTCCACTCCAGCGACCGACCGTCTGCTGGTCACGACTCCCGCTCGGGTCTCCACTCGCCCGCCGGTCGTTCTTCTCTGCGGCTGCCCCCGTGGTTTGTAATTCTTCCACCCCCCCACCCACCCACCGGTAGTCCGTGCTATGGCACTCGCTTCTCCCTCGTCCAGCTGAAGCCAGAGGCTCTCAGAGGCTCTCCTCCCTCTCCTACTTCTCCTACCTCTCCTACTTCTCCTACTTTTCCGCCTCTTTTGGCGAAACGAGTGAAATTCCCGCATTGGCGACCTATAACCCCCTTCGCTACCAATAATGATTATTTCTTGTATCCAAAGTCCCTTCGATGTAAATTGTCCCCCAATGTGTTTTTCTTTTCCCCAGAGCTTTGAGGTGCAGTTGTATTTAGCTTTGCCGACAATTCACACCGTCTTTGAGTTATTGTCCCGGAATCGAAATGTGTGCTTCTCTCTGGCAATGGTTTTATCTGCGCGGACAACTTTCCCTAGGATGCTGTCCAATTTTGCCGTTGCTGTCAGAGCGATGACCCAGGGTTGTGCGGCGCTGAGAGTGCGCCGATGCTATCGGAGCTGTTCCACGAATTGCTCCCCACTCTCTGAGCGGTCACAATCTCTGAAAGGGGCGGGGGGGCTCACATTCTAAGTGACCACATCAAGTGCTGATGCTATCTAATAATATAATCAGTGGGGCTGTGCGAGTCATACAGAGGAGGGGCTGCCAATGGATTGATGCTTTGTTTTAAACTGTCACTAAACTATGTTTTGTATTTTACCAGGTAAGGCCCACTGAGCTATATCCAGTAGCTCTATTTCAGACGCGACCTGGCTATCACAAGTGATAGCTCAACGAAGTTGCTTATCGCGTGGACATTTATTTCAGCAAAATACTCTAAACGCATTTTGATTTTAAATGTGGAGGGAAAAGCATAGGGCCCGGAGAAAAATGCACGCGACCACGGGGAGAACACGCAAACTCCAAATATACAGCAGGCGTCAGGGTCGGGATCAAACCCATGGCCTCCTGCATACCAGGCGAGGTAGTTAACATCTCACCACCGTGAGGCAACAGTAATTGAAAATATGGAGTTGCTATCAACTACTTAAACACATTCCTGCGGAGGGAGCTGGTAGGAACGTTGGGTTGCTCGGTCAATGGCCAGGGTCAACGGCGATGTGGTGTATTCCGCAAATATGCCCGACGTGAGGGCGGGCACAAGCCGGCGTGAGTAGGTTAAACGTTGCGTTTTATGAGGGCACCACGGGGTGACCAGCCCCTCCCCACCCAGCCCCCCCCCTCCCCACCCAGCCCCTCCCAACCCTCCCCTCCCCACCCAGCCCCTCCCCATATGTTTTAGTACTGTAATACTGTTTTGACAGTTGCACACAAGCACAAACTCAGCACATTCCTCATTAACACTGTCCCAAAAGTAATAAACATATACACGGGCATGTGTTGAGCAATAACCCTTCTACTCTCGACTATAAAGCAAGGCCCTTACTCTCGAAGTCACTCGCTAAGTAGTATTTCCTATCAGGGTGGTGTTTTTCACGAATGTGTTGGGTTTATAAAATTTACGACGGTTTCCTCAAAAGTGATGCCTCTTTATGCTATTTCTCAGTAACTTTTAAATTAACTGATTATATAAATTTTATATCTCACACACATCGTGAACATGCACGGCTGTTCCATGTTTTTCCACACTTCCTCGACGCATATGACGAATGTCTGGGTTCGATCATCGAATACTGGGAAAAGAACATGTTTCATTTCTTCAGTATTTGAAGCTGTACGCTTAACATTTTTTAAGGCAATCAGAAGCTACTGAGAAGAAATATACAACACGATATCAAATGGTAGGATGTGACGACCGTCGCGTTTTAAGTTCCCAATTACTTTGTATTAGTATTTAACTTATATGTTGTTGTGTTTTTGTGCTCTGCTGAACTTCCAGCGAGAATGAAGATCGCTTAAGAGTTCCTCAACTCTGTAACACTTTATACCCATACTCTTATTCTAGATTTGAAGTTTATCCTGTACGTGCTGTCAGTGATCCAATAAAGAATTGAGGAATTAAATGAACTACCACAATGATGACTGCCTGTATCCGTCATATTGTCAATTACTCGAAATAACATTTCTCAAAGCACTCAATTAACATGTCTTTATTTAGAACTTTAATTATTGAGTTTGTTATATGAGAAATATAAATGTAATAAAAAAAAATCGACGTGATGCAGATCGTACGCTACAATTGAAAACGAATTTCTTCAGAACTGCTTTGTTGTCTTTCGGCTGGCTATGCACGGTGCGAAAGAAGTTCAACGTCACCGCCAGGGCTGGATCAAGGCACGGGGGCTTCAGGGGCTGCAGCCCAGGAGACCCCACCAGCCGGAGGGCCTCCAGAGATTCAAGTGAAAAGTAATTTCATTCGTGAATGCTGCATTTTATTTGTTGTTAGCCTTTGAAAAATACAATTGTATTTTTCTTTAACTTTGTTTTCCTTTTGAATATATTACTGGGGGCCTCGCGGTACCTGCAAGCCCAGGGGCCTACACAATCTTCATTCGGCCCTGGCACACGTACAAACAAACATTGCGCCAAGTCCGATCGAGGCCCTGACTGAGACCCTAACTTCTCGGCGACGCTGGACGTGGCGCCCTCCCGCAGGTCGAGCTCCTCGCCCACAGGGGCCTCCTCATCTCTCTCCACCACCGCCGCCACAGTGCGTGCGGTCGCGGTGTCCCCGGGTACCGTTATAGCCGTCCTGGTCCAGGTCGCCCAGCGGGGCGATGGCGCTGCCGAAGCGCGTGTAGGTGTGGGGGCCGTCGACGGTCTGCGGCTCCCGGAAGGAGAGCGGCCGCTCCTGCAGGAACGCGTAGAGGCGGCCGACCTCGCGCAGCGAGCTCTCGGACACGCGGCGCATGAAGAGCGGCGCTCCCACCAGCACGTCGTCCAGCCTGCCGCGGAGACACGAACAGCCGCACACAGCTACGCACACAGCCACATACAGCCACATGCGCTCACAGCGACACACAGCCACACACAGTCACACACAATCACACACGCTCAGAGCCACACAGTCACACACAGCCACACATGCTCACACGCATGAAGCCTGTGGGATAGCACACTGCCAAGGCTACACTTTTGTAAAATTCATGACTGAGGTGCTCTAATTTACGGGTCCAGGGTGAAAAGTCTGGCACAGCATTTGGGATCATCTGGAGTTTGGGAATGAGGGATTTGGGGGCAGGGCCGTAGCGGAGAGGGCTTGCAGTAGTCGATTCGGAAACGCGATGAAGACATGAATGAGGATTCTCAGGGGGTAGCTGTGATGAGGAGATGGGGGGTGCGGGAGACGAGCAGATGTATGTACGTGTGCGTTGAACTTCTTTCACACCGTACGTAGCCAACCGCGCTAAACTGCGGTGCAGGGGAAGGACAACAAACTAAACACATGAAATGGAGGCGTGAGGTCCTGCAAGGTCCAGATAATTAAGATAGGAATTATAATTAGCTTATTTTAGATTCATATTAATATTACCAATCCTGTGAAAAACTCCCGCAGCAAACCAAAGATTGATTTTACCATCAAAATACCATTATCTTTTTTTTAAATCTCCAATTCCATTTTTATCACCACATTTATCGATGCTAGCGGGTGCCGTAATGGACATTGATTGAAATTGATTTTGTAAAACAAAAAATGCAGATTGGATCAGGTGATTAGATCGACCATGCAAAGGATCAGATGAGATCTAAGTGGGATTGATGATATCACCCCAGTGGGTTCATTGGATCTTATCTGAGCTGCCAATCCCTGGAATGTATCGTTATTAAACACAGGGAAAACGGTACACGTCTTAAATGACGATTCATATATTTTACCGTCAAAATATGTCAATATTACATGAAAACACCGCGTGGAATTAATTCTTTGAGTAAAAAATATCTGTCACTGCATGCTACTAACGTGTGTAGTCGATGCCCTCTCACTTGAACTATCCCGGATTTGGGCTCGCCGGTGTTAAACGTTATTAAAACTTATCAATCGCTTATGCAATTTTATTTTGCGTTCTGTTTGGTTACATTGTTCCTCTCTCCCCTCCCCTTTCTCCCATTATCCTCCCTCCCCCCTTAATCACACTGCTGCCGATCGTTACCCCGACCGCGGTAGGGCGGTGAACTCGGATGCCCTCGATCGGTTCCCTGCTTATGAGGGCGCATTACGCCCGCCCTGTTCATACGTTGCGCGTTGTTCCTTCCTCCTTGCGATATTCCCCTCTGTATTCTTAAGCAAATAAACAATGATATTAAAAAAACGCTTCGAAAATAAAACCTATCAATCGCAATACAGTACTTCAAAACGATATCGCGAACTCCTCTTTAAAAAAAAAGATGTAAAAAAAAAGATTATATATATTTAAAAAAATATTTTTTTTAAAACGCGTCCCTATCCAGAATCTGAAGGCCACACGACCTTCGGGGTATAAATGGAGGGCGCCGTTGGGTGGCGACCGTCCTGCCGCTCGCTCCCGCCGTACTCACCGGTCACCATTGACGTCCGTGACCGCCACGGCGAAGCCGAAGTAGGAAGCCATCTGCAGGGGGAGAGGGACGCAACGGCGTGGCTGACGAGCTGCGGGTCGCACGCTCACAGCGGCGCAACTTATACTGTTGTCGTGGAACACGCTTTTTGTCTTGACTGAAAGCTTCGTGACTGCAGGAATAACATATTTTATGGGTCTTTCGGTCAAGCCACCAGGTGTTGACGATTGCTTGTGTTGCGATCGAAACGTCGTGATATTTTTTGTATTATTTTTCTATCTCCGTGGCTTTACCGAAAGACCCATAGAATACTGCGTTTTGTGCTTAGTCTGTTGTTGCTCCACCGCACCTCCGATTAGCACGGTTTGGCTACGTACGGTGCGATAGAGGTCCAACGCACGTACGTGCCGTCACGCTCCGTTACCCAGCATAGCCTCGCCGAGACTCGGGGCTGTTTCAGGAGGTTTCACAGCAGCGTGGCGATGTCGCTGCTGTGTGAGATCCCAACGGAGTGATCTGCAGGTATTTTATTACCACCGGGACGCTTGGTCAATACCAGTTGCATTGCATAGCTTTTAGTTGGGTCACCAGCTGGCATTTAACGTTAAGATAGCGCGACAACGGATCCTGCTCACGATCGCGAGGCAACGAGCCCAGACGCCCTCGTTCGATCCCCAATGTCGAGGGTGCATTACGTCGAGCTTGTTACGCATTATCTGCTATTCATTTCGTCCCCGCTCTTTGTGAAATCGACTTTGTATGATGGGTTCTTTCATGGCAATACGTAAAAAAAGATATACCGTGTAATCACAATGAAGTAATGCATGCTACTTATGCGAGAATGTCACTGCAATTTGCCACAGAGGCCTGTGAAGGTACAGCGGAATGGGCGGAGGAGGTGAAATGAATGAACGGTCACTTTCAGACGGAGGGTCTGGGTCGTGATGGCAGCGCCGGGTGACTTGGCACGGAATCTCAAGACTCGGCGGCGGCAATGTGCCGGTGATTTCATTCCCCCCCCCCCCTCTTCTCCCACCCCCCACCCGCCCCCTCAAAAATAGTGTTTATTGATATTTACCACCGAAATTGTATTGATTGAGTGTTGTTCTTGATTAATGCAGGGGGCCCTATTTTAAAAGCTTGAAATTTCCGGACCACCATCCCTCCCCCCTGGGAAGTTTCGCTATCCGCCTCCGTCTACCGCCATCCTCGTAGCGAACAGACGGCTTTATTAGCCGCCCACTACGATCGCCGAGGCAGCAAGCGGGAATGAAACCTTTGACCACGGGGCCAGCCCAGCTGCCCTCTGAATAGACGAGGAGCTCGGATGGAGTGCTTTTAGCACAGCCTTGCCGAGCGCAGTCACCCACGTGGTGGCGTGCACACACGAGCACTCTGACAACAACATCAGCAGCAGCAGCACAGCTGTTGTCGGCAAGCAGCAGTGGCGGCTGATGGGATTAAACTAAAACTTTTTATTTTTAAGAGGTAAGGCCCCATTGAGTTATACAGCTCTTTTTAAAAAAGCGACCTGGTTATCATAAATGATAGCTCAACGAAGTGGCTTTAATAACAGCCAAATACTCGAAACGCGTGATGTTTATTCTGCATGTGAAGGGAAAACCCGGAGGATCCGGTGAAAAAATCCACGCAACCACGGGGAGAGAACGCACACTCCAAATATACAGGAATCGTCAAGGTAGGGATCAAACCCACAGCCACCTGCATAGCAGGCGAGGGAGTTAACATCTCGCTACCGCGAGGAAGTGGTCGCACCGTGGGTTCTCTCTGACTCCTGTGCGTCTCACCTGCTCGCCGCTGAAGTTATGCACGGAGGTCATGTTGTCCGCTTCCAGGATCGCTACCTGGACAAATGAAGAATAGGAAAGGGTGAGCATTAAACCGTCAAATTTGCCCAGCGCAGTGGCTACGAAGCATCAGTGAGGGCATTGTCGGTGGTGCCCATGCCTTTCAGCTTTTGTTTCACGTTCCTTGTTGGTGCGTCTGGTGCATACGGCGCAGCTGGCTGTAGCCACCGACTGCAAATTTATTTTTCATTACCAAGTTCCCCACCCCCCTACGTGGATGTCCACTCCCTGTTGGCGTCTCGAGACGTCGTTGTGCAAGTTAACGGCAACGGTGGAAGCAACGCTGCCGACTCGTTCAGCGACGTGAAGATCCAAGACCAGACCAGCGGCACGGGATACTTACATATCCCACGGAGCGCAACCCCTTGGGGACTCCTGTCACGTACTCTGCGGGGCAGGGGTAGGGAGCGACATCGGTGCAGAGTCGTTAGCCAGATCCGTCTAGAGACCTCAGGCCGGATGCTGAACTTAACGCTGTGTTGCCCTGAACGTGGAAAGCCTCGCTGAGTCTCAAGACTTTTCGTTTCAGGAGGGTCCTGCCAAGTTTGTGCAGGAGGGAGCGATGCTTCTTTGTGGTATGCCAATTGATTTGATTTTTTTTCGGATACATTTTCAGTATTGACATGTTTTGCCCAATATCAGTTACATTTCTACGTTTTTATTTTACATTTTGGTAGGAAACTGGAGAAGCCGGAGTAAATCCATGCAGAGCAAGAGGAGAACAAACAAACTCCACGCAGAACGGCGTCAGGGTCCGAAATCGAACCCAGGCCCTTCTTGGTGTGAGGCGCGAATGTTACCACCATGCCACCACCCTGCCACCACCCTGCCACCACCTTGCCACCAAAAATGCAAACCTGACGCCATTAAATTATGGGACCATACTGAGAGCCACGCTTGGAATGTACAGTATAATTGAATACCTCAGATTTTGTTCAAGATTGCAGATCTTCGGAAATTATATTTCAGTAATTACATTTCTAAACAGAGTAACATAACATATTTTAGTTGATCAATTAAAAAATAAACATTTAATGTCCATTAATCAGCCAAAAGCCCATCGGAATATATTATAATTCTCAAACTGGAAACGTGAATCCATAAATAAATGTCCGCTTCACCACTGAAATGAAAAGTCATTCAGGTTCATCAGCCAATGGATCCATCTCAGACAGTGCTTCCCAGCAGTATTTGCTTAAACAGGCAATCCCAGGACATCAGCTACACGCCACTGATGATGACACTCATGAAGTCAAAACAAGTGCAGTGTTTGCCTGCGTTGGGAAGTGCTCCTGTAAGTAAACATTGTTCCAGAAGGCCATCAGGCCGACGAACCTGAATGCCGTTTCACGGTATAGGTGGTAGTGAAACAGACCCTAACCGGCACGTTTATTTATTCACCTTTTTACCCAGACTGCCACAAAGTCAGGGCCTCCACTCGATGAGGTTCTTAGACAGCCACTCTCAAGGGCACTTTGTCTACTACGCTTTATCTACAGATTGTGGTGTTACCATTTATATTGCCTGGTGGACAGAGGTGAGCGTATTTAAGAAACTGGAATTCACGGGTTGAACACGTGCGTTTTCCAAACCTAAGATGTGGCAGCGACAGAGTAGTGGGGCTAGGACTCTGCACAGTGTCACGGGGTTTGTGAAATCAGCTCTGTCACGGGAGGCATGCGGCTGCCACTGTGATTCCCTTACAGCCATTACGGAGCTAATCAGACTGTGTACTCTGCTTCGTGGTGGGTGGGTGTGTGTGTGTCGTGTGCGCTGACCACTTTCAAACCAAATCGTGTGCTTATCCCTGGGCCACATTTAAAGGTAGAACTGACTTCTACGTTTACTTTTGTGCAGAGAAAGAATGTCCAGTGCAAATAATATAACAGACATAAATACCTTATATAAATATGGACGTATATGTCAGCAGTGGCAGTGCAATTACCTTGCTGCAAATCACCAGTAAATTCTCCAACAGCCACAGAGTACCCTGTGCAAAAAGGAAACGTTATGAACACTACATCGACCAACGAGGGAGCCACATTTAGAGGCATTTATGGCATCTGCATTATTTATGGACAGTGCACTTAAGTGACGTTCACGCGAATTTAAGGAATGGAGGTCGCGGTGCAAATCTCTGCAATCAGCGTCTGTGTTGGATGAGCCCAGGGCCGATGGAATCTTATCAGTAGTCGTGGTTTGCAAGCGGCACATTATCCAATCCTCTCCGAGGAAGGTTTGTGGTATTCATTGAACCAATTGGAGATCCATCTGCCCCGAGGTCACATTTGCGATGTCACCAATTCCCCGGGCCCTGCTCCCTGCTATGGGTCCTCGTTGCCTCTGGGAGGCTGTCCTGCCTTTGGTAGTTGCACTCCACTCGGGGCCACTGAATGTCGGCATACACGAGCGTTGGATCCATGATACACGAGAGGGTAAGGAGGGGAGGGGGGCTTTCTGACAAGATCAGCGTTGGCTGAGGATGTGCGGCTCCTGCGAAGCTCACAGGAGAACGGGAGCGACGACAAGAACCACCGAGGGGCGGCGGTGGTGCCGCGCGCCGCTAGTGCACGCCTGGGGGTTCGGGCCCCTTGCGGTGACAGCACCGGGGGTCGACTGCGAGCGCCGTACGTGGCCACTTGCGGCCTCTTTTATTAGAAACTCAACCTCCATAGACCCCGAGTGGAGGGGCGTGGTCAGGGCGGTCACTTTGATCATCTCGCTTGTTTGCAAACGCCCACGTTTCTTCAACATAACGTATTTTGTTGGGTTTAGATCGCGTAAGTATAAATTTGTCGTAAAGCACCCACATTCCACCTGACACAGACAGTTCGTGAGGTTTGTCACGTGGAACAAAACGTGCCAACAACGAGTGACCACTTCAGCACCATCGGTGTGTCGGAGAGCAAACGCACAACATGTGCGAATTGAGTTCACGACGTTTTGCTGGCGATTGAAGAGTCGACTTTTCTTGAGACTGGCCATGCCGGGATTCACGAACGCAACGATGTAAACATCCAAGGAGACCGCTCCATCCCCCGGCTACTCGGCTGTAATCACACCCCTCTCCCCCCGTCCGGTGCGTGTGCCCCCGTCCTTACGACCACCGGACTACACGCAAGGACTTTCTGATGCGCTTCTGCGGCCGCCTGGAACGCCCTTCCTTCCGATATCGGGAAGACACTGGAGCTATGCACTGCTAAATCATCATCTTCTCGATCGACAAACTCATTTCTTTAGAACAAACTTCACGTGATTCGTTTGTTGTCCTTCCCCCCAGCACCTCCGATCAGCACGGCTGGCGATGCACGGTGCGACACAAGATCAACGTACACGTCGGGGCCGGATCGAGGCACGGGGGCTTCAGGGGCTGCAGCCCAGGGGTCTCCGCCAGCCGGAGGGCCTCCAGAGATTTAAGTGAAAAGTTATTTCGTTCGTGAATGCTGCATGTTATTTGTTGTTAACCTTGTAAGAAATCCAGTACACACACAGGGAAGGTTGCACCGCCGTCTGGTCAGCCTGCACGTCCCAAGGCGGCGCAAGGCTTTGCCCGCACGAGGCTGCACGCGACTCCCATCCCGGGCGTTACGCGCGCAGAGACGCGGGTCCGCACTTTGCTCGTGCGGGAAGTGAGCGTTTAGTCCTCGGGGCTCGCTCAACGTGCACACACACACAGAGGCCCAATGGCTGCTCTCTCAAAGTGAGGGCAGGAAACCAAGAGAGGGATCATATTCACGTTCCACTTTCCGTGCCCCCGCTTGGACCGCGCTGAGCGCGGGGGGTGGGGGGGGGGGCAGCGTGGTGGAGTTGCGCTGTCAGCCGACTCAGAAAGTTGGCGCATGTGGTTTGGCCATTTTCGCGGCCGCCCCTTCACGGCTCAGACACCGGCGCGTATCGCAATTCATTTTCCAGTTGACATCTGAGTGCAATAATAATAATAGTAGGTATCATTGCCCCTACGTAGACCTGGCGTGCATTGTTAAATTTAGTTTTTCATACGTGAAGATGCGCCGACCAAAATAGATAATTGTTTGGCTTTTCCCCACCGTTAAGTTCATCCTTCCAATATTAGGATTCCACTGGAGCGATGCGCTTTTAAATCTAGATCGAAAACTCATTTCTTTAGAGAACTGCCTTTCGTGTTCGGTTTCTTGTCCTTCCCCCCGGAAACCCCGAATAGCACGGTTGGCTACGTACGATGCGAAAGAAGTTCAACATACACACATACATCTTCTACACTGACCTGGCGTTTGCGCTCCGCGCTCGTGTGCGCAAAACCAGACGCGTCAAACGAAGCGCGCGGCCGCGTTGGCAGTGATGTGGAAGCACAGACTGAAAACCCATTACCACCATCATCATCATCACTGCGCTGCCCTGTAACTGAATAACATTTTTGGGCAAAGTCTCTTCCTCCCCTGGCAATTGCCCAAAACGTTAGCTTCATATAAACATTTAATTTATAAGGCCACGGCAGTAAACTATCGAGTAAAGTAGACGGTACTGTATCGTGCGTACACAGTCGTGTCCCAGCGTCGCATTGTGGCCAGGGTGTAGCTCATGGAGTGAAGCAGCGTGCTCGTGAGACCATGGACCGCACCACCACAAACTCAAACCCCCCGAGTGGAGTCGCGTGGCTGGTACAATAAGCGGCGCTCACGTCTGCGCGACAACGAAATGGAACTTGAGGCTCTGAGCGAAACAAGCGAACGCCCTTCACGAACCGGTGACCCCCGCAGTGGCCGTCTCCACCGAGAACTCGCTCTCAACGGAGACGTACGGAGTCGGCACGAATCGCTCAGGACCAACAACGGGAATAAGCACTGCCCCCCCCCCCCACGCCTGTTTGAGCATGGGACGGCTAAGCCCGTATGCGTGCGAAGGGCAGGCGCCACGTGGGCATTGCACGGGCCACGTGCGCAGAGGCTGTCCATTGACCGCTGCTTCACAACGTGCTCTGGTGAGCACTGCAATGTCAACTATTGTCTCTGCGCCAGTGGTTCTTAACCTTCGCTGCAGCCATGTACCCCTTGGGTTCTCAATGGTTGATAAAGGCACAATGTTAACACGTAGGGGCTTGATGAAACGAAGTAGTTGTATTCACGTGTCCGTGCTCAAGTTGTGTTTCGATGATTTAGCTTCTAAAAGCATCTGGCCATGACTCGCACCCCCAGGAAAAGGCATCTCGCACCCCCAGGGGGTGCGTGCACGCCAGGTGAAGACGAACCACTGGTCTACGCCGATGCCCCTCGTCTGAACATCCCCATTTCTTCCCAAACAACTCGATATCCCCGTCCGGATCTCCAACACAGTTACCGTGTTGGCAACGTCACATTGCTGTGCATACTCCCTGGAACAAACAGAAAAACGAGCGCTGTGGCAATTTAAAGACGAAGTGGATTCTCGCCCTCCCCACGGAGAGCCGGCGGTGGAGCCGAGCAACGAGACGCGCGAAGACACGCGGCACACCCCGGGCGAAAAACGTGCGAGACATGTTTAAGGAAAGATGCTAAAGCAGTCAAACATTCATCGCTGCTCCTGCTGCTGCTGCTGCTTGTGCAGACGTAGGGATGGGCTCTGTTCAGGGGGCCACGGGAATTTCGGTGGCCCTGCCTCCTGTCTGCCTCTTCGGGAGTCGCTGCGCGGTGCACGCGACGAACGGCACCTTGGGCTGCGTGCATGAAACGTCTGCACAAGTCACCGCGCGTGATGAAGCTGTGCTGCTTCCTAGTAAAGACTTTTTGAGTCCCTTAGATATATCTCATATCCAACTACTTCATATTTTACGATAGACGCGAGTACAGCTTAACTGTTATGACATGTATTTGTTTTAAAGGCAGCTCATTTCTGCTCAAATGAACCATGGCATGGCACTCATCGCTTGTTTATAGCCTCTAAGCCAATGTTGGAAAATCCACATTCCTATGGCGGGCGTGAGTCTATCCGTAGGGTAACCGCTGTTGGCTTCCCACGAAGTGGCACTCATTTACGGACCCCCCCCCCCCCCCCGAGTGTTCGAAGGGCCGAGTTGGCACCCAATTGGGGTTCTGAACTCGCACCGTTCTCTCGGTCGTCACGGCCAATCCACTTTCCCTACGACTACTCCACTCGGTTACACCCCGAAACGCCTCGGTGAGTCTCAGGACTCTTTCACAGGAGGGTCCTGCCAAGTGTTCGTAGCCGCGGGGTGGATGTTGCTGTGTGTGGTCCCAATTGAGCAATGTGCAGGTAATTTTTTTCCGAAATTGGGATGTTTTGGCCTATACCAGTTGGGAAATTTGCGGTGTACATTTTCAGCATCGTCGTGTTTTCGTCAGTACCAGTTCAGTTACATCGTGTGTTATATTAGCTGTGGGAGGAATCCGGAGAACCCGGAGGAAACCCACGCAGAACAGGGGGAGAGGGAACATGCAAACTCCACACAGATAGGCGTCCAGGTCCTGAATTCAACCCAGGCCCTTCTTGATTACAAAACTCTCTGCATGCGTCCAAATATATAATAAACGGGGTACACCCTCAGTAAGATCACCATGAGGGAGAGAGAGGAAACAGCGCACTGCAGGGATGCTCGCGACAATTATGTTCACAACGATGGACTACATTAAAGTGAAATTAGGGGCATCGTCATGAAATGTAATCGCATCAATTTCAACAAATCGTTTCACTCCACCCCAAACCTTTGTTAGGATTGAACGAAATAAATAGCAGTGAATGGCCTCTCTCCGAATGCTATGGTCAACATGTTTAATGATTCTTGTATACGAGTCAGAAATCGAACCCAGGCCCTTGTTGCAGCGTGACACGAGTGTCACCACCCTGCTACGTAACTTCCGTACCGGCCAGTTCGCACATTGTGGGAAACCCTTGACACCCCGCCATAGAAATGTGTAATTTCCATCACCGGCTCAGGGCTGCCGTCATCGGCGATGAACACCCCCCCCCCCCGCACCCCCCGACAACCGTGCGAGCGTCAAGGCCCTTGGGAGTCTGACCCCGTCACCTCCACCGAACCCGTATCCCTGGCGCGGCTTCAAGAGAGCCTTGTTGTCCAAATAGGCTAAACAGGCTCTCGACCAGTTATACCCAATGGTTAGGAATGAATGAACCTGAACCGACCATTGGTCATTGATCGGCGGCAACAATGTTCGTTCGCCTCGCTGTCAGGAGGCGTTCATCCTTCACATCCGCGGCGGCGGCGGCTGAGGGGCCGCGCCGCCGGGCCCCCTGAGCGAGAGGGCGGCCTGCGTGTCGGCGTGCTCTATAATGGCGGCCTCTGTTCGGCCGCCGCTCCTGAGCGCTCGTTGTGAAGCGGGGCAGGCGTTGTGGGCGCCGCGGTGGCGAGACGTTGACTACCTCGTCTAGTGCACAGGAGGCCGTGGGTCCGATCCCGACCCTGAACGCCTACTGCATATTTGGAGTTTGCGGTGTCTCTTTCTCTCTCTCTCCGTGTGGTCCGTGTGGATTTTCTCCGGGTCCTCCAGCTTTTCCCTCCACATTTAGAATCAACATCACGCATTCAGAGTATTTGGCTGCTACAAATTTCCACGTGATAAGCGACTTCGTTGAGCTATCATCTGTGGCCAGGTCGCTTCTGTAAAAGAGCTATACAGCTCAGTGGGCCTTACCTGCTAAAATAAAAAAAAGTTTAGTTGTAATAGTTGTGTACACAACGTGCGCGTTGTAACGCTCTGGCTGACAGCGCTTTTTTGTCACTACAGGGAGCTCTGATCTCCCCGCAGAGTGCCGTGGAACGTGAGGCAACGTCCGTTCCAAGCCCCACGCTGTGCTCGCTCACATGCGTGTGGCTGCCGAGTTGCAGAAATCACTGCGACTGGGCAATGTCCCACGTGTAACGAGTGATGTACAGGATAAGCCAGGGCAAACATTGAAATAAAGCCACCCTGTCAATTTGTCTAGTTGAGGAAGCTTTTACAATCTTGATTTGAAGCTTTCGTGACTGCAGGAATTCATACTATTTGGTTATTTCGGTAAAGTCACGTAGATAGAAAAATAACTAATAGATCACGACGTTTCGGTAGCAACACAAGCCATCGTCTTCAGGTGGAACAATACAGCAGGCGGACTGCTCAGGCAGGAGGAAATGTAGTGAGAGAGCGACTGATCGGGAATTGAACACAGGAAACCCTTCCTACTGTGGGGCACAAGTGTTTACGACTGCACCACCACCACCAATCGGGCAACAATACCTTGAGCCAAAACGTTTCCGCTTGACGTGGAAACTCTTGTCATTTGGTTATCAATCATCTCAATTGCATTTCCCTGTCGTCGTTTAGAGTTCCATCGGTGGCAGTCTGAGCCTCCGCCTCCCGGTGGGCGCTGGCTCACTCGACCAGCAATGAGAGAGATTCTCACTGCCAGCCTCCCGCACTCCGTGTGCGACACAATACAGGCACTCTTCTACTTACAAACACTCGACTTAGGAACTTTCAGAGATACGGACAAACCCGTCCCGTACGTCCAGTTGCCTGTTTCTGACTGAAAGTCGTAAGTTCAACCGCTGTGCAACAGATGGCGGTGGTGGCATCTAGATCTGCAGAACGTGAAGAACCAGCGGCATCTACATCTGCAGAACGTGAAGAACCAACGGCATCTACATCTACAGGAGATTATACAACTTTTGAAGTGTTTAGTGTACATGCCGTACAACACGTTTGGAATCGACAGGGGTAAAGTTGGAATTACGAATACATCGACTTAGGAACAGACCTCTGGGAATCTAACTCGCTCGTAAATAAGAGGAGTCCTTGTATCTCCGCTTCTCCACCGGGACTCTGCAGGTAAAAAATAAGAACGCGAGCATAGCGGCGCGCGCGATCACCTACCGGAGTTTCTCGGTTTATTTTACAGATGAATGGCCGTTGTTTAAGAGCAAGCATGCGGAAAGCAGAAACGGCGGAAAGGGGGGAAGATTGTTTGTTGAATTTACTAATCGCGACCGCCGAGGCCACGAGGGCAGGGACGCGTTTTAATGGCACCACATGTTTCAAAAAGGACATTCCTTTTTGGTTCCTTGGGAGCGACCACTTAAAAAGCCTGCGATCCAGAGAAGTCTCGATAACATTGGGCCCCGCACTCATTACTACCGTTAATCTCCCTCGCCTAATGTATCCATCACCGTTGTCCGTAAACAGAAGGTCACGGGCGTTGTGATGAATGCAGAGGCGCTGCCTGTAGGCTTGCAGTGGCCTGGCCATGCGTTACGCTAACTCGGAGTGTCCAAGACGCCAATTATCTGTAATTCTGTTTGTCTGGATGGAAGGGAAACGGCCCACGTGGGCAGGCGACGTGGGGGGTCGTCACACTCACCCGTGTGGAGGTCCGTCACACCGCGACACTCACCCATGTAGCTGTCGTCGTGCGAGGACTGCCGCGCCCGGCTCTGCGTCTCCCCCTGCACCGCCTGGTTGATGTACGTCTCGTTGTGGCTGCCCAGCACCGCGCGCAGAGGGGCCGCGATCAGCTGCCCTGAACACGGCCGACAACAATCGCCACCGTCGGTTCAAACGGCCCCGGGGGACATCTCCCACGAGGAGCTAGAAACAAAGACAAAGGTTACCCCCCCTCCCCACCACCACCACCCCCAGGTAGCCTCCGCAGACTGTTAGGGGCAAGTGCTGTGCCGTTAACGAACAACTAATTAAGGCCGACACGGGGAAAAACGAGGGCCATTGTCTGGCCAGCACCACCCCGGCCGGCCCGTCGGCCTTTGCCTCCCCAGGGGCTGATGTTTACACCCCACACACACCACACGATCAGCACGTGGCACACACCGCACCAGGCTCTCGTTTTAAGTCCGAGTCGGCCTAGAGGAGGAGGCCCAGGACCGGTTAAAGATATTCATCACGTGCTGGTGGTGCGGTGCGTGCCACGCGCTGCGCGACCAGCAACAGAACAATCGATGCAGCTTCTTATTGTTTTTTTAAATCACCGAGGGCGATTGTCAAATTTCAACCAGTGGCTGAAAGTCCGTAAATGGAAATGATCACTGCCCCTCACGCACCAGAACAACAACAATAACAACAACAATAATAAGAACGGTATTACAATAGGCATTATAACGAGAGTAAAATACTCCTTTAGTCAGCAAGCATCGTGTGGGCTGCTGGCACAGGCGTCGTTTAGGGGCAGATTCCCGCGTGCAAAGGGGGGATCCCTGTTTGTCATGGGGATGCTAACAAGCGCTGCCCAGGACACGTGTTAGCCCCCAGTACATCCTGGATCCCTGAAGCCACCGTAGACTCTTACGTGTGCCGCGACAAGAACAAGCATTGATTCTTGAACCGAATCACAACCCCCGCTGATTGTGACAATGCATCTACTCGTGGGTGGAGCGTTGCTAGCCGGGAGAGAGGCCACGGGCAAGGCATGGAAGGGAGACACAGCCTACGGCGAAACCACAGTGGGTTTTTTCTCTCTCTCCAAAAAAACCATCCACGTGTTTGCGGCAATAGGCGCCGTGCTTGTTTGGTTGCGTTTGGACAGCGAGTTCTGTCCACAAAGAGGGACAGGGCCGGTTATTTACGCCTCACGGCGGAGCTGGCGATCCGAGGAGATGTGGTGATGAGGAGGAGAGTGGTGTGAATAAGACGACAGAGCGGAGGAGCGAGAGAATGTCTGTGGTCGTCAGCTGAGCTGTCATCAAGTTGACAATAAATGAATTCCTCTTCTCCATTGCTGCGATTTGATACACTTTATATATCGGTGTGCTTGGCTAATTTTCGGCGGAGGGCAACTTTCGCCGATGGGACATCATCAAGTATGAGGGCCGCCACACATTTCAAACCGTTGGGGTTTGACAGCATCACGATGATGATGATGGGGAGGGGGGGTGTTCACGTGTTGTCTATTGTCGGGGGCCCACGTCAGGGACCGCGCTAAAGGCCACCAGGGGCAGCCAGTGGCTCGCGGGCCATGCAATGAAGATCACGAAGCAATATGGAGTACAATAAAGTAGAACATGATCTGTCCTGGATGATACACGGAGGGCGGCAGGGAATATGAACACCCACAAACAACAAGCTGGAGCACTGTGGACTCTTATTCCAAGGAACGCTGCCTCGTCGATTGTCGTCTTTGCCACCATCGCTCCCTGCAAGCAGGCCACGTGCCGGGTCACCCTGTGCCACACAGGGACGACTGCCACTGGGGGTGCCCCTTCCATCGTGTGAGATGAGATGCGATGGAAGTCGCTTATCGTGTATAACGTGCTAAGCCGTCCCGGCGTAGAGGAGGGTGCTCCATCAACAAGAAGTCGTCATCATAATCATCATGGCTAATTGCCTGAATTTAAACCGGAGCTCTCAGCGGTGCTTAACTCAGTGGCGTTTACCCCACGAGCCGCCCGGGCCACCGCATATTGGGGGTGATTGCGTCCTCATCGCGAAGTTAAGTTTAATGTTGGAAACGTTTAGGACCTGGTTCTTTACGACGGTAGCCGACCGGCGATGAGTAACGTCGCTCGCACGCCTCGAGCTGCGGTGCGCGGAGAGACGCGCGCGTGGCCACGCCACCAACGCGACTCAGTGCCGGATTAAGTTAGTGCGGGGCCTGTAGCATATGTTACAAAGGGGCCCTGATTTTTTTTTTAAATACATAAATATTAAAACACTTAATTTTAACTTGCATAGTAAAGTAATTGTATTTTTTTCATTTGCTATACAGCCAGATAATACGACAAATCGCTAACCTTAAACACCCAGTCGTTCATAAAAGTCCAAGGCAGTATAGTACTATAGTAATAGAGCAAGTGCAGAATCACTGAACCGGAATTGATAGCTTGAAAGCATTTAGCGCGGGTACCTTGAAAGTGCGGGCCCGTAGCATGTGTAGCTACTTGTGCTACTGGGAGAATCCGCAACTGCTGGGGCCCGTAGCATGTGTAGCTACTTGTGCTACTGGGAGAATCCGGCACTGCCGCTACTGCCACCGCCGTGTTCTTGTGAAGTCCGACCGAACGGTGCGAGCGCGAGGTTTCAAAGCGGCTTGCGTGGCGGGCCAGCAAGGGGATAATCGGCGTGGCGTGATGAAGAGAGACGAGTAACACGGCGGGGTCAACAGGCAGGTGGGGTTCGGAACATCGCGAGGGGGTTCAAAGCATCGCCGAGCGTAGAAGTGGTGGTGATGGGAGACAAAGTTTGGAGTTTGCGTGTTCTCTCTCTCTCTCTCTCCCCGTGCTCGCGTGGGTTGAAGAATCCGGACCCAAACCCTGAAAACTAGCCACGGTGGCGAGATGTTAACTACCTCGCTTGGTATACAGGAGGTCGTGGGTTTGCTCCCAACCTAGACGCCTGCTGTATATTTGGAGCTTCCATGTTCTGCCAGTGGTCGCGTGGGCTTTTCTCCGGGTCCTCCGGTTTTCCCCTCCATATTTAGATAAATGCGTTTAGAGTATTTGGCTGCTATACATTTACACGTGATAAGCCACTTCTTTGAGCTATCATTTGTGGCCAGGTCACTTCTGAAAAATAATATCGCAGTGGGCCTCACCAGGAATTGATTTGTAACGAGTTCTGTTACATCGGTATAGCTGTGTGGAACTTTATCGCAAGATACTGCACAGGTCTGATGTTTTAGTTTAAATGGGAGGCAACAGGGGTGACAATGAAACACAGAGGCAAGAGGGTCCGACATAACCCAGTCCTCAAACAAGACAACTCTCGACTTGATCCTGTTAAGAGGGTTTTGAGTTGACTGGCGTATCAGAACAAGTCTTCTCTCGTGGGGCAGAGACTTAAATAAGCACCGCTGTGCGGTTTCATGAGACGACCACGTGCACTCGCAACCCTGCTTGCCACGTCCTCCGCTACCTGTGGCTGAACTGTGGATGAATTATAGCCGCTGCAAACAACTCGGAGAAAGGCCGCATATTCAGTGCTGGATTATCCTAGTAGCAAAAGTAGCTACGTACGCTACGGGCCCCGCACTTTCAAGGGCCCCGCGCTAAATGCTTTCAAGCTATCAATTCCGGCTCAGTGATTCTGCACTCGCTCTATTACTCTAGTACTATACTGCCTTCGACTTTTATGAACCACTGGGTGTTTAAGGTTAGCGATTTGTCCTATTATCTGGCTGTATAGCAAGTGAAAAAATACAATTGACTATGCAAGTAAAAATAAATTGTATTTTAATATTTGTGTGTTTTCTTTTAAGTAAGGGCCCCTTTATAACATATGCTAGAGGCCCCGCACTAGCTTATTCCGGCACTGCGCATATTCACGGTCACGGTGGCTACGAATTCAAGCTGCTTCGTGGCCGATGTGAGAAACAACCTTTACCAGAGAAGCAGAGCGCTACTTAACTTGTTAGGTTTTACAGCCAAATTGTCACAACAGCGGTGAGTACGTGACCTGCAATGTAACGTCCATTGTTGTGTGGTGATGTTATTAAAAGTACATTTTGCTGAAATTATCGAGTCATTTTAAAAATAAATATAATGTGAAGGGGAAATACAATAATATTTTGGGGGCGTGAAATGGGTTCTGTTTTTTTTGGTTTTAACAGGTCCATAACATACGGAATTTACGTATTTCACACCGTCACTTTGTATTTCTTTTAAAATTGGTTCCGCACTGAGGCAGAAGCAACACAAGAGAATCAATAAACGCCACCGTGAAGCCTTCAAACGCCAAACACAAACATTAATGATTTGAAAAACAGAACAGAAATCAAAGGCCCTGGGCATGCCTCGCATTTCACAGTTACTTAATTTTCCTCGACCTCGCTGCCCTCAAAGGGTGGAATCTCAGTGACAGGTCAGGGCACAGAGGCGATCCCACCTTAGTGGCAGCTATAGGCCCACAGCAAATCCACACAAGTCCACATGCCTGCCACGCCAATTACAAGACAGTCCCCCCCCTGGTTCATCGATTGAGACGCTGCTGATAGGGTTTCTTAAGTGAGAAAACGTCTTAGGAACACAATTTTTTAATGCACTATGTGGTGTCAAGCACAACACGTCTTTTTCTATCAAAACAACTTCAGACAAATGTATGTCCGTGATTTTCGTGAACTGTTCAAGTCCGTAATGCGGGGAAGGAAAAAAAACTACTATGAAAGAAAAATGAAAGCATATGGGAGATGATTTGTTACCGGCAAGATAGAAAATAAATAATACCTCAGAGACATGATTTGTAACTAAGAACAATAGCACTGCAGGATTTTGACATAAATTAAAATGTAGATCGTAAATTTTGCAATATATCAGGGTGCTGGCTTTATAACGTCCACTTATAACGCGTTTATTTGCACACACGTCTTCAGCGAAAAAAAAACAAGAGTCAAACTTGTTTCACGTGAAAGTCAAGTGTACGTCTGCGACGCGTCATTGCCACCAGAGCACACCGAAGTTGATCTCAGGGATCAGCGAGCAGAGACGCGAGTCACCGTGGGTTTGTCAGTTTGACACGTGGCCATTCGCGACCAACACCTTCGAGTCACCGTGGGTTTGTCAGTTTGACACGTGGCCATTCGCGACCAACACCTTCGAGTCACCGTGGGTTTGTCAGTTTGACACGTGGCCATTCGCGACCAACACCTTCGAGTCACCGTGGGTTTGTCAGTTTGACACGTGGCCATTCGCGACCAACACCGTCGCAGGCGAAGGGACTCGTCGCAAACGACGTCGTCACATCGGACCCCTTTATTTAAGGAACGAAACGGGACGATTTCTCCACAGATCTGGCTGTCGCCTGATGATGTCGGTTGTATTTACTGGCGAAACGTCGTACTCGGACTCTAAATGTTGTGGATTTGCTCTCCAACACACCGGTGTTGCTGTAACTAGTAACGAATTGGCCAACGTTTTGTTTACGAGACAAACCTTACTAATGGGCTGTGTCGGGTGGCGGCGGGTTTAGCGACACATTTATATTTTTACGCGATATAACCCAACAACAACAAAAAAACCTCTGTTAAGCACCGTGGTTTGTGTCCGCGGCAAAAAATCGTGACCGGCAGGAATTTATTCATAGAGTGAGTTGCGGGGGTGGGTCACGTGTTGCTTTGTCGTCCTTCTCCCGCACCACCGATAACGATCACGGTTGGCTACGTACGGTGCGAAAGAAGTTCAACATACAGTGCACACACACACGTGTGTAGTATAAACGCAACTATTTATTACGGGAGCGATCGACAGCCCGGCGTGGTTCATTTTGTCAAGATAAAAAAATGATGGCATTGTTTGAATAGAAAGAAAGCGCGGTTATTTAACTGCCGTATCTTTCCATCAGATTTAAGATTTTTCACATCGGGGCTCACGCTGTCAGCGAACTATCCGGAATCAGCACAAGCGAAGTGACATTCAGGGGTGTTCACTTCCCACGTCAACAGGATGCTGTGTTTTGACCTAATTGCTTGCAGTGATGTCTCGTTGCTGTTGTTGTGGTATACGGGGGCATAGTTTTGACTCCATCGTTGCACGTTGTGAGGCCGTGTTTGCTGCGTCAATCTGCGTAGATAGTGATTGTGTGTGTGCGTCGAGTGATTGCGTGTGTCCAGTGGTTTTCTGCCGTACGGTGATATTTTTTCTTTTCCGCCGTAAAAAAATTTGCGTGGAAATACCACACAAGTTGGCTGCCGCCCGCTTTCATGTGACCGGAGCGAATTTCATTGCCCGTGCGTGCGTGCGTTCCTTCATTGGCGAGAGATCAATGTGCGAGATTACAACAAGCTGATGCGGTGTGGGGTAGTTTGAGCTCCACGAACAGTTCTCGCAAACAGCCATGCCTGCCCGAGCGACATTATGGACGGATGTTAAACATCGTTCCCTTGTGGCAATCGTATAAAGTAACCGTGGCTGTTCTGCGGGGGCTGGGATGTTTTGCACGGCTGCCTCTTGGCCACATTTACCAGAGCGCATTTAATGAATCAGCTCTCTTAATACGATTGATATCTAAAAGCCACGGAAAAAAAGCTTTGGAATTATGCGGGCATTTTATTCAGGATGAGTAAATTTTGTTGGGAAACCATATATCAGGCCACTTGTGAATTTAAAAAAATCATCCCTCGTGACCTGATTAGAGGACTGACCAGTGATGATGAAGGATTTAATTGCATCCTGTGCGGTCTGGATATTGAAAAATTACATCTCCCGAGAGCTATGTGCAAAGTAACCACATCATCGAGCACGTGTTGCCACTGAGCTGCTGAGTCTCACGTGAAGAGACTCCACTTGAACGTGAAACAACGTCCCTGATTGCGACACCTCGCCTGCTGTGGTCTGCAGGTGGATTACCAGATCCATCGTCTCGCTGCCTGATACAGCCAACGGAATCTGCATTGGGTTTGCTAATTCCTGGTAACACCGGAGAGCATTGCCTGATGTAAATTGCCATGCAACTTTAAGTTTCTGCATTACTGTTTCATATTGTGTAAAACGTGTTCGTCTTATGCTCCATCGACTGAAAGCAATTTTCGAAGGAACAAAATATTTAAAATAAAATCACCGTCCCAGAGCCTCCGCTTAGGCAACAGTGCTCCGGAAGTAGTGCACAGAGTCATGTATGGTGACTTGTGAATGATGAATTAAGATACTGATTACGATGATGACGACGATGATGATTCTCTGCCAGATTGATTTGGTCAGATGAGAAACAGATTACTGTAATGGGCTGCCAAGACTGGCGCCGAGAGGGAGCCTGCAGGAGCCCTCTCCCCTCCTCCCCCCGTCACAACCTCGCCGTGCCCTCCATCGCGGATGAGCCGAGCACTCCCGCTCGGGGCTTCAATCACTCCCACCATCGACCACCCGGGAACCAGGCCAGCTCCGTGCTGCAGCCTCCCCCACCCCCACGCGCTGCTTTCTGATTTTGTGTGTGTACCATGAAGTTGGCTCCCCAGCCTGCACTCGTTTGCGGGGCGCCGCGGTGCCTAGGAGATGTTAACAACCTCGCCGGGTACACAGGAAGTCGTGGATTCGATCCCGACCCGAACGCCTGCTGCTGCTGTATATTTGGAGTTTTCATGTCACTCTCCCCGTGCTCACGTGGATATTTCTCCATTTCCTTCGGGGTTTCCCACCACACTTAGAAACGTGCGTTTAAGAGTATTTGGCTGATGTCAATTTCCACGTGATAAGCCACTTCGTTGAGCTATCGTTTGTGGCCAGGTCGCTTCTGAAAAAGAGCTACATAGCTCAGTGGGCCTTACCGGGTAAAATAAAAATAGTTTAGTATTAAATAGTGTATAGAGAGCGGGTGATGCGCTCACGTGTGCAGCAAAAACTGGGGCGAGTGAGTCGATTAATCGACGAAAGAATATAACCGATTACTTTGTCGGAAGTCGTTGACTCAGGGCGCTTTACACATGCCTCTTGAAGGCGGGAAACCCCCCACAAGCCACGCCCAGAGTGACGCGGGGTATCGTGCAATGACATCACCAAGCCCCGCACATCACCTCCCGTCCAGTGGCACACGAGTTTTTCCACAACCTATTTCGTGTTATTTGATTATTGTGATCGTGATTATTCGATCATTCAAGTTCATTAATTGAACTAGGTACGAACTCAAGAGACCGGGATGAGTCACATCTGCGAGCGGCGACCTTGGCAATTCGTCTGCCGGTCGGGCTGCTGCTGCTGCTGTGTGCGATCACGATTGAGTAGTTTGCGGATCATTTTATGACTTGGCAAATTTGGAGCGCAACGCCGGCACAAAATGCTAATTAGCGCCAGGGGAAGATCCCGAGCGCCCACCGAGACGCGGTATTGCCGTGGTTGTTGATACACCCGCAGTAACAATCATAACGCTGTGTAAAAAAAAATGTGTTCCTGGGCAGTAAGTGTTATTTTCTAATTGCTTATGCCTCAAAAGTACAGAAAATGGCTATTATTCCCCACAAACTTTGCTTTTGTGACCAGGACTTTATGTGAACGAAAGACACAAATGCACACCACGTTTTCTCATTGAAAATAGGTACTTTTCAAAATATCACTGTCCTGGTCACAAAAGCAAAGTTTGTGGGGAATTATAGGCATTTTCTGTACTTTTTAGGCATAAGCAATAAAAAAACACTTAGTACCCAGGAAACATAATTGTGTGACACAGTGTAATCAGACAGCAGAGCCCGGTACATCGCTGCCCCGCTTTTCTGCCAGCACCGTCAAACGGCAGCGTGCCGAGGGTGCACGACGCCGGGAACCGGGCCATGCCACCATCCCCCCGGGTGGCCTCGCGACGAGGGTGACCGCGGGAGTGGAGCGGGCCCGTGCTGCGTTCGTACCTTGCCAGTAGAAGCTGCCCGGCCCCCCCAGCACCGCGGTCCCCGCCTACAAACACAACAAAAGTTAGTTTAGCAAGAGCTGCAGGAAATTCCATCGGAAGACCATCAGCTTGGCATGCACCCAATAGGCGGATTTTTTTTCTAGCTTCAACCAAAATAAATCTCTCGCTCGACACATAAACAAACACGCGCATAACGACCGATATCGAGTTAAATTCGCAAACCCCTAGACAACATTTTTTTTTCCGGTGACGTTTAACAGCGGGTGCAATAGTCGAGGTGAATGGCCACGTATGAAATTTCAGTTTGGAGCGGCGCTTGGCGTTAACAGCCAAGCGCCGTGCACGGCTTCAACCTCAGGCCGCCGTGACGCGAGCAAGCCCCCAACCCAACCCTCGCCTTCCTAAAGCAGACGGCACCCACAGGGGCTGTGCGTGCCCCTGGTGGTGCTCTGGTTCCTTGTGGACATGCAACGTTGAACTTCTTTGCCACCGTACGCAGCCAACCGTGCACCATTGGCACAAGGGGAGTACTTGCAAGTGAAACAGCTACATCCGTGCTATATCAAGATGCGTCGCGTTGAAAGTAACGGCGATTTGGGCGCCTGGTTTTTTTATGTCTTCGAGAATAAGAACGCAGCTATGCCGCGATTAGCCCGAATGTGCGCTTGATGTCAAGTTTCTGTGTACAACAAACACGTGATTGCGTACACCCAATGATCCGCGTACATTTTTTCGCATTGTTTTTTTTCCTACACAAAATACCGCATCCTCTGCCGTCGGTGTTTCTATTCCCAACGTTCTGTTGGCATCGTCACGAAGTGTTCGACTCTGGAACTCAAAATGACCGCAGCGCGTGGGTCGTTACGGGAAATGCCTCGGCAGCCCCGGGAGGGCTATGCCCTGGCGCTGACCATGCGTACACTCGCTATGTAACGCAAATCGAGCGTGGGGCTCTCCTCAGCGGCGCAGGCCACGGCGTTCGTGATGATAATACGGACGGCGAAGCGGATTCACAGAGAGTCACTCGACGGAGGCTTTGCATGTGCCAAATGTGTGTGGAACTGAGTTTACAGAAAAAATATCCGTGAAAAAAATTACGACTGATTATGCATTAATTATGTTTACGGGAATATACGGTATTTTTTTATTCTCGTTTGAAGCAGGGATGCACAGTACACAAGAGTATTGCTTTGTAGGCAAACATTAAGTCAAATCAAGTTTAAACATCAAGACGTTCTATTTTTGTTGAATTATTTCTGTAAAACTGTGACCGAAGTGACAGGAGGATTCATCGCTGAGGACGGAGCGCACAAACAGCTCCTTGTGTCGCGTTGCTCAACAAAGCAGCGTCCACACGCCCTGTCCCGAGGAGACGCTCAGCCTCCAGAAACCCCTGACACAGCGTAGTAGTTGTGCAGATGTTGACATTTAAAATACACTTTGGGATTATCCACCCCTGCACCCACCACCCCCAACCCCCAATTTCTGCACTGTGTGCATCAGAATGTAGTAATGTTTAGTTGTTTTAGCTAGTCAGCCATGAAAAATGTACACAGAGCGGAGCAAGACATATTTAACACGACTACAGAACAATATTTTAATGATGTTGACTTAACAATTTGGCTATTGCGATATACACCACGTACGTCACTCGCTGTAGCCGCGTAGATTCGAGTCATTATGCCTCCTTTATAGAACGACCAATGGCCAAATGCTCCGTCTTTATTGCCAGCCTAGAGAGCCAGTGGTGGCCATTCCACATTCGTACGTCAAGAATTACCACTGGCTGACCACCCAATAAGTGTCAACCATCGAACGCACGCGTGCGCGTGTGTGTATACGTCACACATACACGTGACACGTGACATCGACGTGTCTGTTGGGTAGGAGCCAGTGGTGCAAGTGGGTCACGCACAGGCACCCGGCGACCTGAATTCGATTCCCACAGTGAGGGATGGATGTCTCAAGCGATCTCGGGATACCCTTTCGATATCCCCGCATCGACCGCCACGGGGAGGTATGGCCAAACAACTCCCATGACCGACATGGCGTGGGGAGACCTTCATACAGCAGTGGAGCGACCAAGGGCTGTAAATGATACTAACTACTGTATTATTAAACATATCTCTCTCTATGCGAGTTACATGATTATTGTGCAACATTCGATCAAAATGCATGATAATTAATCACAGAACTTTAGTTCGAGCGCTTTATGACTCGGCCTATAATCCACCCGGGGATGATAAATAAAGTTTAACACGTAGCCTTTCGCGACCAATATCATCCATAATAGATCTGGCTGTCGCCTGATGAAGCTAGTTGTAATTACTGGCGAAACGTCGTACTCAGTTTGTAAATGTTGTGGCCGTGGTTCTCCAACACACCGGTGGTGCTGTACTAGTGACGAATTGGCCACGTTCTGTTTACGTGACAACCCTTACTAGTTGGCTGTGTCGGGTGGTGGCGGGTTTTAACGACACATTTATATATTTACGCGATCTAACCCAAAAACCTCTATTATGGATAAATAAAGTACCACTTTGTGGCAAGTCTATAATGGTCGTCCTACAGGGATAGACTGGCCTCCACCATGGGAATGTGGAATTTCCACCTCTGGCTGGGGGCCACTGGCAAAAGTTAATCACGTGCCCAATTTCTCGTTGCAGCAGGGGGACACTCAGAGCTGTGCCCCGTGAAGGTATAAAGAGGCCATTGAGAGGAGTCGTCGGTGTTTATTTAGGTGATCGCTTGTGACGAGGTGCTACTTGGCTTGTAAGGTGCAAGGATATCTTCGGCTTACGAGGTCAATTTGAGACGGCACTGGCTATTGAAAGGGTTCACATTCACGGCCTCTCTTAGGTGGAAATGTTCACGCGTACCCCGCTGTGCACGGGGACAACGGCCGCGATGAGGACGACATTCGCGCAGAGGTCACGAGGGGGGAGAGCTGCGTGAGGCAGGGGGCATCCGCTCTGGCGCCACGTGACGGAAAGGGGCCCTGGACACAACGAGGGTCACTGAAGCCACCGGCCGCCCCCACGACGCCGCTGTCACTGCGTCGCCCGGGGGGGGGGGGGTGGGGGGGGGTGGGGGGAATCATCTGTCTCTCGAATACGCTTTGTTGTTGTTATTTATTTATTTGAGACTGATCAGAGTTTGGAGTGGGGGGACCTGTAAGTTGCCCGGCCAGGTCTGTCAAGGCCCCCTCAAGTCATCTGGGAATAAAACCTCGCGTATCGATCGATCGCGTTAGCCCCAAGCGGGGGGGGGGGGGGGGGGGGGGTGAGATGGGGGTGGGGGTTAAAGAGGAAGGCATTCAATCTGTTTCCCGAGTTAAAATGTTCACGATGAATTGGTCTTAACGTGCGCCTTGCGAATGACAACAACGTCTTGGTCGGCAAATGCGTTCCACGTGTGCTCCTGTTGACTTACAGGCAACGGTGTCCGCATCGATGGCGGGGTTTTTTTTTATTTGCGGCTTTTATGCACCGCGCGCCCCAGCGAGGTGGGTGCTCCCACGTGCCAAACGGAGCGGCCGGCCTGGAATCGGGCGGCCCATGATGTTCCCAGTTTCGTCGTTTGCGTGTACATCTTGCGCGTGTTCGCCGCCCGCGAGTGCGTGGTTCGTGCCGGTTAGCACGGGGCGCGCTTCGCAGCCACTTACGTCCGTGAAATCGACGCTGAACCCTCCTTGGCAGGAGCCTTGACCCGGCGGGTCAGGATTGCCTAATGTGGGAGCACACAGAGACACCTCAATTATGGTCATTAGACGAACCGCGATCGTTTCCTCCCCAGACCTCCGCTCCCACCACATCCCCCCACGTCTGCTCTGCTCTGCTCGGCCCTGCCTGCCTGTCTGCGCCGTCTATTCCCACAGACCCATGCAGATTACCATCTCGACATTGTTTCTATAAGCGCTGTTTGGCACCACGACTTGCATGACTTGAATGCCAAACTGGCCATTTCCTGTCGGCTCTATCGCGTTGAACAATGATCCACTCGGAGATGTTTGCCCAGTCAGCAGCAACGGGCAATGGTTAGCCAGGGGATGCTGCTGCTGCTGCTTCTGCTGTTCCTCTTACGGGTTCCATCTTCTGAGCTCCCATGTTTGTCGCGCCCAGTGATGGCTGCTGCTGCTGCTGCTTGGACCTCACCCAGCAGTTGGACCCAATTCTGCATCCGCCTCCTTGACATCGCCAAGCGAGGGCCAATTAGCGAGCCACGTTCATTTGCAGGGTAATGCTGGGTAATTAGCTATCTGGGATATTTTTTTCCAGCTAGTCAAATTGACTGTGACACAATAGCCCACGCTTGCAAATTAAGGTGCATGGTCTGAAACATTTGCTCTGCGAGAGATGGCAGCCAGTGATTATAATTCTCGGGTTGGATTATCCGGTACTTAGAAGTTGCAGATATCAACCACAGACTTCATGCACACTGGCGCTGTGGCACTACCGGGCAATCTAAGCCATCTACATTCTGACCATTAACCCAGCTCAAAGACGCGCGCGAACATTTCGTGAAGCAGACTGCCAAAGGCATCTCTACTCGGAACTGATTGAGTTGGATGCTGACGGGGGGAAAGTAGGTTTATGTTCTTAACAAAAGTGGCCGCAATCGAGCAGACCACAGCAAGAAAAAAACCATCGGCAGGCAGAGCGTTCTCATCCTCGAGAGAGCCATGTGCGAGCCTCTGGACTCAGTCACGAATGATCACCGAGTCCACAAGGCCATTTGATTTGCAGCAACGGCGCCTGGGCTGGAGAGGGATCCGAGGGAACGATGCGACGACTCCTCATAGAGTTTCTGTTAAGTTTCCGTCGCCCCTGTGCGTTTCTTTGTGCCAAATCTCGCACCAAGGGTCATAGAGTGCTGTGGGGCAAATTATTTCATTGGTTACACACACACGCACGCGCGCACGCACATACACATATACACACACGCGCGCTAACACAAAAGACAGAGATCCCCCGTGTAGCCTTAACAGACTGTAGGGGAAAGTGCTGTTAGCGACCTACGAAGGCCGGCATGGCACACGAGGGGGTGGGTGGCCAGCACCACGCGCGACCGCCTTTGTCTCCCCAGTAGCGATGTTTACACACACTGCACCAGGAATAATCATTTGAGGCTGAATCGACCTAGGGGAGGCCCCGGACCGGTTCAGATATTTGTCACCGATGTTGGGCGTGAACGGGAATCTAACTCGGGTCGCCGGTTTTGTAGCGCCGCGCGCTAACCGCTGTACCACCGCTCCCCCCACTTGCCCCACGCGCGCGCAATTTCCTACGACAACCCATGCGCAATCCGTGCCATGTGGTGAGAATTACACGACGCGGATAATAAGTGGCGATAAATCAAGTCGCAGGCATTAGAAGCGGTGTGACGATATCCGTTCGCATTGCGCACGGCGCGCACACGCACGCTTCGTTGACGAACGTTTGAATGTTAAGCCCTGCGTCAATGTGTGTGTTTTTAATAGATTTTAGTCAATTGGGTTAACGATACGCTCGAGCGTAAATATTCAGAGGTGACCTTCACACAGCTCCGAAGCTCTGACCGACCACACAGGGTCGAACGCCACTGAGCGTGGCCTTCACCTGTTACATCTGGGCCGGGGGGGGTGTGTGACGAACCCCACGTTGTGCTTTTACAGTTTCAGGTCAACGCGTGGCGGGCGGCGCTTATTCATTGAAAAAAACTAAAATGTAAATTCATAGCAGCGGCTTTATCGCAGTTTCCTCCAACAGGATGGAAACATGAAATCCATACGGCGTCCCAGGAGGAACCCGCTCCGGCGACAAACTCGGCACGCACGCTTGAAACATCGCTCCCGCACTCCGTGTGCCACGCCCCCCACTCTGGAGCCACGCCCCCCCCCCACTGGGGCCACGCCTCCCACGCTGGTGCAGGGCCACACAGACACCACCAGCGCCGACCGAGAAGACGCAGGCGTGACGGGCATGGCAAATGAGACGACAATGGATCATCGACTCAAATCCCCACGCCCAATCCAGATGATGCACCAGATTATTGTGGCGGTGGCGGGGAGGTAAATGATCAAATGACGAGCCCAGAGTTCCTGGGGCAGGCCGGTGGGTTCAGTGACAGGCAGGCGGGTGGGTTGGATGACGAGGGGGTGGGTTTGGTTGGCTGGCAAGCGGAGGGGTTAGTTGACAGGCCGATGGGTTGGCTGGCAGGCGGGTGGGTTGAGTGACGGGCCGGTGGGTGGGTTGGGTGACAGTCTGCTGGGCTGAGCGACAGGCGTGTAGGCGGGGTGGGTTGCGTGGCAGCACCTACCTCTGCGGCAGGGCGAGTACTCGGCGAAGCTGCTGAAGTTTCCGTGCGCCACGTAGCAGGTGCCCACAGGCTCGCGCTCGCGCGCAGGGCGCAGCGTTCTCCAGCGGTAGAGCGGGGCACACGCCTGCCCGGCAGCACGCAGCGTCCCGCGGAGGACGAGAGAGGGTTATTCTCGCCGTGGGAGACAAGCGACGACACGACGACGACGACTCTGCTGCTCTCGTGCGGAGACTGCGGACGTTGTGTGTCTACTTTGTGTGGCTCGCAGAGTGATGGGGGCCTCGCGTGCCACGGCTCTCCGCGCTCGGAGAATCCGTGCACGGAATTTTTGTTACAACTTTTACATGGAATTTCTATTCTAATTATATTATATATACACTGTAGACACACACACACATATATATAATACCCATTGAGTCCCAAGATTATTTGTCAAGAGAACGCTCTGGATTGCGATGTTGGGAAATGCTATTTAAAAAAAAAGATATGAATGTTTTTCCTTACGTGCGAGAAAACTCGAGTTACTCGGATAAATGGCGCCGAAAGACGGGAAGAGACACACGCGTATCACAGGATAGTGACGATATTCAGAGACCTCATCACGTTGCCTGTGATGATGAAATGTGGGCTTGGGCAGGAGGGACATTAGTCATGAGACTGATGATAGACCGGCTGCCAAAGGGGGGAACAGACAAGCGAAAAACCTTCCACTGCGGTGATGAAATCCGTTGATATGGAGGAGCTAGATGGAATGCTGCCTCCGTGGGACCATGAGAGTTTGCCACAGCTCGGGAAGGCCTTGCTCCAGCAGTGGATAAAGCGTGGATGGTGATGATGATGATGGTGTTTGATGGGTCCAGGCTAGGTATATAATGTGAAGGCAATGCCCGTGCTGGAAACAGTTTCGATTTAAAGTTTTCGTGACTGCAGGGATTCATCTTCTTGGTTCTTTCGGTAAAGTAACGTAGAAGGGAAATAATAAAATAATAAAAATAAAACATAATAAAATAAAATTCTCACGACGTTTCGGCCACAACGGGTCCTCGTTGTGGCCGAAACGTCGTGAGAATTGTATTTTATAATGTTTTTTTATTATTATTTTATTATTTCCCTTCTACGTGACTTTACCGAAAGAACCAAGAAGATGGAAACAATTTGTTGCAATCTTTTTTTAAATATCAACCACGGTTGATGTTTAGATGTAATAACCCTGGAAATAGTTATTACAATCATAATAATAAACACGTACATTTACCGTAATATGTAACGGAAAAAAATTCTGCTCTGGCCCGAATATTAATAGATTATCATCGTCTGTCTATGGATGGAATTACAGCGGCATACTGCGAGAAAAAATCACTTAGGAGACACAAATCAGGCTGTGAGCTGCAGTCGGCCAATCCACAGCTTTTTTTCTCCTTCTGTTCCACGTGTCAGCACTGATGTGGAAAACTCATTACCGCCTCGCCGTGCGATGTGTCCAGGTGGTTTCTTGCTCATGTTTCACCGCTTCAAGTACATTTCAATCGGCTTCTGCTTTTACTGCCGTTTTCGGTGGAGTCGCGCGTTTGCGAAGTGGAGTCGCGCGTTTGCGCGACTCCACTTCGGAGGCGCAAAAGGCGCCGTCGAAGCGAAGCCGCCGATGTTTTGATTTCCTTCGGCTGTCCCCCCCCCCCTTCGTTTGCCGGTCGTGGCACGAGCGATGCGACGGTGCCCGGCCCCCCCCCCCCCCCCGCCGGTGACGCGCGGGACGGGAGAGCCGCTCACCATGACGCTGGAGCGGAGGGCGCGCAGACTCGCCCCGAACCACTGGCGCGACTTGTAGTCCACCCTGTCCCGGACGCCCGTCGGCAGGGTCAGCATGCGGTCACCTGCACAGAGCGTCAGACGCCGGAGCTGGATGCGAGCGATTGACTGCACGTTTCCCGCGACGCGCGCGCCGCCCACCCCAGCACCCCGCTTGTGTAGCGCTCGGGCCCGGGGCGGGAGCCGCGGTCACGAGCGTTTGAATTTCGCCGGGCGTCCCTTCGGACGAGACGCGCGGGCCCCTTTCTCCAAAGCAGCGGGGAGCGCGCGTCTCGCCGTCCGGACCATCTGGACACGCGGGGGGCCGGGTGGCGTGGCCGTTTGCGAGCTCGTCTCCTCGGGGAGCGGGGGGGGGGGGGGGGTCCGCGGCCCGACGGTCGACCGCAGTTTCATTTCCACGGCTGTGCATGTAAAGGGGTTCGCGCGCGGCGTTTCGTAGGGATCACAATTTTTTTACTACCAAACTATTTTTTTTATTTCACCAGGCAAGGCCCACTGAGATAAATAGCTCTTTGTCATAAGCGACCTGGCCACAAATGATAGCTCAACGAAGTGGCTCATCATGCGGAAATGTATTGCAGAAAAATACTCTAAATGCATTATTCTAAACGTGGAGCGAAAAACCGGAGGACCCGGAGAAAAATCCACGCGACAATCGGGAGAACGTGGAAACTCCAAATATAAAGGCACCGTCAGGGTTGGGATGCAACCCACGACCTCCTGTATACCAGGCGAGGTAGTTAACATTTCACCACCGTGGTGCCTTAAGAAAAATACCCCGGAAAGTAATTTGCAAGTGCAAGCCAGCCACTGTAAGTGTCTAAAATTCAAATTTCTAAATTACCCGGAAGTCAATTTAAAAACCATTATTATAGTCAACACACAACTTTTTAATGGGCATTTCTCCGCAGATTATTTGAGCAGATATTTTTTAAAAGTTCTGACTTCTTTGACACTCATCAGCACGGTGTAGCCTATGAAACAAACGCAATCCGGGTCGCCTGGTGGTATGGGCAGAGCCCTTCGTGAATACAATGGAGCCGTTCACCAATGTATTTGTGTTGAGACGTTTGGTCTATTTACATTCACGATAAACACAGCCAATCTGTTCTCTTTGCTTCGTTGGCCTCGGGGTTTTTCTCGTTGTTTTTGTTTAACCATATTTCATTTAGTTACTTTTCATTTGCAGACACAAACACATCGAAGCAATGGCGAGTGTTTTGTGCAACGAGTAAATACGCCACATGCCCTTGAAGCGGGGGGAAAAGTCGTTCAGGCGATTTACAGACATGCTCAACCCAGTTATTGACGAGATAACGCCAGGAACACTTTGCGCACCTCCAGGGTTCATTTTAACGCAGAGGATAAATAAACAGGCGACGTTGACATTTCACGTCATCGACGGCGTCATATACAGCGCCATCAGAAATGTAAAAATCCCAAATTTCAACGCTCAAAGACACAGAGTTCATTGGTGCACGGGGTGCATTTTCTGTTGGCTGTGCAAGGTCGATACCGATCAATGTCCACGTCGTTTATCGAACTTCTAACTCCTGTGGAGGACTGGTGGTTCGCGCCTCTCCCATCGCCCCCACTGATGCCCCCCCCCCCTCCGCCCTCAATATGTGCAGATACTAAAGGATGTAGGGTGCGTAGGCATATATGACTATAACAAAAATATATTTTTGGACAATTGTTGGAAACATGTTGGATAAAAATTTTACCCCCACACTCGGCTGGGGTCTACTTTCTATAATTGTTTAATTCAGCCCTTCTGAAAGGCTCTCTTATCATTTATTTGACGGACACACGAAACGTCGGGTTTTTGTAATAGATAACAAGGTTTATTAAAAAAAGAGGTAAAATAAAGTAATTCATCCAATTTCATTTGTACCACTGATGTCCCTGAAATGAACCTACAAACGTCAAAGTAGTCAGAGTGGAACCTCGCCTGCGATGTGGGGAGCTGTGGTCGTCGCTGCTGATAAGGGGGTGATGGGGTTTCTCGTCGGCTCGGCTGTTTGATCGGCGCTGTTTGTTGACGTGAGTGGCACGTCTGCAGATCAGCGCGCGCTGACACCCGTGGGCATCGCGCCTGCCATCGAGCGCAGGTGACGTGCGATGAACAGGACCCACGTGTGCCCACACTCTGACGTCTCGGAAAAAGGTTTGCGGTATTTTGCCTTGGGGGGGGGGCGTCCATAAATGACGTCACGCGATTTTGGACGATTTTTACCCCCCCCCCCCTTGTCACACGGCGTCACAAAAAGTCAGACCCCCCCTCAAATATGACGTCATAAAAGCTCTGCCCCCCCAAAAAAATATAAAACATGCTTCAAATCGCTTTAAACTATTGTCATTTTAGTGCGTATTTAATGTGGCGCTGCACACTGATGTTGTAGGAGAAAACAATTATTAAAACGTCTAATTAAGTAGAACGTGTTGTCTATATTTATTTAAAGTTGCGCATTTTGATGTGACGTCACATTTCTCAAACCCTCCCTCCCCTCGTCACACATCGTCACAAATGTCTGACACCCCCCCACCCCCCTAGGTGCGTGACGTCATTTATGGACGGCCCCTTGGGATGGCAGCGTTGGTCGTGTTCGAGCGAACGCGTGACGGGTCGGGGCCAGGACACGCAGGAGACGATACCAGACCCGATGCGCACTGCTTCCTCCTGAATGGGAAACTGAAGCTAAACTGTTTCATTTATTTGTATTTGACCAAGTGAGGCACCCACTCTGAGCTGTGTGGCTCTTTGTCAGACTACAAGTGATAGCTCGACGAAGGGGCTTATCACGTGGACACTTATGTCAGCCAAATACTCGAAACGCGTGTGGAGGGTATAACTGAAAGTCCATGCGACCACGGGGAGAACATTAAACTCCAAATATACAGCAGGTGTCGGACAGGATCGAACCCACGACCTCCTGTATACCAGGCGAGGTAGTTAACATCTCGCCACCGTGTAAATGAAAGACAAGTGGCAGTAGTCCGATATTAACCATGCAACTGTAATGATGGACTGTGTAGTAAACCCACAGTGCCTCATTAGGGACCCAAAGAGATGCATTGAAGATAGTGGACATGCAACCCAAACTATGGACTATATAGTACACCACTGCAGTCTAGAAACAGCAAACGACACGAACTCTCTCTCCTGAAGCCTTCTCATCCTGGCTGGCAGACCTCAACGTCCGCATGTAGTTCCTGAACGTGCTGCCGTCACGCGCAAGAATACTAGAAGGGAAATAATAAAATAATAAAAATTCAACAATACAATTCTCACGACGTTTTGATCGCAACACAAAAAATAACGCCACTTTATTCAAATTTTCTTGCTGTGGTTTTCACACCTGATGATGATTGCTTGTGTTGCAATCGAAACGTCGTGAGAATTTGATTGTTTTAATATTATTTTATTATTTCCCTTCTACGTGACTTTACCGAAAGAACCAATAATATGAATCCCTGCAGTCACGAAAGCTTTAAATCGAAAAAGAATACTCTAGTTGCACATTTCTTTCCATGGCGAGGGGATAACACTGAGACAACCTCCTGGGCCCTGCAGGGCTGAGGCTCACGAAGGACCCCCACGTGCCTTGCACCGCCTGTGCCCCGTAGCACGCACACACACACAGCGGCGGCGCGCGTGCAGATGGCACGGAGACCCAGGAGATGCCCTCTTGGGGGCAGAGGCTGCCCTTTGTGGGGCACCGCACATACCGATGTCAGAAACGATCACGCCAACGCCACGACTTAATTTACGTGTAATTGTGCGCAGTTCGTTTCGGCCCTAAACTCATGTGTTGGCTTTTAGAGGCGGACAAATTAAAATGTAACAAAAAGCCACTTGAATCGATTCAAATTATTTTCATCCTCCCTCGCTAACCGCATAGCTGGGATTGAACCTAAATGTTCAGCAGAAGCTCGGCACAAACGCCGACAATGTGGTGTTGTGATGCGGCATCTGAAGGCGCGCATAGCTCCACCGCCCGTGCATGTTAACAACGCCGTTGTAACCAACAACAACAACAACACCAACAACAACAACACCAACAACAACAAAAAGTAGGCACGGACCTTTAGGGATCTTTCGCTCGCAGATTATTTTTTTGCATTAATGCCGCTCATTTGGTTACAATAACAAGGCTGTTAATGCAATTACGCATTCCTCACGCTCATCGTCACGGCAAAAAAGGCAACAAATGCCCAAAGTCTTCAGGCATCTCTCTGCTGCTCTCAGAGGGCCAGAGAACTGCACTCTGGCCCAGTGCCTCCCTATTAGGTGTAATTTACGGAGGTGTTTCCTTCGCGTTCGCAGCTGATTAATGGTGTTTAACCGGCCATTCTGGGGGTGCAACAAGACCCCGGTTACACCTAATCAAAGTCCGGAGAGCAAGTGGCTTTAGCCGGGACATCTGTTAGTGATTACTCGCGATGCCAACAACCCCACGCGCGCGCGCTGGACATTTCTAAACAGCGTCCCGTTCGTGTCTGCATCATAAAAGCCGAAATGAGCTTTGCATTTGCAGAATCCCCGTGGACATGTGGGGAGCTTTATTGTTATTGCACCTGGAAAATGGAAACATTCGAGACGGAGACGTGAAGATTTCCTGCCCAACAGGAGAATGTGGAAGACTTGTTTCGGCACTACATTATCGAATTAGAGATTCGAGAGTGAGAGTTTCTGGGGGAGTTGGAAGGTTGTGTGGACGTGAACCACGACGACACCCAGATGGTGCCGATTTTTGAGCCACTTCAAATCTACTTGGCAAACACGTGTCACTCGGCCCGCTCCTGGCATTGTCGCCCTGGGACGTTGTGTGTGAGCCCGCATTCCTCGGGCGCGATTCGCCGCCCGAACGGTCGATGGTTAATTGTGATGCCGCTGCAAGATGTGAAAATGTCAGAAATGCTGCCCCCGTTAACTACACACACCGCTATGCGGTTAGAGCGACGATCGTGCTCAGCGGGTGTCGGGATGGATGGATGGGAGAGATGGATGGGAGGAAGGGAGGGAGGAGAGGGAGGTAGGGAGGGAGGGAGGGGAGGGAGGGAGGGGAGGGTGAGAGGGGGGAGGGGAGGGAGGGAGGGGAGGGAGGGGAGGGGAGGGAGGCGGTACCTGTGAGGTCGAACGGGATGGGGTGGCAGGAGGGACGGGCCCCATCGCGGCCCCAGGGACACAAGTAGACCGCTCCGCCCTCCGTCACTCCGGGCTGGGACGTGTTGGCCCGCGGAGCCCCGATCAACATGCCAATGCTGGCCAAGCGCACAGACAGAACAAAGACAAAGATCCCCCGGTACAGCCTTTAACGTACCGATGGGGCAAGTGCTGTTCGCGAGCAGCAGCAGCTCATGTTAACGCCAGAGCGCCACACGCCTGATCGCCTTTATCTCCCCAATGTTGGTGCCTACACACCGCACGAGATACTCATTTAAGGCTTAGTCGACCTAGGGAAGACCCAGCACTGGTTCGTATATTCATCACTGATGTTAGCCGTGAGCGGGAATCGAAATTGTGTCGCTGGGTTCGTAGCACAGTGCGCTAACCACTGCGCCACCGCTCCCCGACGCGTACGCACACACCCACACATATGCACACGCGCAAGAGCCTTCCCGTAATGTTTGTGGTTATTTTAAGCATTAAAAAATGCAATCCCTTACTTTTGCTGCCAGAAGTCAAAGCGATTTGCTGCTGCTCGAACGAGCATCAAGGCGGTGCTCATCTCCTGTTGAGAGCGCCGAGCCAGTGATGGCCATTCCATATTCCTATGGCAGGGTGAAAGTGTATCCGTGTGACTCTCACTGTTGACAAGTGGCACTAATTGTATCGATCCTGGAGGGGATTGATGGGCTGAGTCAACCTCCAAGCAGCCTTCCGATGGCGAGCCGCTCGCTTTTCCGCTCGTCCCTACGGACCAGCGCGTCTCTGTAGCAGGTGACCGCTCCTTATCTTCCGTTAGAGTCGACCCATCTCCTAGCCACCGCAGCGCGCCCTGTAGTGGCTAGAAGATGTTAACTATCTCGCCTGGTACACAGGAGGTCGTGGGTTCAATCCCGACCCTAACGACGCCTGCTGTGTGTTTGGAGTCTGCGTGTTACTCTATCTCTCATCAGCATCATCACGGTGGCTAGGAGATGTTAACTACCTCGCCTGGTATACAGAAGGTCGTGGGTATGATCCCGACCCTGACGACGCCTGCTGTATGTTTGGAGTCTGCGTGTCTCTCTCTCTCATCAGCATCATCACAGTGGCTAGGAGATATTAACCACCTCGCCTGGTATACAGGAGGTCGTGGGTTCGATCCCGACCATGACGACGCCTGCTGTATATTTGGAGTTTGCGTGTCTCTCTATCTCTCATCAGCATCATCACGGTGGCTAGGAAATGTTAACTACCTCGCCTGGTATACAGGAGGTCGTGGGTTCGATCCCGACCCTGACTACGCCTGCTGTATATTTGGAGTCTGCGTGTATCTCTCTCATCAGCATCATCACGGTGGCTAGGAGATGTTAACTATCTCGTCTGGTGTACAGGAGGTCGTGGGTTCGATCCCGACCCTGACGACGCCTGCTGTGTGTTTGGAGTCTGCGTGTCTCTCTCTCTCATCAGCATCATCACGGTGGCTAGGAGATGTTAACTATCTCGCCTGGTACACAGGAGGTCGTGGGTTCGATCCCGACCCTGACGACGCCTGCTGTGTGTTTGGAGTCTGCGTGTCTCTCTCTCTCATCAGCATCATCACGGTGGCTAGGAGATGTTAACTATCTCGCCTGGTACACAGGAGGTCGTGGGTTCGATCCCGACCCTGACGACGCCTGCTGTGTGTTTGGAGTCTGCGTGTCTCTCATCATCATCATCATCACGGTGGCTAGGAGATTGTTAACTATCTCGCCTGGTACACAGGAGGTCGTGAGTTCGATCCCGACCCTGACGACGCCTGCTGTGTGTTTGGAGTCTGCGTGTCTCTTTCTCATCATCATCATCACGGTGGCTAGGAGATTTGTAACTACCTCGCCTGGTATACAGGAGGTCGCGGGTTCGATCCCGACCCTGACTACGCCTGCTGTGTGTTTGGAGTCTGCGTGTCTCTTTCTCATCATCATCATCACGGTGGCTAGGAGATTTTTAACTACCTCGCCTGGTATACAGGAGGTCGCGGGTTCGATCCCGACCCTGACGACGCCTGCTGTGTGTTTGGAGTCTGCGTGTCTCTTTCTCATCATCATCATCATCACGGTGGCTAGGAGATTTTTAACTACCTCGCCTGGTATACAGGAGGTCGCGGGTTCGATCCCGACCCTGACGACGCCTGCTGTATGTTTGGAGTCTGCGTGTCTCTCTCTCATCAGCATCATCACGGTGGCTCGGAGATGTTAACTACCTCGCCTGGTGTACAGGAAATCGTGGGTTCGATCCCGACCCTGACTACGCCTGCTGCTGTATATTCGGAATGTGTACATCTCTCTCCAGTTGATTTTTCTCTGGGCATTTCAGTGTTTTTCCTTCAACATTTCGAATCAACATCACGCGTTTACAGTATTTGGACTGCTGTACATTTCTACGTGATGATGAGCCACTTCGTTGGGCTACCATTTGTGGCCTGGTCGCTTCTGAAAAAGAACGTTATAGATCAGCGGGCCTGACTTGGTAAAAAATAAATAACAACAATAGTTTGGTTCATAAGATAACTCCAGCACAGCCTGGGAGGCGCCAATGGACTTGGGCGCTGCCCTACCAGCCTCTCTGAGCAGGATCACGCTTTTACTGAACTCGTTTCGTCCCTTCGGGTATAAATCACTCCTTAATGGCGAGTGTTCTTGCAGACAGCGCCTATACAAACTCTCTTTTTTTACAACCACCGCGGCGCATGAGTGGACCGGCAGCCCTCGTTGCCACTTGCGGTGGTGTCTGGACGCAGCCCGGGAAATGCCATTGGGGGGTCAGGCCTCCGTGTTTGTTGGTCGATAATAGGACACTCAGCAAATAGCCACTCCTCTCCTGATGTAATTGTCCTGCTGGGTTCTTCGTCTTCTTGGTTTTTTCGGTAAAGTCACGTAGATAGAAAAAATGAAAGTAAATTAAATTAAAAATTAAAAATAAAAACTACGACGTTTCGATCACAACATAAACGATCGTCATCAGGAGGAAAAAATGGGGGAAGGCCACCCAAGGCAAGCTGCGAAAGTTTTCAGTCAAAATATGGATTCTTCATCGTCCGTCCCTGCTGTGGTGACAGATCCAAGGGGGGCCCAACGGTAGCGTAGGTGTCCATCCATGGTGGTGCTGCGTAGTTCACGAGCAAGCTCCCAGCACGTGGAGCGAAACGTCGGACATCACGCCGAAAAACGCGTCGAAGAGGCACACTCCTCCGTTCGCTCATCCCACACAGGGCCGGAGTGAGATGTTGTAGGCCCCTGGGCTACAGACACTGTGAGGCCCCCAGGAATATTTTCAAAAGGAAAACAAAATTAAAGAAAAATAAAATGTCTTTTTACAAGGCTAACAACTGCAGCCCCTAAAGCCCATGCCTTAATCCGGCCCTGCTCACACAACGCGCTCTCTTACGCCACTTACTCGCTCAAAAATACAAGCGCCGCTCACGTGTACCATACGCTGTCCTGCCCAGAGTACGCGCGGTCATGAGCGCGACTGGCCCCTGTGCCCACACACGACGTCTCAGACGGCACGCGAGCGCGGCCTTGAGTCTTCAACCCCATCTTGAACCCCAGGGGCGCCGTTCCCGGTCAGAGCAGCGATGATGGAGTGCCATGTCAGGGCCCATACGCGGCTGCCTCCGCTACTTAGCACGACGCTTAAGTCCGAGGAAGGAGGCCGCTGGTGGGTGCAGGCCCTGCACGTCGTTGTGAACTCCACCGACAACCACAGCGGGAGCACGGGGGGGGGGGGGGTGGGAGCTGCAGGGTGGTGGAGCAGCGGTAACACCTGTGCCTCATAAGAAGAAGGACCTGGGTTATATACCCTGTGTGGAGTTGGTAAAAGTGATCTCCCTTGGTCTGCGTGGGTTTCCTCTGGGTCCCCATAGCTTAAACAACAATCAAACAACGTGGCGGGTACTGGGGAAAACATCCCACTGCTTAAAAAAAGTTCCTGCGAATTACTAAAATTGGGATCACACACAAGCAGCAACATCGCCCCCCGACTGCGCAAACTCCGGCAGGACCCTCCTGAAAACGAGTGGAGGCTGAATGAGGCTCTCCTGGGTGAACGAGCGTCAAAAAAAAGCAAGTGAAACTCCGTCTCCAATATTTGTAAATGTCTCTGTTCCGCCTGGACTGCACGCTCCTCTTAACTGCAGTCACTGCTATTCGCGTGCATTCAGACAGGTCAGAGAGTAAAATTTGCTTCAGCTGGAATTAGAGTTAGGGGTCGTCCATAAATTACGTCACGCGATTTTGGACGATTTTGACCCCCCCCCCCCCCTTCGTTACACGGCGTCACAAAAGGTCAGACCCCCCCTCAAATATGACGTCACAAAGCTCTGCCCCCCACCCAAATAAAACATGCTTCAAATCGCTTTAAACTATTGTCATTGTAATGCGTATTTAATGTGGCGCTGCACTCTGATGTTGTAGGAGAAAACAATTATTAAAAAGTCTATTTAATTAAGTAGAACGTGTTGTCTATATTTATTTAAAGTTGCGCATTTTGATGTGACGCCACATTTCTCACCCTCCCCCCTCGTCACACATCGTCACAAATGTCTGACCCCCCCCCCCTCCCTCCTAGGTGCATGACGTCATTTATGGACGGCCCCTTAACATTTTACACAATAAAAACGGACGTCTGCCGACGCGAACTAAGATCATGAACACTCCATGCGAAGTCCTCGCAGCGCTGTTCAAATACCTGTCGTGATCGAAGTCAACATCCTCGGAACAATGTGCGGAAAATACCCGTGAAGAGAATGGTCTTGCAATTTTAAGAATCTTGTAAAACATTTCCCAGCATATTTCCTCGATAGGGTTGTTGTTCTAGATTTGAAGTTTTTGTGACTGCAGGGATCCATACTTTTTGGTTCTTTCGGTAAAGCCACGTAGGTAGAAAATTAAATAAATTAAATCACGACGTTTCGATCGCAACACAAGCAATCATCATCAGGTGGGAAACCCACAGCAGCACTTCAGCAAAAAAGTTATTGCTGTGGTTTTCCCACCTAATGATTATTGCTTGTGTTGCGATCGAAACGTCGTGATTTAATTTAATTTATTTTATACCTACGTGACTTTACCGAAAGAACCAAAGAGTATGGGGTTGTTGTTGTTGCAGGAAAACAAAATAAAATTCACGATTTTGAACATGCGCGCGCATATGCCGCAAAGCATTTGCCCCGGGTGCGATCCGATGCAATGCCCGCAGGCAGCACTTGCACTTAACGAAGACGCCACGACAGGATTTGAACCGGCCGGAACAGTGGGGGTGGATGTCGTGACGGTGGCGTTGGCTGATTCATATTCCTTGGGAAAATCTCGCTTTGGGTTTTGATGCTCATCTGTGAACATCAGTAACTCACAATTTGCTACCTCGACAGCATTGGCTTTGTTTTATTTTGATGCAAATGATTCACTTCGTGCCGACTGCCAATGAGCGTGGATTTTTGTCCCTCCGCTGTTGAACATCGACGCGTCGTGCCGGGCCCGCGTTCTTGTTGTTGTCGCGATAAACCAAAAGTATGCAACAACAAAGAAACCCGATGCAAATTATGATTTAACATGGGCTTAAATCAGCATGCAATAGAGTTAAAAAGATCATGATTAATATTAATCTGTCAACTAAAGATCCATGAAATCAACCATCGACAGCGAGAGGTGCGCGCTTAACGCGCGTGCTCCGAAGAAGGGCCATTGCCCGAAACGTCGCCTACAACAAATTGTTCTTCTCACGGCCACAGTGTTATCGGCGATTTTGTTTGAGTCCGTAGCGACAGAACCCTGCGTGTGATCCTGTCACCCCAGTGGCTCGCACGTCGCGACGGGCCCGGACCAGCGCGATGTCAGCAGCGCCTCGGGGACACCCGCAGTGCCGCCTGTCGGTCCGCGATACATTCAACATCGGGACAGTCCTCAGGTTACGAACATAGCCAGTTGCGTTCGTAAGTCGAGGAAAGGCCTGACATCACGATGCGAGACGAACTCGGCTCTTCGGCGTTGATGCGAACTCGCCGGGACAACCCCCCCCCTCGCACCCCCCACACCCCCCATACACCCCACACCCTCCCACACACCCCCCCACACCCCCCACACACCCCCCCCCACACCCCCCTTCGCGCCCCCCACACACCCCCCACACCCCTCATACACCCCACACCCCCACACACCCCCCCCACCCCCCCCTCGCACCCCCCACACACCCCATACACCCCACACCCCCCACCCGCCCCCCCACACCCCCCTCACACCCCCCACACCCCCCCGCACACCCCCCGCACCCCCCACACCCCCATACACCCCCCTCACACACCCCCACACCCCCCCCTGCACCCCCCATACACCCCCCTCACACACCCCCCACACATCTCCACACCCCCCCCACACACCCCACCGAACCCCCTCGCATCCCCCACACCCCCCACCCTCCCCACACCCCACCCACCCCACGGCCTTCATAGGTGCTCGCTAACAGCACTTGCCCCAACAGTCTGTCACAGGCTATACGGGGGATCTTTGTCTGTGGTGGTGTCACGGCGGGGAGACTCAACGTGCTTGGGGAAAGGAGAGCGAGGGAGAGAGAAAGCCCCGGTGCGCTGTAGACGACGCGCATCTGGGGTGACGCGAAGTGGAAACTCTGTCGAGCTGAAGGCTTAATTCGCGTAATTGCGCTCATTTCCCTCGAAGCGACTTCGCAGAGCCCCGTCGCTCTGCGCAGAACGAAGCCGCCGCGCGTCCTGGACCAGAGCCCAGAGCGAGCGACTCTTTCAGCGGCGCGGGTCCGGGACGAAACGTCAAAAACCCCGCCGGCCAGATACGGACTCCAAGCGACAACCCCCGCTGCGTGCGACCGCAGCGACGGAGTCATAACGCAGACACACACACACACACGCACGTGGCGTGTGTGTGTGTGTGTATGTTGTGTAGTCATCAACCCGCCGCTGACCGGCGTGGTGAAGTATGGCCAAAGCAGCCACATGGCGCGGGGAAACCTTAATTAAATAGTGAATTCCCAAAGTCAATTAATTTCATTCTTGTAAACATGTAAATACGCGCAACGATAGCGAACATTTCGAATGCACACAACGGGCAACATTTTCACTCCGAACACTCCCAACTATAATCATCATCATCATCATTATTCAAGTTTATTGTCGATTGTAGTGGATGTCAATGCGGACATACTACACTTCTTTTTATTATTATTATTCTTTGGGTCTTTCGGTAAAGTCACGTAGATTGGTTCAAAGAAAATAACGAAAAACTACAACAAGCGATCGTTCACTTGTGTTGCGATCGAAACGTAGTTTTTTTGTTATTTTCTTTCAACCCATTTACGTGACTATACCGAAAGACCCAAAGAATATGAATTCCTGCGGTAAGGAAAGCTTCAAGTCAACGTCTCTTCTTCTCTAGTACGGCCGCTGTTGTCGATGCCGGACATCAACTACAAATCCAACATTCAGCCGGCCAAGCCCGGACGGCCGCGTCCATGAGCAGCGTGGTGGCACGACTGCTGCACGAGTGTAACATTCACTTCGCAACAACGAGCATCCGAGCGCTACCTTGCCGTGTAGCTAACGGCAACCCCACTGGTGTCACTGATGTTGCTTCGTCGCCTGTCGCTATCACGAGCCACTCGACAGAGTGAGAGCGCGGGCAGGGCCCCCTGGCTTTCATGACCCGGCTACTGAGACGATCTTCGTCGCGTCTTCATTCGAGACTCATTCTCTCCGGAGCCTTCCGGGAGAAGTCTCAGCCTGTCACTCGGGGGGGGGGGGGGGGAGTCAAGTGGGAAGGATTCGACTGCGCGTGGCCAGAGTTGACGATGAGTCGTGGTTTAGTGTTTGAAATTTGGCGTGGATTACGTACACGGGGCAGGTAACGAAATGCCACCGCGATAGGCTGCACCGCGCAAATCGAACGCAGCGTGCGTATCAAACTTTCTCGGACCGCTCAGGCCGATGCAAACATTCACCCCCCCCCCCCCCCCCCACCGCTGGTGACAAAACGCATTCACTTTCTCTCTCTAAAGAGCCGTAATACTAAATGAGTAATTTTACCGGGACATTAAAAAAGCATGTTTTTGTAACGCAGCTATAGCGTTTTTTAGGAAGGGCATTTAAATGTTAGGAGGGTGAGGATAATTGAATCATGGTAGTTCAGCTAACTTTTTTCTTAAATGAAATATCATACGTAAAATGTTAACCAATTCCCGAAACAAAATGCATAATAAACGTTGCCATTATTTGTGCGGATCAGCCTGCGTTTGTGTCGCAGTCCCACTCTCCCTCTCTCTCTGTGTGTGTTTCAGAGCGCGCGATGGGACTGGGTCCGCACGGTGTCTACGGAACAGCTGATCCACCGGCTGCGCGGCGCGTTTTCAAATCTCGCGAGCTGCAGCCCGCCGCCTCGCGATTTTTTGGGGTGAAGGGGGGAACGGAAGAAGCATTCCTACAGCTCAGGCGTAGTGCTGCAGTCTATAAGCGCGGTCTCCCGTTAGCACGGTTGGCTACGTACGGCGCGAAAGAAGTCCCACAGACGTGCAACGGCCCTCTCCCCTATTGCGGTCCAGAATCGGTGCATCGCCTAAGCCACTTAAAAGGCTCTCGGGAGGCTACAAATGCGCCAATTCTTAACCATATATTCGCGCAAAGAAGTCGGCTTACCTTGTGACCTTCCGTGAAAAAACTCATAGTGCTATGTTACTCATCGTGATCACGACAATCATGATTGCGATGAGGGTGGTATCCATGATGAATATTTCCAGAATTGTAATGATCACGTTCAACAGCAGTATCGCATTAATCGTCACGGCCAACATTATAATGATCAATAATCGATGGGTGGGTTAGGCCAAGTAATATCTGAGCAAATTTGTGTCGTTAAGACTCTTCACCGGTCGCAAACTAATTAAATGTTTACGAGCTTTTAAGGCGCCAGATATAATCGTTACAGCTCACTCACTCAATGAGTTGAAGATCTGTTCTCACAATCAACGTTCATATCTCAATCAGATACATCGGCGTTTCGTTCGGCCGCAAAATATTCCCCACGCGTACGCTCGTCGTCGCAATCATCACGACGAGATCACAACCGCGATTATAATCGGGCAGCGTCAGCGTTCGTCAACAGCCAGCGTGATCACGCTCGTATCACCACCGCCGCAGCGGCTTTGCGAGTGGGTGAAGTTGCACACTCACGCGTCTGGCTGCGTGTACAGATCCACCGCGTAACCGAAGTAGGAGCCGGGTGGCCCCGCGTATTCCACGCCCGTCGTCGTGTCCAGGTTGAATCCCCAGCCCGGGTGAACGAGACCACTCCACGGCACGCTGAGCCGCAGCAGCAGGAGCGGCAGCACTCGTGCCATGGTCGTTGCAGACACTCTGCGCTCAGGGTGCGCGCTGCAACAGGAGCAGCGGTTGCTTGAGGGGGGTCGGGTCGAGCCGATCGCGGCTCCTACCCAGCGCAGCCCAACCCCTCCACCCACCACAACCCCCAATCTCGTCCCCAGCAACCCCCCCCCTCTCCCACCGCCACCACCACCACGTGCGGGCAGCCTCGCCTAGCCCGGGTCGCTCTGGCTGCTGGGGCAGATTGGGGTCAGAGTTGGATTCGTCTGCGGTCCAGCACCGACCTCACACAAGCAGACACTTGCACGCATTGCTCATGGAAGGTAAGGAGGCGAAAGTGCTCGCTCACGACACTTGCTGGCGGAAGGGACACGTCATCAGAAGGGGCCCTAGAGAAGCTCCTCTGGGGGGGGGGGGGTATATTGGTCTACTCTTCCTCGCTGGCCAAAGGTCAAGGGAGAGGTGGGGGTACCCACACTTTATCCCACCACAACGCGACCTGCCAGTCGACTGACGGTCTACTGCTGCGTGGACAAGCGGGGAGTTCATTATTGCGCCTTTTGTTTCAGCTGCCGCGCCCGAAGATCGAATCGACGACCTCTGGAATGAGATTCCAGTGTGCCCAAACATTTCAACACGACAGCAGCGACGAATACGCCTGAATCTGCTGATGACGCTCCAAAAGAGTTGAAGCCAGTCGAGAGCGTGCTCGTTTTATAAACACGTGCTGCTGAGGATGGCTCTGGAAAGCTCACGGGGCTAATACTGAGACCAGCAAAGGTCTGTTAGAATGCTTCAAGGCGTCAGTGAATGCGTGCGGCATATGCAATCGTCGCATCTGAACGCATCGGCTGATGCCCCGTGAGGTTTCCGCAGCAAAAATTCGCATCTCAACGTTATACGGCCCGTGACCGTGCGCGTGCGTGTGACCTCGTCATTTCGTGAGTCGTTGCTTGAGTCGCATTCCTTTCATCCGGTGTCCGTAGGCCACAAAAAGCTTCTGGCAGCGAATTAGGAGTGGAAATGCAACAGGACGCTAAATGGCACCAGCGCGTGCAGAGGCGGTGCTCACAGATTGCGGCTCTGTTAGCAGCTAAGGCGGTCAACATCGCTGTGTTTTGCATCTCCCGGTATTCACCGTATGAAAGAAACGGTTACCGCTTTTACCGCACAGAGAATAATAAAAAAAAACTCGTACACATTCGTGAATAACACCGTGGCCTTCAAAGGAAAACATAACAGCTGACGTTTCGGGAAATGACTCTTCTTCGTGGCACATGCTTGTACACCACCACTACCAACGCAACATCGCCACACATAATTTGCAACGCACGCATAGAAATGTCCCCATCATAGCGGGGTAAACATTTGGAAGCGTCTTGAAAGAATACACGCTAAAGATGTTGACACTTTCAACTGAGGAATGAATGCAGCTGCCACAGTGGTGGTGGTGGTGTTAATGGTTTATCAGCGCACCGGACTTGCCATCCAGAGCTCGCCCGTTTGACTCCATCTCCTGAGTCGGAAATTGAAACAGTGGGGTAGATGTATATATTTTTAAATCGGTGCATTCGTGACGACAAAATCCAATTCCCAGCATTGTACCGCTTTGCTGCGTGCAGACGTTGTGTCTTGTATTTAGCTGGTCACTTCACATCTCATTCGTAATGTTTAATGCACGCAAATTATACTTTTTTTAAATTCATGCCGCTTCCTGGAAAGAAAGAAAGATAGAAACAAAAAAAACTCCCCCCCACCACCCCAGTACATGACAGGCGTGATGAGCTCATGATTAAATGCTTGGACATTGCCAGGCACAATCCCACTGCCCGCAGCGTTCCACTCGGCACCCGTTCCGGATGCATTTCCGCGTGGCCTCTCCCAATGAGCGATACAAGCGACGCCTGTGCCGTGAACTCCCCCCCCCCCCTCTCTCCCCTGGGGCAGCTGTCAATTAACGCGACTGCGACCCAGCCCGCAGTTACTCTCAATGGCGCCTCTCGTGACTTCGCTGCGGGGATGTTGCACGCCGAGTCTTGGGGGCGTTTAAAAGGGGCCCGTGGTTGAACCCGCACGTGCAGACCAACAACGCTTCATGTACTCCCGTCTCGGTCTGCCCGTGTGAGAAATTAAACACGCACCCATGCCACTCTTCTCGAGACCAAATCGCCCGGAATGCGCCCAGTCTCGTCATAAATCGGCGGCCAAGCTGTGGGTTGAGCCTGGACAATGCTTGAATGGGCAACCATCGCCACAAAGACAAAGATCCCCTCCCCGCTCGTATAGCCTTAACTGACTTTTTGGGGCAAGTGCTGTTAGCGAGCGCCTGTGAAGAACCGTCATGGCACGCGAACGGTTGGTTGGGTGGCCAGCACCACGCCCGGCCGTCTTTGTCTCCCTATTGACGATGTTTAAACACCGCACCGGGTAACTAATTTGAGGCTGAGTAGACCTACACACACACACACGTGGCCATCGAGGGGGCTACGCGGGTTGGCAGCACAAGGGCAGCGCAGTAAAAATCCATGGCTGTGCTGCACAGGACTTTTGCGTGCTTCCACGTAGACTGCACGCGTTCCCAGACTTTACCAAACCGCACCGACCATGCTGGTGAAGTAAGGTCCAGTAGCCCTCACGTCCAGCACTGACGTGGAGCAGTGCCGGATTATCCCAGTAGCAAAAGTAGCTACGTATGCTACGGGCACCGCAATTCCAAGGGCCCGCGCTAAATGCTTTCAAGCCATCAATTCCGGTTCAGGATTCTGCACTTGCTCTATTACTATAGTACTATACTGCCTTCAACTTTTATGAACGACTGGGTGTTTAAGGTTATCAAATTGTCGTATTATCTGGCTGTATAGCAAATGAAAAAATACAATTACTTTACAATGCAAGTAAAAAATGTGCTTTCATATTTATGTTTAAATTTAATTATTATTTGTATTAATTAATAACATATGCTATAGGCCCGCACTAGCTTAATCCGGCACTGGCGTGGTGACCCCCCCCCCCCCCCCCCACATAGGCATCATCCAGCAGTGGAGTGAGAATGAGGGCTTGGAGGTAGTGGTCGCATGCGGCCCCGGCGGAGAGGGCTTTGGGCGCAGCAGCAGCGCCCCCTGTGGGCCACGCGCGGTGCGGCCACGGCCACGGGGCGGGGGGGGGGCAGAGCGAGACTCGCTGCGAGAGTGACACTGGCGGACTTTTTAATAAATGTTTTCTCCTACAACATCAGAGTGCAGCGCCACATTAAATACGCACTACAATGACAATAGTTGAAAGCGATTTGAAGCATGTTTTATATTTTTTGGGGGGGGGGGGGTAGAGCTTTGTGACGTCATATTTGAGGGGGGGGATCTCACTTTTTGTGACGCCGTGTAACGATGGGGGGGGGGGTCAAAATCGTCCAAAATCGCGTGACGTCATTTATGGACGGCCCAAAACGCGCGTCTGGCTTCACCGCAACGAGGGCGGGTGGGTTGTGAGTGAAAGTGTGGAAGTGTTAGCGGCGCACCGGTGCGGCCCCCCCACCCCCCACACCACGGCCCCCATCAGCGCCAACTGCGCCGTCCTCCTTCGCAGACGCGGTTGGTGTTTTCTCGAACCGCTGGCGACTCTCCATGGAAAGCTGCCTTTGATTCCGCAGTTGTCTGCGTTCCAAACGTGTGCCACGAGTCTCACACAGAGTGTGTGAGTGTGTGTGTGCCCACGCCACCGTCCGCACAATAAATTATTCGGGAAATGAATCGAGGAACCCGTCCGACCAAGTCGAGGAGGCGAGTCGAAATCTGCCTTTAGGAACACGGAGCCAGTGGCCATCGGGCTGGGTTGCTACGCGGCAAGAGATTTGCGAAGTGTTCAGCCGCTAGCAGCGTTCGTCTTCCCACTCTGCCTCGACATCGCGAGAACCGATTTATAGCGAACAAAAAAAGTCGCTTCTTTCTACACCGCGCGCCGCCGCTGTACCGCCAACACGTTCACGTGGAGGTGATTTCCATTGCACCTGGGCAACTCCCCCCCTGCCGCCTTCTGCTCCCCCCACCGCTAGCCGAGAGCTCTTGTACAGCCAGACGCCTCGTGAACACAGACAGAGAGAAAGGCACCAGCATCTCACAGGAGCGGGCACACGTGGCGCGTGGCCCGGCATGGGAACATCAGCAGCACCACCACCCGGGGCTCCGAGCCGCGTGCGGTGGCTCTTTGGCTACCCCCCCTTGCGGGCAGCCGTTTTTTGTTCTGATTTAAGTAACGTAAATCGTAAAGGCATTAAACGTAAAGATAATTGATTGAACATGGCAGGGAATGAGGTCGGTATGGGATGTCTTGGTGACGCCAAAATGTACAAGAGTCAAACTGTAGCGTTAAAGAATTACTAAGGCGGAAAAACACGACAGACGCAGTTTATTCCATCACCTATTTTGTTAACTTAAGTCAGAATTTGTTATCTGCTGTATGCCCGCTGCGGTGTTTGTGTACAAGTAGCTCTGCGTGTGACGCGGCTCTCAAACAATGTTTTGGTTAAATACAAAACTAAAACAACGTGTCCTCCTTTTCTTTGAAAGGTTGGCGACCCCTGAGCAGCACGTGACGAACGCGCGTGCTTTCGGATGATTGAAAGTCTGTGTGAGATAGAAACAAGTGCTTTCTTCTTCTCCCTATTGCATATATCATTCGTGTTATGTAATGCGTGCCACGTGCGCACGGCACGAGTCGTAACTTAGTGCATACTCCAGGCTTCACTTATTGGGGAGTCCTTTTGAAGGTAACTTTCATTCGGTTTGCAGCAACATTAGGCAGTGTTTAATTTGCGCGAAAATGGTCTGAAACTCTTGTGCTGGGATTTATGTTGGTCCTCGGCTGCATCTGTCTCACCGTATTTTTTTCGCAAAACCTGTTCAGAGGATTCTAGGGTTACCTTGTACTCTGGTGACTCTAGTGGTAGTGCCTTACGCCGACAATCACGACTCCAAGAAAGCCTAGCAGTGTTCAGGAAGATGTTGACGCATTAATCCCATTCATGTAGTAGTTTGATAACAACAGCGTAAACTACATACCAGATTATTGAGATTGCATAGCTACAGTTTGTCCTCGACATGACGTGGGCGGATATATCATGCACATTTACAACATTGTACAAAGCAGAATGTGGCCCAGGATCTCAGCATTGCTCCATCTTCCGAGCTGCACGGCCTCCAACGTGCACCGTGTTACCGTCACGGGGCATGGGGATCATCAGCAGTGTTTGCATGTGCCTGCTGCAGTGGGTACCCTTGGCAGACACCTCGACTTAATACCGAGTGTTCGCACTGCGTTGACAATACAGGTAGTCCTCTACTTACGATGGAGATGCGTTACGACGACCCCATCGTAAGTCGAAAATATTGTAAGTCGAAGATGGCCTAGCCTACCCCGGAGTCTTAAAGAACGGTGATAATTTAGCAAAACAGAGCAATTTATCGTGGTAACTTTAAAATGAAATCGCTAAAGCTACGTATCATACATGCATTGAACGTATCGTAACGTATCATATTGTGCTGTACTCACCAAGATTCTGTCCGTCGTTTGCACACTTGAACGATGTTAGGTTGTTGATGTCATTTTTGTCGAATCGCTATCGCCATCATAAGATCGAAATATCGTAAGTCGGACCCCATCGTAACTCAGGGACTACCTGTACTTGCAGCGCAAGATGTACATGCTGCGAGAAATGCTACACTCATGCAGAATGGTAGCGGTGGAGGCTGGGCAGGGTTTTCCCTTCAGACCGGCTTCCGTAAGCATTCTGCTACTGGGGTGTTCGTGATAAAGGCTTTATTTGGGGTGAGATGGCTCAGAGAAATGACGTTACCTGACTCTATTTAAGACCAGAAACAGGAAGACTTTTTCACAATTCTGGCTGAGAGCCTGATGAAGATGGTTGTAATCACCAGCAAAACGTCGTACTCAAATTGTACATTTTGTGGGTTTCCTCTCCAACACACAACCGGTGTGCTGAAGTAGTCACTAATTGGCACGTTTTGTTTACGTGACAAACCCATTACTAATTGGCTGTGTCGGGTGGTGGTGAGTTAACGACACATTCATATTTACGCGATCTAACCCAACAACAAAAAATCCTTCATCGCTAATATTGGTCGCGAATGCCTACTACGTATTAAACCTACTGGGGTGTGTTATGATTGTTTTTATTTCCAACCGTAATTGAATTATGGGCCACCCACAAATCAAGATGTTAAACAACCAACGGTAGCTTCAGTGAAATCCTCACACAACAGCGGCGGTCTTCACGGGAGACGTTTTAAAAGTGCATTTCTTCCACCTGCTGTCAGCACCAATAGTCCCACGCATCTGCCGACACTCTGCCTTGCCTGGCGCATGGGTCGGAGGCCTACGGGGGGAAGGGGAGGGAGTCTATGGGTGTCTCCTTGATTCGACACTATGTAACACGATTTTTGTTCCTGGGTAGTAAGTGTTATTTTATAATTGATTATGCCTCAAAAGTACAGAAAATTGCTATTATTCCCCACAAACTTTGCTTTTGTAACCAGGACTTTACGTGAAGGAATGACACAAATGCACACCACGTTTTATCATAGAAAATAGGTAAATTTCAAAATGTCACTGTCCTGGTCACAAAAGCAAAGTTTGTGGAGAATAATAGCCGTTTTCTGTACTTTTGAGGCATAAGCAATTAGGAAGTAACACTTACTACCCAGGAGCAAAAAATAATAATACATTTGTTACACCGTGTTATAAATGAAGTGGATTATTAACTTTGTTTTTGTGTCCTGGTCACAAAAGCAAAGTTTGTGGGGAATAACAATAGCCATTTTCTGTAAATTTTGAGGCATAAGCAATTGGATAATAACACTTACTACCAAATATGTTTTTGTTACACAGCGTCCGTCTTCCCACTTTGCAGCCTGCGCTGCGTACGCAGTCCTGTGGCGAGTGTTCCAGCTGCTGCCCTTTAAATGCTGCATCAACACTGCGCTCATTGCATCGTCCCTTCCCACCTCGTGCCAACAATCACCACCACCAAGTGCTTATTAGACATGTTGGCCCAGTAACTAGTTTCTTCTTGATGTATTCATGGTTGCGCGGTGGTGAGTGCACTGCGTCATGAAACCGGCAAGCCGAGTTCGATTCCCGGCCATGGCTTACATCAGCAGCGAGTGATGTCCGAGCCAGTCCTGGGCATATTCCCCTTCACCGCCTCGCACCGACCAGTTAGGTGAGAGTACAGTCAACCAAGCCCCATAACCGATACGGCGTACGGAGGTCTTCATCGAGCAGTGATTTGACAAAGGGCCGTATAAATTAAACATAGTTGGAGTAACCGGAGTTGTCTAAATCTTTAGTTTAATCTTCATATTTACTTTGACCAAAACTGCACGAAACACAGAAACACTTCCCAGTCATGAGAGCGAACGGCTGCACGTGCCTATTTTGAAGATACATATTTGTTTGTTATTCTCCAAATGGGAGCCCAGCGATGTGCTGCCGGCCTTCACGTTGTCAGCGAGGCCATGGCCACAGGCTAACGAGGCGAGAGACACGTGACCTCGTCGTCGTCGTCGCCCTCGTTGGTGACACTTTTGACAGGTGACGACGAGGGGACGTGGCGAGGGGCTTTCGCGTGGCCACCCCTTCTGCGCCCGCAGGCCGGAAGACGCGCGATGACAAACGTCTGTCGCCGTGCAGAAACCATAACCTCGCCCTTCGCAGATGGTCGGGTTTCATCAGGGACAACGCGAAATTAAACAAAACGCAAGGCGCCCGCGCGGAGAACGGGGCTGCCAAGGCTGGGGTGCGGAGGGTCTTGTCCCACGAGTCCAATCGGGATCTGGTATCAGTGACACCTCCAAACCACGCACACATCCAGACCGAAATAGGCAAAACAGGTCCCGCCAAGGTCACGTTAAGAGTTTGTTTACATCTGCAGTTCAATTCCTCTTGTGCGAGACGTTGTGGAGAGACAGAGTTGCGTGTTTGTGGATAAACGGATTTGCGGATAGGGGCCGTCCATAAATGGTGTCACGCGATTTTAGACGATTTTGACCCCCCCCCCCTTCGTCACACGGCGTCACAAATAGTCAGATCCCCCCCTCAAATATGACGTCACAAAGCCCTGCCCCCCCCCCAAAATAAAACATGCTTCAAATCGCTTTAAACTATTGTCATTGTAGTGCGTATTTAATGTGGCGCTGCACTCTGATGTTGTAGGAGAAAACATTTATTAAAAAGTCTATTTAATTCAGTAGAACGTGTTGTCTATATTTATTTAAAGTTGCGCATTTTGATGTGACGTCACATTTCTCAACGCCCCCCCCCCCCTCGTCACACATCGTCACAAATGTCTGACCCCCCCCCCCCCCAGGTGCGTGACGTCATTTATGGACGGCCCCATAGTGGAGGCGGTTGTGTGATAGTGGAATACGTGGATGTGCTACGAATAAGTGAAGCCCAATTGAAGAACCTGGACACAAATCCTGAAGACTTCGATGAATTCGTTAAACTTCTAACATCTGCTGCAAAATAACAACATCCCGAGCGGGTATCGGAGAAAGCTCTACCGCCACTTTGGCAACACAGAAACAGAGCAAGAGTTCATCAGAAGTGGCGACCGAGATAACGGTACTGCACTGCTGCAGTCCCTGATCTCCATCACTGCAGATTTGGACTTCACTCACTCCGGCCATCAACCCTGGCAGCTGCTCCAGAAGCCGGGTGCCTCAAAACCAACAGACCACAGACCGCCACCAACCACAGCGGACGCCGTGGCTGCCCACGCGCCGCTGTCCCTGCTCAAAGGCACCGATGGACAAGCGCAGCTGACGAGCTGTCCGCAAACAGCTCACCAACTCTCCGCCACCATCATCACCTTGAGTCAACTACCGCAAGCGACAGATCTAACGAGGCCAAATTCACGACCGCTGAAGTGGAAGCCGCCCTCAGGGCCACAGAGTCCAGCAAAGCACCGGGATACGATGCCCTACGTCCCGAGTCGCTAAATAACCTGGGACGAGATGGACAACGATGGCTTGCAAACAATCTTCCTGGTCACACACAGGACGGGCAAAATCCTGAAAGCATGGAAGCAAGCCAAAGTCATTCTGAAAGCCATAAAAAGTCACAAGACTCCATCCAGCTACAGGCCAATAACCTACTTGTTCCTACACCTCTACGCTGATGGAACATGCTCCATGCTTGTCAGACTTACCCCCCATTATCGATCATACACTGCCTTCTGAATGAGCCGGATTTCAAACTGTCTGTAGCTGCTGCGGGCAGATGGTTGCCGTCACCACCATCATAGAAGCCAGTTTCCAGCGTCAGCAGGAAAACGGCACAGCAAATGGTTGACCTCTGTGCTGCCTATGACACCGTTTGGCATCATGACCTGCTGCTGCTGGTGGACGGTCAATATCATCAGACGCCATTGTACTCTTCACCTAATCGACGCAATGCTCAACAACCGAACTTTCAGGGTGAACGCCTCGCTGGTGAACACAGTCGCAAGAGAATTACGAACAGTGGCCTCAACTCAAGGCTCGTCGATGCTAGTACCGTCACTATTTAACACTTATATATATAAGTGACCTGCCATGCAATGCTGTCCTGAAGCCCTCTCGTAGCTAACAGACCTCGGCATTGGCATTAATCTCTTGAACATATTGCCGCATAACAGAATATAACAGAGTTAATGTTGAAATTACTACACTGATGTCATCCAATCTGAACTCACCCTAAGGTGCATCAATAAGGCAATGCATGGAAACTCATGCTCTCACACACTTCATTTGTTTTACCAGGTAAGGCCCACTGAGCTGTATAGCACTTTTTCAGAAGCGACATGGCCACAAATGATAGCTCAACGAAGTGGCTTATCGCGTGGTCATGTATAGCAGCCAAATAGTCTAAAAGCATGTTTCTTAATGTGGAGAGAAAAACCGGAGGACCCGGAGAAAAATCCACGCGACCACAGGGAGATCGTGCAAACTACAAATATACAACAGGCATCGTCAGGGCCGGGGTCGAACCCGTAGGCCTCCTGTACACCGGGCGAGGTAGTTAATATCTCCGAGCCACCGCGGTGCCCACCACGAGTGCCGTGGCAACGACGCGCTTCTCAGCATGGCTGCTGCTGCTGCGGCCGCCGCCGCCGCCATTTGCTGGGCTTCCAGGTGCTGCTGTTGGGGTTGCCGTGCGCCGTCGCCTCTGGCAGCAGCTCCACAGACTCCACGCTGAACACCGACAGCGCTGCATTGCAAACCGCACGGCATTCGGGTTAATCCCCAACCTTCGATTAGCACGGTTGGCTACGTACGGTGCGAAAGAAGTTACCAATACATACAAGGTACAATGCAATGTCTGGGCTTCGATCTGTCACAGTGCTTCGATTCTCAAATGCTGAGATAGCATGGAAACCTGGTGATGACGACAAAATCAACGACTCTGTAATCATAACACTGTAAGGGTAGACACATTTTCACATAAATAAAAGTTCACTGAAGCAACAAAAACAAAAAACAATCCTCAGCAGCAGCAGCAGGCCCATCATCATCCTCATCACAATCGGCTCTTAACCGGTGGTCAAAGCGATTCCCTGTGAGTTTGACGACATAAGGCAAGTTCCTTGCCAACGTCCGTGGTTGCATGAACCTGTGCTGGTCGCTCTCGGAGGTCGTACCTGGTGCAAGTGTGTATCAGAATCAGATTTGTGTATACTGGAGGAATCCGATAAGCTATAAAGCTCCTTTTCACAGATGTCGAGTCGGGGCGGGTCAGAACGTTACAACAACAAACAACACAAAGACATCAACACAGGTTGCACAGCTTTCACCCCCAGTGCTTTGGAGGCAAGGGTTGGTGAGTTTCACAGATTTATGACATTTTAAAACCTGCAGTGCTTTAAGATAGCCAGGGGATGGCAGTGGAGCAAGTTTAAGATGGTATGACAACTTGCAGAAGACGGCAGTACAGCAAGTAGATCCGTGGGCCTTGGGAGTTGCACAAATGGCAACATCATCGGTGAGTATCCGATGAAATGCAACTGATATTGGCCAAACATCCCAATGCTGAAAAATGACTTGCAAATCACTCGATTGCGATTGCCCCCTGCTGTGAAACAACACCGCAGTCGACGTCTGTGCCCTTGGCGAGAGCCTTGCGCAAATGAGCACGACGCGAAACACCAAATAATGTCAACTATGATCGTGATGCAGACGATGCCGCAGGGCTGACCGTCAGGCAGAGCGCGCACGCGGGCAGGGAGGTCGCTGAAGAAGCAGTGCCTCAGCGCCGCGTGGGCAGACAGCCTCCTGCCAGGGCAGCACTGCAGCAAGCTCCGTGCCAGGTCCTCTGCGTGCGGGACACAGCCCAGCCTGACACACAGGAGCACCGCACGAGTTTGTAACACAGCAGACGATCCTGCCGTGGTGCCACGGGCCATCGCCTCCTTACTCATGAACTTGGCTGCCTGCGAAGCGCGTCTGGATCTCGACATGGCTGATTCATCGAGAACGAGAGAAGGTGATGAGAGCGAGCAGGGGTGGGGAACGTCCGCCCCACGGGCCGTATGAGGCCCGCGAAATCATTTGGTGTGGCCCTGCCACGGCAACCGCAGGCAGGACTCGAAATTCAATAAATCTAGGAGCAAACCTGGAAAAGCAGTTGCGAGTAGCAACATCATCAATACCAGCTAACATCACACGCCTCGCCAAAGAGAAGCAGTTCCAGCCATCACATTAGGGGCGAGTTAATTAAATGTTGACCAACTATGACAGGCTAATTTTTAAGTTGATGATTTTGTATGGCCCGCGAATGATGTTATAATTATACAAATGGCCCTTGGCAGAAAAAAGGTTCCCCACCCCTGAGATCAAGTGATGAGAGAGAATGTGACGTGAGAAAGTGATGAGATAATTGTCACGTATTTAATAGCTTATTTATGAATTCATTGAAGGTAATTCATTACAAAGAGGTTTTTGTGGGCCAACAATAATTTGCGGAATTTGTTATTCACGAGCATCTACGGAACGTATCCCTCGGGAACAATGTGATTCAACATTAAAGCCCTCGCAGGCGGCAGGGGAGTGAAGTGGTAATGCTAGTGCCGCGCAGCAAGAATAGTCTGGTTTCGATCCCCAACTCGACACCATTCTGTGTGGAGTTTGTGTGTTCTCTCCCTGTTTCTACATGAGTTTCCTCCGGGTTCTCCAGTTTACACCCATAACTCGTGTTTGGGTAAATATCCCAATGCTAACATTTCCTGCAAATTACTCAATTGGGATTACTTTTAGCAACATCGCCTCCTCATTCCAAAAAAACGTGGCAGTACCTTCAAGAAAATTATTCTTGAGACTCAGTGAGGATTTGCTGGGTAAATAAGCAAAATAAAACAATAATAAAAGTACAAAAACACAATGAGCTACAAGTGTTAGCCTCCAGGAAAACTGAGAGTATCGTGTGATGTTTTATTCAGCAGCGGAGACACGGTCATGTCGAATTCATTCCACTCACATTCTCCATACTCTGCCCAGCTGCCGCGGCTTTTGAGGCACAATGTCTTCTGGAAACGCAAGTACAGTACAACGGTGGGATTAGTGAATATATTGAAAGGTACATTGTGTTAAACTGGTTGCTAGATAGCTCAAGAGGGCAATGCTTTTGTCAATATTTTGCCAACATAACAGCTGGGTCTCATTCAAGACTCCCACTCAAGAGAGATGAATTTCCTAAATGGGGGGCTTTTATAATCTCAAGCAAGCCACTGGTGGCTGTACAAAAACAAATAATTTAAAATGTGATTTAGTACTTTGCTTGAGCCTGTAAATTTGTGAAGACCTAATCAAGATCTGCAGAACAAAGCATGCTCTGTGTCGAAGTACACATTTAAACACATTCCATTTGAATGTTTGTATATTTCTCTACTATAATTATACATTTAGGCAACTAAGAGCCTATTGAGATAGAATACAATTTTTTTTAAATAAAAGTTGGCCAGTTGCTATTTAGCTGTAGTTGAATGTTCATACTGGGCACGTGAGTTACAGCACGAGCAAAGATTGGCATCCCCTCTTGTGGGTTACTTTCACAGGGTCATAGATGCCCACTCTACAGCAGACGGCACTCTGACAGTTTATGTGCAGCAGATCATACTCAATTCAGTGCTCCGTGAACACAGGCTCAGTGGCGTTCGTGCCATTCGGCTACTTGGCTACCTGGGTTACTCAATGGCCTGAACATAGTCAGGCCGTCGAGTAATGGTGGCGAGATGTTAATTCCCTCGCCTGGTATGCAGGAGGTCGTGGGTTGGATCCCGACCATGACGCCTGCTGTATATTTGGCGTTTGCATGTTACTCTCCCCTTGGTCGCGTGGATTTTTCTCCATGTCCACCGGTTTTTCCCTCCACATTTAGACTCAAAATGCATTTAGAGTATTTGGCTGCTATACATTTCCACGCGATAAGCCACTTCGTTCAGCTATAATTTGTGGCCAGGTCGCTTATGAAAAAAGAGCAATACAGCTCATTGGGCCTTACCTGATAACCGACAAATTGTTCAGTGTAATAGTTTCCAAGCACAACTCACCTGGCTTGTAGAGCGGCAGAGATGTCACTTCTGGCCATTCTTCCTCGTTTGGTGTCCCAAGCACCTGGACGGGGATATTAAAGCATGCTTATTCAGGGAGCCGAATGCGCCGATTAATTCTATGCCCAGGGCTTGGCGTTTCTGTCCAAATTGACCAACCGTCTGTCCGTCTGTCACCCGAGAACGTTTCACATGTGGTTGAAGCCGGGTGGAACTGCTGTGAGAACGTGGGTTCTCACTGGCCTTGTACGAGCCCCATGGGAACCGGGCGTTCCTTCTCTCCGCGGGGAGGTTGTAGCAGACACTGCTATGTCACCTGCCGATGCCACCGAAGCTGCTCACGAGGTGCAGCTCGGGTTGCCGCGATGTGGCCAACCTAGGACATGGCCCAGCGCGTTGCCCGCTTGTTGCAGAGGTTCACAGCTCCAACCCGGCAGGCTGCCCTGGTTAATATTGCACGTGTATTAAATGTCATGATCGCGTGACATCATTCGAAAAGAGTTAGGCCATTGCGTTCTGGCGTCACGGTCCAAATTTGCCAAATGTACGCGCAAATCACTCACGTGGGATGACACACAGGAAACATCGCCCACTCCTGTGCAACTACTGCGGACAGTGTCTACAAACTGCAGCGCCTTCGTTCGTGATCGCCTCGCGCAATGAGAACGGCGTGATACCGCTCCCGATCGTTACCCCTACCGCGGTAGGGTAGCGAGCCCGGACGCCCTCGTCCGATCCCTAATCTCGAGCATGCATTACGCGGAGCATTGCGAAATGTTATCTGCAGTTTTTTTTCCGTATTTTTGAAATCCACTTTGTATTCTGGGTTCTTTAATGACAATAACATTTTCATAAAAAAACACCGAGAAGAATAAATGTGAGCAAATTATTATTATAATTGTGAAATAACCCCCCGATGCAACACGAACGGCGCGGCTCCACCTGCCACACGCGCTCCAGCTGATCCCAGACGCCCGGCACCCCGGGGAAGATCACCATGCCCTGCAGCATCTCCACAAAGATACAGCCGACAGCCCTGCGCCCCCCACACACGGGAGAGAAGGAAAGACCACGTGGGCGCGAGCAAAGCCCGTATCAATGGGCACTCTGCAGTTAGTTCGTCGGCAGGTGGCGTGCGGTGGGTTCAAGTGTGGGTACTTCCACCATTTCCAAGACGTCTGGTGAGCGTGGAAGAGTGGGCCAAATACCCTCTAGAGCAGGGGTCCCCAACCCCTAGGCTGCGGACCGGTACCGGCCCGTGGCCTTTTAGGAACCGGGCCGCACAGCAGCAGGAGGTGAGAGCGGTGAGTCCGCGCGTGGCCCGCCCCCATTGTTTTATTATTGACCACTTCCGTCTGCGCCTCTTTCCCGCACTCGCACTTGTCTCAGTCACAGTGTTGGTAAGCCCACAAGCTCTAACCCCGAGCCAAAATGAGTAAAAAACAAACGTCGCTGGAGAGCTTCTTTGAAAAGGGGGAAAGACCCAATGATGAACCCCCCTCCACGAAACCGGTCCCTGGTGCCAAAAAGGTTGGGGACCGCTGCTTCCTCGAGTGAAGGCCTTTCCGCCAGCAGTCGCTTGCACATGTGACTTCAGGTTTGCTCTTTTACCACCTTTCTAACCCTTTCCCGTTCCGAGACGTCTGCAAATTGCGGGGTGGTGTCCCGTTCACCGCTGAATCTCGGAAAGCGCAAGCGGTTCAGCGTTGATCTTATTTAGAGAGGCGTAGTACTTGTCTTTAAAGGCATTGTACTCACCGCAGCGACGACACGGCCACACTCTATGATAGCTGGTGCCAAACTGCGCCACACGCCCTCCCGCATGGTCTTTTACTTCCGATTCCGTTCGGAATTGAGTCGGAAGAAACACCGATGACGTACACGTGATGACGTACACGTACGTCATCAGAACCGCAATGGATTCATAATGTTCGAGTGAAATGAGCAGGCGACGCTGAGAGAGAGGCCATTGCAGTAGCTGGGCATCGTGGGACAGGGCACAGTGCGGCCGGGGTCCGTGCGGCGGGGGCGAGTGTCCTGCCCCGCCGGTTGCTCTGACCACATGTCGAGGCCGGAGGAGTATCGCGTGGAGCCGAGCAGCGCGTCGGGCGGGCGGTACCACAGCGTCGCCACCTCGCTCGAGTAGGAGCGGCTGGGCACCGACTGCGCCCTGGCCATTCCTGTGGCGGCAGCAGCAGCAGCAGCGGCAGCAGCGGCGGCACAGCATTATTATTGTTACCCGGCTATGTTCACCCAGCAAAGACTTACTGAGTCTCAACAACATTTCTGGTGCTTGGTGCGAGGTTATCCGTATATTTAAACGCATAATTTGCACGTGATTTTCCAGCATTCGGATGTTTGGCCAATACCAGTCACAGTGCGATGTGTTTCAGCTATGGGATGAAAATGTGGAACCTGGAGGAAACCCGTGCAGATGTGACACGCACAGCCCAAACTTCTCAAAACTTTCTTGACAAAGTAATCGGTGGGATTTCAATAAAAAAGAGGTTACATTAAATTAGGGCAAGGAATACATGAACCTTAATTCATTATTTTAACTTAAAATAACGTTGAAAATTGTGTATGCGATGTTTAACAGAAAGCTTGCCATTCATTTAAATAAAAGTAAAATTTACTTTACCGCTGGTGGTGGTAATTTATTTGCCATTGTTAACAACAAGCCCAACTAAATCTAAACTTTACCACTAATCTTGACTTAAACCTTTCGTGACTGCAGGAATTCATATTCTTTGGGTCTTTCGGTAAAGTCACGTTGATCGAAACGTCGTAGTTTTTTGTTATTTTTAATTATTTTTCTTTGAACCTATCTACGTGACTTTACCGAAAGACCCAAAAAATATATAAACCACTAATCCTTTTCTTTTAACAGTTAAGGCCCACTGAACTATATAGCTCTTTTTCAGAAGTGGCCTGGCCACAAATGATAGCTCAAAGAAGTAGCTTATCACGTGGAAATGTTAGAAGCTAAATACTCTAACCGCATGATTTGAAATGTGGAGGGAAAAACCAGACGACCTGGAGAAAAATCCACATGACAACTGGGTCCGGATTGAAGCCACGACCTTCTGCATACCAGGCAAAGTAGTTAACATCTCGCCACCGTGGCGCCCCTCTGCTGCTCTCATATGGGGGGGGGGGCAGTAAAGCTGTTGTGTGGGGGGGGCACCAGAGCAGTGATCACCACGAAGCAGAGTTAATTCGGGAGGGCCTCAGGGACATGTGGTGGTGCAAAGCACACGGCGAGTGCCGGCCGTGACGCCACGTGACGACGTGCATGCGCGCATTTGTGTCCGTACAGACTTCACGCTTACCAAAGTCGGCAAGTTTGAGCTCCCCGGACGCGCCGAGCAGCAGGTTGTGTGGCTTCACGTCGCGATGCAGGATGCCCCGCGAATGCGTGTACGCCAGCCCGCGCAGCAGCTGCAGCAGGAACAGCTGCACGCAGCGCCAGTCAGTACACGAGACATCAGCTCCGATTGACCTCAGTCCCTGAGCGTCAGGGTGGCAGGAGAGGGCTATGAAGTCGATTCATCAATGTGCCTTTTTCACCGATGCTCCCCACTCGTTTGCATTAGTTTAGAGCTGGAACCAGTCGAGAGTTTGCTTCTTAAACAAATGCTAATGAAAGCATGGCTCCAGAAGGCCCACTGACTGAAATGTGATTTTTTTTCGCAATGAAACACACCCTTCAATGTTCATTATTCTAAAACATCACGTTGCATAACGTGTCTCTGTCAATGGCATAACCATGTCACAGACAAAGACAAAAGACCCCCCCCCCCATTTAGCCTTCAGACTATTGGGGAAAGTTCTGTTAGCAAGCACCTATGAGGGCCAACACGGCACACGAGGAGGTGGGAGGCCAGCACCACACGATGCTTACACACTGCACCAGGTACTCCTTTGAGGCTGAGTTGACGTAGGGGAGGCCCAGGACCAGTTCAAACATTCGCCACTGTTATTGGTCGTGAGCGGGAATCGAACTCGGGTCGCGGGGTTCACAGTGCAGCGCTTCTAACCGCGACCTGACCGTTCCCCACGGAGACGCAGCACACACAGACACGAAGAGAGCGTGATTACACCGATATGCAGCAGCTGAATGAAGCACGAGTGTGCGTCATGCAGCAACACAAGCCTCGAGCAGACACATTCCCACGCGGAGATGTACAAAGACAAAAGTGAACTGACGTCGTTATTATTGTTGTTGTTACACCTGTTTAGCCAAAAAAGCCTCAGCTGAAGGTTCTGCCAAGTTTTCGCAGTAGGCAGCAGTGATGGTGCTGTGCGTGATCCCAATTGAGTAATTTTCAGGTACATTGAGCATTGGGAATTTTTGCCAATACCAGTTACACCGTATGTTTTTTTTACTTACTACGATAGGAAACTGGAGAATCCAGAGGAAACCCATGCAGAACAAGGTGAGGGCATACAGACTCCACACAGGAAGGAGCCCGAGTCGGAGATCAAACCCAGGCCCCTTCTTGCTGCGAGGCGCGAGTGTCCCCACCGCGCCACCGTCGTGCCGCCGGGCGCCTCCTGGCAGCGCAACATAACCCACGAGCAGGTGGCATGGACACGTGGTCCTTGGCAGGAGGCTGTGGTCACTGACCTTCACGTTGTGCGCGTTGAGGCCCCCTGGGTGCCTATCCATGTACTGGTGCAAGTCGGTCTCCTGCAGGCGAGGAACCGAAGTACAATTAGCTCACGCATTCTGGAATGAGTGAGCGCACGTACGCGCATTTCCCCGTGACGGGCCCTTCCTCTTTTTATAACGCAGAGAAGATATTTTCAGGCATGTCGTAATATTCAAGCTCGTGCTAAAATAGTGCGGGTCATTTGTAACGAAAAAAAGTGATGAGTTTGATGGAATATACAGGAAATCCAATTAAATATTCCCCAAATTATTTTAAGTCAAAGCTTCTACATATGTCTCATATGTCTCAATACATTTTACAATTTGTATTATTGTTACAAATGATAACACTCTTCACAGTAAGAAATTGAGCCACACAATATTCAATCATCTGTTGCGAAGTAAGAGGGTCATTGTATATATAAACCGGTCACCGTGTACATTAAGGATCATCTTTCTTTTCATACAGAACCTTCCACTCATACCTCAAAGGTCTCAAGTCCAAGGATTTACAATGATGCGTGACACACTGCAGGTGCCCCTAGATACATGCAGTGCTGGAACGATTACTGTTCAAAAGCAATCAGATCACCAAAGTCCTCACAAGAATAACAACAGGTTATCATTTGTATGTTGAACTTCTTTCGCACCGTACGTAGCCAATCCATGCTAATCGGAGGTGCAGAGTAAGGATAACAATCTAAACACAGAAAGCAAGTCTAAAGAAATGAGTTTTCAATCTAATTTGACCTTTTTTGCCGATGTTGTATTTTACTTTGAGGTCACATGTTAAAGTCACATTTCTCTCCGATCACAAGACCCAAACACGCACTAGAATAAAGATGTCTGCAAGTATACTTAAGTTTAGGATCTGACCTTTTTGGCCATTCTCTGTTTGACCCTGATGCTTACATTTTTAAAGATTGTTTTTGTGCTCAGAGGCGGTGAGTGGAGAAGTTACCTCGTAATAGAGCACAGACAATGTGCTGTGTTGCGTATCATAAATACACGCGTTCACGTTAGACGTAAGTGGTATAATGTTCACTGACCGAAAGTACGTTCTGCAAATTAGTCGAATTGTTTAATGGGCTCTCAGGCCCGACTTTGAAAACGACTCCAGACGGGGTCATTTTCAAAGTCTGCCCAGCAGCTCGAGATCGCCGGGAATGCACAACATTTGGCCCGAGGCCTGGTACGGATCGGTGTAACCATTCCCGCGGGGGACGGCGGGTGCCGGGTCTGCGCATGAATTCAGGCCACGCAGGGCAGGCGGGCAGGCGGGCAGGCGGGCACGGAGAGCACTCACCAGGTACTCGAAGACGAGTGTGAGCGCGTGCTGGGTGTAGACGATGTCGTGGAGCAGCACGATGTTGGCGTGCTTCAGAGTCTTCAGCAGGGACACTGAGGCGGGGGGGGGGGGAGGAGGAGGATGCTGCCTTGGGTTTCTGGGGGTTCTTTATGTAATTGTCCAACAGCTTCATCCCCATTGCGCTATCGGCGTCATGTAAACTCGGTGCAGAATCCATGTTGATCCCCTCACAAAGCAGTGCGACCCCCTCGCGCGAGAGAACGGCACAGGGAAGCGGTTATCACAGAGCTACCTCCGAGATCCCTTCAAATGACCTCTGACCTTTTCAAGGCACTCTGTATTTGACAGTAATGTTCGCCACATGACGGCCAACATGAAATGTAATTCTCCGAAAAGGAATTTAGCCAAATTAAGTGCAGATCCGAATTTAATGTGGTTGGTTTTTTTTCTTTGTGTGTGCAGTCATTAGTGGCTGGGCCGAGACGTGATAATAGCAAGCGACTGCTTGGTTTGACCCAGGGATCTTAGCAAATGGCAGCTCGGCACTCTGACCTCTCAGGCCCCTGGCTACGTCTGGCACGTTACATTTTAATCAAACAGCCATGTTGTGCTATGAAGACGTACCGGCCGATATTGATGTTGACTTTCAAATTAAACATTTTGGAAGAGTAAATCAAAATGTTAAGGAAGTGCTCGAGTTAACTCGCGGGTACGTAAAACGGGGTGAGCAGCGGGCTCACGGCTGTGCTCACTGTGCGGCAGTGTTGCTGCGATGAAATGGGCAAAGCAAGATTGAAAGATCGACTGAGTGGATTCAGCAACTCGTGACTGCCAATGACTAAACAATAGAATGACCGTGTTTGGTTTTCTACCTACCTCGGCCTAACACATCTGTAATGCAAAGCTTAACTACACATCTTACTATATATTTGTGTGTGTGTTGGACAGCAGACGCAGAGTGACACTGCGAAGTTGGCCCGTCTCATGGTTGCTGGCAAAATAAATAAAAACCCGCGCTGGATTATGTCATCTCAATTCTCCTCTGGCCTGCCACATTGTACAACTCATTTCCTGCAATGAATGCCCCCCTCACCCCCCACCCCGGCTCTCCTCCAAAATCTCCAGATGCACGTTTGCCCCCTCTATCCGTACAGCATCTTGAGATGTGTACATGGCCGTTAAGATGCTTTGTAGATGACAAATTGCGCTGTAAATTTCGATTTAAAGCTTTCGTGACTGCATGGATTCATATTATTGGTTCTTTCGGTAAAGTCACGTATAAGGGAAATAATAAAATAATAAAAATAAAACATAATAAGATAAAATTCTCACGACGTTTCGGCCACAACGCAAGCAGCCGTCCTCAGGTGAAGAACAGGGCTGTCGGAACGCTGTTCTTCACCTGAGGACGGCTGCTTGCTTTGTGGCCGAAACGTCGTGAGAATTTTATCTTATTATGTTTTATTTTTATTATTTTATTATTTCCCTTCTACGTGACTTTACTGAAAGAACCAAGGAAAAAAATTGTGCGCTGTGTTGAAGCGGCAAAGTAGTGGCCACTCACCCTCACGGATGGTGTTGAAGGGGGCCCCTTCCTCCTCGTGTATGTACACCACCTTGAGGGCCACGAACTGCCACGTGACACTGCGGCGGGACAACACACACGCGGGGCCCTACTACGATGAGCACGTGCGCCAAGTGGCAACGTTACAACGTCAGCAAAATAATAAAATGAATGAAAACAACTCAATTAAATCACGACGGACGCTTGTGTTTCACCCGAAACGTCGTGATTTAATTTAGTTGTTTTCATTTATTTTATTTAAATTTTTACCTACGTGACTTTACCGAAAAAACAAAGAGTATGAATAATTGCAGTCACGAAAGCTTCAAATCTAGAATCCATGATTGGATGTCACATTTAAATGGTGTTTATTTCTCGAACCACTGCGTTTATGTCTCCATTCAAAGGCTGTCTTATGCTTAGAAATCACTCTGCTGTGGTGTTCCACAAGGTTCTAGTCTTGGCCCTTAGCTTTCCTCAATATATCTCCTGCCACTTGGCAAAACCATCTCCAGTTTCAACTTTGACCATCATGTCTCTACTGATGACACTCAGCTCTACATTGTCATTGGCCCTGCTCCTGCATTCTGCCTTGATGCAGTCTTACCCTAGATGGTCAATGAACTCTCTCCGGATAAACAAGTACGCACTCAGGAAATACTCCAGTTGATGCGTGCACCTTCTAAACTTCTACATCGCGCTGGCAGACGGTCTGAAACCTTGAAGCCACCACCAATCCTGGGCTCTCGATTGCCTCTTGCATATGCCAACTGTGCAGGACCTCAAACCTCCGTCTGTGCAACATCTTTAATGCCCCCCTCCCCTGCTGCGTGGACGCTTATCCATGCCCTCAACGCGTTTGTACTCAACGATTATAACTCTCTCCCCTTTCATCAGGCCTGAAAATTACGGCTGATTATTCTCATGTTGTTTTCCCAAGTAAGTGATAGGCGATATTTTTTTTGTTTGTTATGAAATTGGACATATTTTGACAATGACGCCGGAACACATGGCCTACTCCTCTCTCTCTCTCAGTAAAACGTCACAGGATCGGTAAAGTCTGCTATGAAGCAGAGGGCCTGTGTTTTACGGCTGATAGCCGCCACAGAATGAACCTCTGCAGCACGGCCGCTTGAACGTTTCCCCACCCCTGACGCCGTTAGCTTCGGAATCAGAATCTATCCCCTCATTCCCTGTTGTCAAACGCCTCTTCACACTCTCTACATGGGCATGTTTTCCCTCTTCATATCGTGCCTTGAGATATGGTTGCATTTACACGCTTTAGAAATCCAACACGTGATAGAATTTCTGGAAGGAAACTCTTAGTAAACGTGATTTGTTTGGACCCAGAATTTTATTTCTGGAAAAAACATTTGGTTATTATTTTTGTATTATACATATTCGTTTGAGAGTTAGGCTACGTGTCCTAACCGAAAACAAATACGGGTCATAGTGTTAGCCATGAAAGCCTACGTGTGACGCATTTTTGTTAGTGACCAAAACAGTGTCGGTGCACGGTGCCTCCTCACCGGCTGATGCCCTTGAACACGGTGGCATACGAGCCCTGCCCAATGGTCTGCAGCCTCACGTAGAGCGCCTCGCCACCAAACTTGCGAGGTGCCAGCTGAAGGCAAGAGACGCACTGTGATCAGCCCGTACCAGCGACCGTCGGGGGCATAGCCACTTGAGCAGTTGCCAGCCAGCCTGTTGTGTGCTAATACACGAGTGTTACTAGCTTCCGTTGGCCACTATAATTCACTGTGTACCAAAAACAAGTTTTGTTCCTGGGCAGTAAGTGTTATTTCCTAATTGCTGATGCCTCAAAAGTACAGAAAACGGCTATTATTCTCCACAAACTTTGCTTTTGTGACCAGGACGCAAACGCAAAGTTAATAATCCACTCCATTAATAACACTGTGCAACACATTTCTTTATTTTTTTGTTCCTGGGTAGCGTTATTTTCTAATTGCTTATGCCTCAAAAGTACAGAAAATGGCTATTATTCCCCACAAACTTTGCTTTTGTGACCAGGACAGTGACATTTTGAAATGTTCCTATTTTCAATGAGAAAACGTGGTGTGCATTTGTGTCATTCTTTCACGTAAAGTCCTGGTCACAAAAGCAAAGTTTGTGGGGAATAATAGCCATTTTCTATCCTTTTGAGGCATAAGCAATTAGAAAATAACACTTACTACCCAGGAACAAAAAATAGTGTTACACAGGGAATTATCGATCAGCAATAGTCAACTGGACCATGCTGAACCGCGCTCAGAGGCAGCACGGGAGAGGTGCGTACACGATGCGTAAATAGCGGAGGCCCGAACCATCAAACAACCCCACCAACGCGTGCGCCATCCACGCACACCCGGGCGGTATCGCTGCAATCCATAGAGCGTCGACTGCCGCCTTGGATTGGTTGAAGGACCTTAACATTGAACTATGGCATCATCTATACAAACTGTTGCTTAACCCCCCCCCCCACTCCCCATGCCACGAAAGAAGAATACTGAACTGAAAAGTTGATGGTATATTCATATGAAAAACATCAATAGCATTTCACACCCAGTGATGGGTAATCATGATAATGTTTGTATTGATTTAGCATCGTCGCCCACGAAAATTGCATCTCACCATCGATGAGTAACCACAAAGAAGCGAGAAGGCAGCCGGGCAATTTATGAGATGTTTTCAGACAATTTAAAAGTGTTTAATATGTGGGTGATAATCAGAGCACCTGGAGTGGGAAAAACTCTATCCCATACAGCAGGGACAGTTGATATTAGTCCACAATTTGCTGTGCCACTTTCTCCTGGCAAGCCAGGCTGTGGCACCTTGATGCCCACGGAAAGGGGGTTTTACAAAATGTGTGTGACGCACCAAACCTTGCCCCCCTACAGTGCTGGATTACAGGCATGCGGAGTAAGGACGATATGCAGTTGCAAAGGAAGCTTGTGATTTGAACTTTTACGTAAAAAGAAATGAAATCAAGAACCGAGCAAGAGCAGGTCGGAGTGTTTTTTGGAAACGTGATACTAAAAATCTACGTTCCAGTATTGTATGCCAAGTGAATAACTTGTTTCATTATTACACAACACCTCTTGTAACCTATGGATTGGAAATATCGACAGTGGCAAAGAAAACTGAACAAAAGCTGAAAAGCTTGCAAAGATGCAAGCAGAGATGCCTTCTGGGAATTACAGTGACAGAAATAAATGAACAGGTGGATCAGAGAAGAAATACAAAGATACATCTATTGTATTGGCTGTTAAGGAAAATAAGTCAGCTTGGGCAAGGGCATGCTCCTAGAAAGGGTGATGGAGGAGATTGTTGATAGAATGGCAGCCAAAGGTGGGAACACACCCAAGAGGAGAAGCACCGCGGAGACACAGACGAGCTCCTGTGCAAGGACGATTTGGATTACAGCATCACGAGACCACGAAGGATGGCGATGCCAGCTGTGGGACCCTGTCACCATTAGTGTTGAGGTGTCAGAGACGCGTGTGACCATATACCGATGGCGATGATGTTGGGAGGGCTGCATTCATCAGCGAGTGGAGAGGCTTTGGGTGCTCATGGCAGATGTGTTCGCAAATTGTTAACTTTTTTTAACAAGTAGAACTTTGGTTTTTGATATATTCAGCTATGACAATAATTCATAATACTAATAATACAGTACTCAAGAGGGCATCAGTAAGCCTCAGAGACTATGTGCCAAGAGGATCATACTCTCGATTTTCTAGCCAATAACTTGAGTAATGGGAGATGAGGCGAGGATTGAGTGGGCTAATTAGAACCCCTTGCAGGAAGAGCCTGAACACTGATTTAATCACGTTTATTGTAGATTAATGCAGTACACAACATTGTACATTTAGGGAAAAGGTTGTTTGGCAGTTAAAACTGAAAAATTACAACTGCAATTATTATTACGGAACTGAATAAATAATGATCAAGTTTGGCTTTCAGCTGGCTGTGAGTTTTAAAATAAAATACATTAGAGCCATGTAACCGTGTATCGATTGTGCAACCATGACATGAGAAAATAAAACATCAGATTTTGTATTTAGAATGGAAGAATCTAATGAGATATGAGGCTCGTTATCATAGATATCCAGACGGGGTGGGTCAGAAAGTTACAACAAATACAAAAACATTCGATTTGTTTACCAGGCCAACGTGGGGATGCTGCGCGTTGCTTGACGTATTGACTCCATCACATGCTCAAGGGCCTTGGAGGTGCTGGATTCACAATCTAACACACAAACGCTCTGTTACACTGCACTTCTATAACTACCGAACACACGTGTAAGTGGGAGTGAAAAGTATCCAAAGACAATTTTCACCCACTGTGAGTCACTGGATTCATCTAGCAAATTGCACCCTTTTGTGGGAATGAACAAATGCGTTGTCACCACGCTAACATCCCAGCTTCTGTTTGTGGTGCTTTAATATTTCATAACACGGTCAAGTCAAGGTCAAGTCAAGAAGCCATCACAACCAATACTATTATTGCCACCATACCACACCATCACTCCCTTCATTATGCTTGATCGTGCAGCTGCTGCTGTAAATTCGACAGTTATCCTTAAAAACTCGTCCTCTGGAATTCTTAGTTGCTTAACCCTCCTCTTGCAATGCCGTAACAACAGAGAGGTTTCCATTGGCTCTCTTCAAACATAATTACTGTATATGATTGCCTAACATTAACAATAATCTAAAGTTTATCCCTGTAGTCCCCACTCTTATTAATTGGTCCAGATCAAGAGGCGATTATGACCAAAGCCATTGATGACATGCGATCTCCAAGTTCTGTTCTGACAGTCTTCTCCTATCTGCTCTTATGAGACTCACAGAAATTCAGACATACAGTACAGAGCCACTGACTCACAGAGATCCATTCGACCACCATCTGCTCTTGGGTCTTATATTCCCCAAGGCTTCCAGACCCGTGGGTGGAGACCACTCCAATCACTTTATTCGTAAATGAATGCTCAGTAAACATTATCGGTAGAATCAGTGATTCTTAACCTTCACTGCAGCCTTTGCACCCCTGTGGTTCTCAATCATATTTTTTTAAATAAATCTTGACTTAAAGCTTTCGTGACTGCAGGAATTCATACTCGTTGGGCCTTTCGCTAAAGTCTCGTATTACTTTTCTATCTACGTGACTTTACCGAAAGACCCAAATAGTAAAAAAATGTATGTGAATAAATACATCGGTTTGATGAAACAAAGTAGTTGTACTTAGGGGCCGTCCATAAATGACGTCACGCACATAGGGGGGGGGGATCAGACATTTGTGACGATGTGTGACGAAGGGGGGGGGGTTTGAGAAATGTGACGTCACATCAAAATGCACAACTTTAAATAAATATAGACAACACGTTCTACTTAATTAAATAGACTTCTTAATACATGTGTTCTCCTACAACATCAGAGTGCATCGCCACATTAAATACGCACTACAATTACAATAGTTTAAAGCGATTCGAACCATGTTTTATTTTTTGGGGTGAGGGGGCAGAGCTTTGTGACGTCATATTTGAGGGGGAGTCTGACTTTTTGTGACGCCGTGTGACGAGGGGGGGGGTCAAAAATCTTCCAAAATCGCGTGACGTCATTTATGGACGGCCCTTTATGTGCTCGTGCTTAATTTGTGTTTTTGAAGATGTACCTTCTAATACAATTCTGGCCATATTTCGCGCCCCCCAAAAAGGGGCATCTCGCACCACCAGGGGGCGCGTGCCCGCCACGTGAAGAAGAACCACAGCGCTCGATGCTTTCTACCCAACACGAGCACCATCTCGTGGTCGCGACGTGGCATCAACGTGTGCACGAACATCGTTTCTGACACTTGGTGTGCAATGTGTTTAAGAGGGGACAAAATAAGCCTGGGATGTTGTGACTCGTGCATCCACTTGGAGGCGCTACAATTTTACCAATCGCAACAATGTTGTAGGCTGGTTACCCCCTTTAGGTTACCGGTAAATGCAGAGTAAAAACCGATTGGAACATCCATAGAAACACACACACACATGGCTTCCAATAAATGAAGTTGCGTAATAAATAAATCCAGGAGCAATAATACACATCACTTCCTTTACAAGGGGAAACGTGGAAGAATCACACACAAATCCACAAATAAATTCAGCAGACGACAAATGCCATGAACATGCCAAGAGGGTAATATCTACAATTTGATACGTGGCAAAATACATCATTCACAGCCCTTCATCAAGCAGCTGCTGAATGAGCCACTGAGCCTGGCCACAGGCGAGCTCAGCATGGGCCCCATGGGCTGAGTCTGAGCCAGGCCACGTGACCCAGTGGGGTGCCTCACCGGGCAGCAGCAGGAGGGGCTCTCGCCAGGAGGAGGGCCCCCCCGAGGCCCGCGGTGCCGCCACCGAGTGGTGGCGCACGGCCGCGGGGTCTCCCTCCTGCGGGCCCCCGTGGGAGGGCCCCCTCCGCGGCAGCGTCTTCGACTCCCACGTCTGGGGGGTACAAGACGGGCGCGCGTGCCACCAAATCAACACCACCAACCATTAAATTGCCTTGAACTCCATGCCTACGTCTTGAAACACATTACAAACTGTGGAAAAATATCAACTATAATCCATCAACCAACTAAACCAGCAACACGTGAATTGTTTTATACCACAGGCCAACAAACCACGAATTATATTTTATTCATTGTCCACATCTCAATAATGCTCCAAACCTCCCGAAAATCTCGTGAGACTCAAGTCAACCAGGCCAGCCAGTGGGCACGATTATTCTTGCTATTTGTGATGATTACAGTTGAGATGTTAAAAATAAACATTCTGATAATCAGTGTAATGAAGTTACGTTGGAGAACGACAACAACAAAGATACCACAGAAACATTTCAATATTCCCTGAAAGTCACTTATGGTGGACCGTATTTAAGAGGCCCCTTCTACTCTACTCACCACTAGATGGTGCACATCTTCACGTTGTGCGGTTTAACACTTGTATTTTTATCACGTTCATCACGTACTTACTATTTACCAATGTATAATGGATGTGTGTGTGTGTGTAAATATAATACGCGAGCTTTATAACCGCCCAGGCACAGTTCCTATGATCACTGTTTCATCGCTTTCGTGGCTTTATTTTGGTGATTTCGAAAAGTTTTTTTGGTTTGGCCATGTTTGTTTGTTTGTAGTACGGAGTTAGACTGATGGCCTTAATCTAAGTTGTGTTGTGGTTGTTGTTGTTTGACTTGCATCCCACTGGGATTTTTGCACAGTGTTGGTGGACGGTGCTTTTTCCTGCAATATTTTGTTGTCTTTTCTTGGATTTTCTGTTTGCACATAGTCACATAGTCACTTTAAGATGTTTTCTTGATCATGTTTTTGTTTTTGCGGTTGCAGCCGATTCAAGAGCCGAATGGCTCACAGGGCTATACCAAATAAATTAACTTGAACTTGACAAAATGCACTTGGCAGGGGGAGTCTTGTAAAATAATTGACAATTTCTAGCCAGTGATTTGGTGCAGTCATGGATGAGTGTGGGCCCCAGTCGTGAGCTTCACACTGGAGGAGCTGACGGCCACAGATTGCTGCTGCACACCGTCAACGAAACATGTTTGTAGGTTGAAAACTAATTTCTTTAGAACTGCTTTTTGTGTTTAGTTCTGATTGGCGGGGTTGGCTACGTACGGTGTGACAGAAGTTCAACGTACAAAGCAGGGCAGCTTGATTTTCCTGACAAGTTGCATAACGCGACCACCCCAGAGTCATTTGTCAAACATGAACACCGCAAAAGGGCTATAGGGTTTAAAGGGCCTTCAGCATCACATACTTTCCATTGCCTCATCTTGGCTTAAAATGTCGCGCTTTTTGGTTCCACGTCAGAAAAGACGAAACGTGATTCACATCGTCCACCTTTTATAACTCTTCAGCCCATGCTTACCTGTCAAGATATTTTCCACATTTGTTGAAATATATGTGGAAATCATATGAGTGCACTTTACTCTATTTGCAAACTGAATATTGCTGAATGAAAGTGTGCAAATAATGTAACACTGATATCTGTACAGTACTTGAGAACATCACCTCTTCACATGCCCGGGGTTCTCTCTTCAAATCTAAACGCACACACAAATGTTAACACAGTATAAATAAATTGTTCCCCATCATGATAATGTCCTTGTAACACTGATTAGCAGTAAGCTCAATGCAACACCAAGTTGCATTCGTGCGTGAATAATGTCAAGGGCTATGGAATAAACGCGCAAAGAAAACACTCGTAACAAACCCTTCATGCTCGACTATTGTAGAAATTATTCTTTGGTTTTTTCGGTAGAAATGATGAATGTTGTACAAAATGTTGTAATGAACGTGATCACGCTCGTGCTGCGTGCTCACGTTATTCGTACACAATGTCTGAATGGGTTGTCAACAATGTACAAAGTGTTCAATCAAACTTTTGGTAACATCTTAAAACATATATAATTGCAGCATTATTCAAGTTATTGCTCAAGCAAATAAAGCACACGATTGTGTCGAATGATGACATCAATTTAGGAATCGTGCTTTTGCCGATTCTGCAAGCCGCAAGTACAATTACAAGAATGTGAAATCTCATAACCTGTGGTTTAATTTGACTTCAATTCACCTTGAAGCGCACGAAGCGGTGCCGTGCGATACTCACTGATGCGACTCAGCCGAGAGGTGAAATTTCTCTTTATTTTTTCCATTCCGATTCAGAAGAAATAGACGCGTGATGAAATCACCGTCTCGTACCGTGGTCCCAATTGTCACGAGACACCCGATTGACGGTCTCGTGGACACACGAAAAAGCGTGGATCACACGGACACCAATGCGACTTCACGCCGAAGCATCAGTCGCCGTTGCAAGTTGTGCGTAAATAAAATAAAAATGCTGGTTAAGTTGTTCGCAATGATGGCAGAAGACACCAGCAGCCACGTTCGTGTGACACCGACTCGATGTGTGGGGGCATTGAGTGCAACAAACGGGGCCTGTGTACCCCCTTAACTGTTCATGTGAAGTCTATATTCATACCGGGCACATGACTGCCGTGTCTGAAATCATGTGGCTCCAAAGAAGACGAGCATTGAGAGGCATTGTGCGAGACAAAGGGATGTGTTCAACTCCTCGGGCCAGTTTCAGCCGCTGGGATTTGGAATGCGTCCCCCGTGCCAAACACGGCGCGGCGTTTCAAAGTGGCGTTCGCTCACAGAGGAGAGTCGTCTAACTTCAACGAAAATGAACTTGATCCGCAGCACGAAGCGTTGTTTTGTCCATCACGGTTAATATATATGCTGTGAACCATTGATCCAACGTTAACATTTCTATTTTGCACTATTTGGTTCTTTCGGTAAAGTCACGTCGGTAGAAAAATAATAGATCACGACTTTTCGATCGCAACACGAGCAATCGTGAATTCCTGCTTCAAATCAAGATTTATATTTTGCACATTGATCCCGTATAGAGGTTCACGTTGCTAGAGGACTCCAGTCTTTCTTGCAGACGGTCACTGCATCGCGCGCTTTCAGATGCGCTCCTGTGGCCGTCTGGAACGCTCTTCCTTCCGATATTAGGAAGCCACTGGAGCTGCGCACTTTTAAAGCATCTAGATTGAAAAGTAATTTCTTCAGAACTGATTTGTGTTTCGTTTGTTGTCCTTCCCACGCACCTCTGATTAGCATGGCTGGCTACATGCAGTGTAGAAGAAGCTCTACATATGTACAATTTAATCTTGTAACAGTATTGCTTAGCCAACAATGCTGTTAACAAGATTGGTATCGGTGTCCTATGCATTAACTTTTCCGAACAATAAGTTTCCCTTCCCACGCACCTCTATTATGGAATAATTTGCCCAGTCTGCCATTTCCAACACCCCCATCCAGGATTGTTCCTTTGGTTTCCATGTCTATCTGTGTTAAGTTATTCTTTCACGTAGGCTTCTATATGCCACACAGGACAGTTGACATTCTGTCTGGACCATCCCAATCAGCCAAAGTAATGTCCAGCTCAGATGAACATTGAGGTCGTGCTCATCGCCTGGAGCCAGTGGTTAGAAATTCTACATTCCTGTGCCAGGTGCCAGACTCAATAGGTCAGTCACTGTTGACTCCCCCACAGCGGCACTCATTGTATCGACGCCAGACGGATAATGGGTTGAGTCAACCCCCAACTAGGATCTGAACTCACGACCTTTCGACTGTGAGCCACCTGCTCAACTCAATCATTAGGGCCACCATCTCGTGGTCTCTCGCATATCCACGGCCACGTAAAATGTCATGATAAAGAGTATACACATCATATTACAAATGGGAATGAAACTACTTCAAACCATTTTTACTTACGGGATGTGATCATAAAATATCTTACTTCAGGGCTTTGGTGGCCAGTGTTCAAATATTCTGATTATCCCAAGTAGGTAGTGTACATTCCATGTTCCTATGACATTAACTAGTATATCCTTATTGAACAGAGATCAGCCACTGCTAACCCTGTTGCATGTACAGCATGTAAAAACTTGTCATTTTACTAGTCCCACAGAGATGACAGTCACAATGATGTGGCTGCTACATGAGGGGGAAGATCTGGATATGGGAAGTGTCCACGTGTAAGTTTCTGCAATGCAATCACCGCTCATTCGCTGGACAGTAGTTTGGTAACAAACATTTCGATGTCAGGTTTTTAGACAGTTTAAGAGTCGATTTTGGATTTTCAGATCAAGCAATTCCAGTTGAATCCTTTGACCGATAAGTAATTTATTTTATATATAAAAAATGTTTTACTTTTGTATGTATGTTCAACTTCTTTCGCACCATCTGTAGCTAACCGTGCTAAATAGAGACAAAGACCCCCCTTACAGCCCGACACCACACCCACCGGTTACTCAATGTCGGCTGAGTCACCTTAGTGGAGGCTCGGGACCAGTTCAGATATTCGACCAATAATGTCTGGGAGTGGGAATAGAACTCGGGTTGCCGGATTCATCGTGAAGCATGCTAACCTCTGAACTCCTGCTCCAATACCAATAACCCGCCATTCGCCACTAAGTGACGGTAACGTCACCACGGCACCTGTGCCAGGCTAGGTGCACTTTGAGGCCACGTGAAGTGTCGAAGGCACGCTGACAGGTCTCAGGACAGACCGAGGTGCCATGGGTTGGCTGAGATGACCGGTAGATGCACCACCAGCTGGATTTGATCCGCCCGGCGCTCCACACGTTGTTGCGAGCGTCGCTCCTCTGCCTTCGGTTGTTGCTGGAGGGCGACTGCCTCCAACTGCCCAGCAGCGTCCTTCACGAGCCTCCTCCATAGAGACCGATCGTGACACTGCTGGTACCAGTCGTCGGCAATTCCACTCAGCTCCACATCCTCCCATACCGCATCAGTCCATCTCTTCTCCAGCCCATTTCGTGCCCGTTTAGCTCCCTCGATGCGGCCAAACTGAAGCTGCTTGGGCATGCTGTGGCTAGGCATGCAGGCTACATGATCTAGCCAACGCAACCTTGCCTGCCCGAGGAGCTTACTGATGGGAATGTCTCCATATCCTTTAAGGATTTATGAGCACCTCACAATCCAGCCTGGTTAAACCCAGGATGGATCGTAGGCATGCCAGCCTGAATGTTTCTAACCGGCGCAGATGTTCCATTTGAGGGGTCCACGTTTCACAAGCATAGAGAAGAGAGGTCATGACTGTGGCCGAGAAGACCCGAAGCTTCGTGCGAAGCAGCAAACCAAGTAGCTCCACACAGCATTGCGCAGCCGATGAAGAGATAATGCTGCCTTACTGATTTGGAGTGAGACCTCCACTGTCAAACCGGAGCTATTCGCCACTTAACAGTGCTTGTGCCAGGCTATGTGCACGATGAGGCCATGCTGTTAAGTGCGGAAAGCTCGCTGGCAGGTCACAGGACAGGCCCAGGTGATATGGTTGATCGAGATGACTTGCAGATGCACCACCTTTTGCTCACTGTGCCAACTTACTGTTTTAACTGCCCGGCCCTCAACTCGTGATGAGCGTTGCTCCTCCGCTGTTGGGGGGGGGGGGGGGGAGGGCAAATACCTCCATTTGCCCAGTAGCTTCCATCATGAGCGTCCTTGACACTGCTGGTACCAGTCACCGGCAAGTCCAATCAAGCTCCACATCCTGTACATGATCCTAGTTATTTTCGAACCCGTTGTGTTTTCTGTTGTTTCCCAGCGGTGCCCCTCCAACATTGTTTTGTGTTCAGCTAACTTGTTTTGCACAACTTATATTTTACTCAAATGTATCTTCAAGCTCAACTTTGCAACTATCTTCAATTCATGCAAATTATTTCCCGTGGTTTGTTTCCATTGGTTATAATCCGAGATGGTTAATACCAGAGGTGTGGACTCGAGTCATGTGACTTGGACTCGAGTCAGACTCGAGTCATGAATTTGATGACTTCAGACTCGACTTGGACTTGCATAACAATGACTTTGTCCCACCTCTGAGGTGTGGACTCGAGTCATGTGACTTGGACTCGAGTCATGAATTTGATGACTTCAGACTCGACTTGGACTTGCATAACAATGACTTTGTCCCACCTCTGGTTAATACCATCTCTGTTTTTGCAGAAAATATCTTCTTTCACTGTGAATAGCCTTGACGGGGGCATATCTCATATCCTGGTACTCAATGCAATTTCAGTGTTGGTGTTCATCTGTTTCAACAACTGGCTCCACATTAAATCAATGGTTATGTCACTATTTTGGGGGGGGGAATGTAATCGAAATTTTTCGTGTTAATTACAAAAGCAGAATGACATCAAGTGTGGCTTCATCGTGTAATAAAGTCCTGATTGTTGTTGCCCGTCCATCACTGAACCATGGGGGTCACCGCACCTTGGCCCACGGACAATTGAATGATTTCTGAAGAAACCAAGTGAGATATACACTTTGCGGAGGGTTACGCTGCCGGCACTTTCCCCCATGGTTACTTGTGGTCTCAGTTGAGGCTCTCACTTAAAAAATGACAACGGAAGTCAGCTCATTTGAGTTAGAACCTTTAATTGCATTGTAACAATGTTAAAAACAGAGGAATACATTAATAAGACAGTCAACTACCAAGGTGGGATTTAATAGAACAAGAATTAAGGACAAGCAGAGATTCATCAAAAGCCAAATGTACAAACTGAACCACCACCATAATAATTTCACGAAAAAAAGGCCACCGTCGATTACTTCTGCCCTTTTTCTTTTTTTGCTCAAAAAATGTCAATGTACTTTAATAAGAGTAACATTAGTACGTGGCTTGTGTGTGTTCTAGGATTAGTGCTGTGCCCTGCCTATCATCCCTGGAGAGCGGAGTGTGTAGTGTGTGTCTGTGGGTGGAGCCCTGTAAGTGCTGATTTTGCTGCTGCTGCTCAAGCTGACCACGTCACTTGTTGTCGAACCGTGTGTAAGCATTGTCCTCCGTGTACAGGCCTTTGTGGGCGACACACAGCGCACGCAAGGTTAACAAAAGCTTCCAGAGGGTTGTGCTCGTAGTCATCAACAATCGAGATGTTGTTTGATTTCCAGTATGCAATCAACACATCGATGACAATAATATTCACTTAATACACCTAAACATTAAGTCTTTTTCAACCAGCGGCTGAATGAAGGCGTTCGTACGTCGCGGGAATGCCTTGGGGGTTATCTGACCAACTGTCACTTTTTTTGCATTACCCGAGATATTGTCTGCACGAGCATTCGTACGCATACCACGCAGCTACCTTCAAAAGCAAATGCCTCAGACTCCTTTGGCAGCGGTTGTAGAAGCAGAGCCTGATAATATTCTAACAGGCAGAGTAATAAAAGCAGCGCAAGTGCTGGGCGGGGGGCCACGCAACAGCGCAAGTTGCGAGACGTCTTAACGTCACGGCGTCGCGTGCACGGGCCTTGTGATGTCACATGGCATCGTGACATCACAACGGCTGTGCATCGCCACGCAGTGCTGAACGCAGGCCTCTGGCAAGCTGTCGCAACCCTTCAAGGTCACGCGATGCAACACTCCATCAAGCTTCTGCACAGGAGTTGGTTTCATCGCAACAGCTCCATGGTGGGCAGCCTCCCGGGCGAGTTCCCTCCTTTGGCTGAGATTCCATCGTTAGTCTCGAACAGCGGCCGTCACCCCTCCTCGTGGCGTATCCTACACAAGCTCAACTTACTTTCCCTCACAGTCAACGTCTTCAACTTGTGTTTGCTCTGATTCATGTCTTACTTCCGAGCATGCATCTCTTTATGCTACTTTCCACTTTCAAACTATTCTCCCATGCTCTTTGTGTGCAATAACCAGCGCATGCGACCATGAATGGGTCCACTGTCCTCAGCTCTCTTATCTCTGATCGTGATTATCTTGCCTTGACCTCACAATCAGTATCACTCGTCTACAGCTTCTTGTTTAGTACCCTTTTATTTTGTTAATCGGTTTCCCTTAATGTTTTGGCAAGCCCTGTCTCTTGCTTGACTGCCTGATGAAGAACCCTGTTCTAGACTTGTCATTCACACTACGTTATCACGGCACTACACATAAGCTAACATGTCAAGCAGTAGCTTTTTTTTCCAAAAAGCGGATATGTCTCTTTTCAAAATATCTTAACGTATTATGGACAGAAAATGCTGTCTCCAACAATAAGTCATAACCATCTGCTTGCTTTTCTTAAAGATATGCAAGAGTATATTATCAACTACAAAACAGTACAGTAAAACCTTGGATTGCGAGCATAATTCGTTCCGGATACGTGTTTGTAATCCAAAGCACTCGTATATCAAAGCGAATTTCCCCATAAGAAATAATGGAAACTCAGATGATTCGTTCCACAACCCAAAAATATTCATATAAAAATGATTAATACAAAATACCTTTTATATTTTTCTTATTTAAATTTAATATAAAGTGATCTAATTAATTAATTAAATTTAATCGTGGCTGGTGTGAGGGAGACGAGAGAGAGGAGGAGGAGAGTTAGTGTAGGACGACTTTCACTGTCACTAACGGAATCACTGCCATCCGTTGGCTCGCTGGAATCTTTTTCTTTTTGTGCGACTTTAACAAGGAACCTATTCTTTTGCCTCCTTTTGAGGATTTCGTGTAAATGTGTACTAAAAAACAGTCACTACACTTGGACACAAAATAAAAAAATGCTTTACGCACACACACGTGGTCACAACACTTTAGTAAACAGTATACGCTCGCACGGATGTTGACTATACGAGTGAGGCACGCCGACTGAGACCGAACATGGGAGACGATTACCCACAATCCCACAGCGAGAGAGAGAGAAGAACCATCGGCTCAGTTGTGATCACGTGACGCTCGGCAGGAAAAGCCTATACCTACTACTAATATTGCAAGACCTCGCTCGTTTATCAAGTTAACATTTATTTTTTTAAAAAATTGCTCGTCTTGCAAAACACTCGCAGACCAAGTTACTCGCAATCCAAGGTTTTACTGTATTAATGATTGTTAAATCATAATTTAAGATTCGTATCAGATCGCTTCTCACCATATTTCTTGCGAATTTCATCATTCCTGGCCTTCCGTTCCACCTTCCTGTTGGAAGACATTAATGCTCTCAGTCACATGATACAACTTGAATGTTGTCAAAAGATTCGTAGTGAGGCTGACACAATTTTCTGCACTTTTGCCAAGGTGAAAAAATGTGGTATGTTGAACTTTTTTCGCGCCATATGTAGCCAACTTTGCTAATCGGAGGTGTGGAGGCAGGACAACAAACTAAAACACAAAAAGCAGTTCTATACAAATTCATTTTCAATCTAAATTAAAAAGTGCAAAGCTCCAGTGACTTCCTAGTATGGGAAGGAAGAACGTTCCAGACGGCCGCAGAAGCGCGATGGAGTGACCGTGTTTATTTGATGACTAGCCAAAAGCCGCTGCAAGGATGACCGGAGTTCGCGTGATATCACCTTTCATGGGAGGTGATGACCGTGCACACCGTACCAACTTAGTAAACGAGGTTATTGTGCCGTTTCTTCACGCGAGTAGTTTTGGTTTTTGTTCCAATTCCCATTCACTGCATTGCTGCATTTTATTTTATTTGTTTTGCTTTTGCAATTTTGGCGAACCAGATCACTCAAGCAAAATGAATCTATCCTGGTCTCTTGAGTATTCACCTGGTTCAACAAAAAACTTGAGACTATTCTGATAGTCTAAGGCTATCACGGAGAAAGGAGCTATGTTCTAGAGACATAGTCTGCAGTAGTTTCACGATTGGGGGCGGATATTGTAAAGCATAATCCCAATTGAGTAATTTGCAGGGAAGTCTTTTTCGCATTGGGATTTTTGGCCAACACCATGGGAGGAAAACCATGCTTAACAAGAGTGGAACGTACAAAACTCCACGCAGCAAGGCACTCGAGTTGGGAATCGAACCCAGGTCCTCCTTGCTGCGAGGCACGACTGTTACCACTGCGCCACCCTGCCACCCGAGCGCTAACTAATATCGATGATTGTTGCCGCGTGTGAACGTGGAAGACTCACCGCTCTTCAGTGCGCACCACGCGATCGGCCTTGTCCCGGGCAGCCTTCTCTTTCTCCAGCTGCCGCGCTCTACAAAGCCACACAAGGCGCATGCTCAGCTCGTTGTCCCTCACACACACACACTCACTCACGCCGCACACACACTCACTCAGCACACACACTCACGCCGCACACACACTCACTCAGCACACACACTCACGCCGCACACACACACACACTCACTCACTCGCGCCGCATACACGCGCACACACACACACACTCACTCGCGCTGCACACACGCGCACACACACACACTCATGCCGCACACACACACTCACTCACTCGCGCCGCACACACACACACACTCACGCCGCACACTCACTCACGCCGCACACACTCACTCACGCCGCACACACTCACTCACGCCGCACACACACTCACACTCACTCGCACCACACATACACTCACTCGCACCACACATACACTCACTCACTCCGCACACACACACACACGCACTCGCACCACACACACACACGCCGCACACACTCACACCGCACACAATCACTCGCACCACACACACTCACTCACGCTGCACACACACACTCACTCACGCCGCACACACACTCACTTGTGCCGCACACACACACACTCACTCACGCCGCACACACACTCACTCGCACCACACACACACTCACTCGCACCACACACACAAACACTCACTCGCACCACACACACACACACTCACGCCGCACACACACACACTCGCGCCGCACACACACACACTCGCGCCGCACACACACACTCACTCACTCGCAACACATAAACACCCACCCGCAAAGGGCACCCAACCCCACATGACAGTGACGTCCTGAGCCAACTTCAGCATTAGGTGCTTGTGGGCTTCTTCTGCCCATAACATCATGGCATTGTGTAGCATTTCTTAAACGGGCTACATCTTGCCGAAGGCATTCAATACGGATGATACTAGTTCTGGGTTCATAAGATGTTTCTTTTTTTGTTTAGATTGGGTAAATATATAAATGTGTCATTAAAACCCGCCACCACCCGACACAGCCAGCTAGTAAGGGTTGTCACGTGAACATAACGTGGCCAATTTGTCACTAGTACAGCACACCGGTGTGTTGGAGAGCCAAGCCACAACATTTGCAATCCGAGTACGACGTTTCGCCAGTAATTACGACTAGCTTCATCAGGCGACAGCCAAATTTGTGGAGAAGTCCACCTGTTTCGTTCCTTATATAGAGGCGTAGATGTGGTGACCACACTTCTGCGCTCTTGCGCAAAGTGGGGGGGGGGGGTGATTAATGAGTCCTGGGATAATGGCTGTAAACGGCTGTTAATGAGTGACATCGGTCAAGACTGTTGTCCTGGGACTGTTCTTGCTGTAGTTTTGCTGCCATGGCCAAGCTTGGGAATTAGTGTAATTAGGCCATTTCGAACATCATGGGACCTCCTTTGCCAGAACCAAAATATGAGAATAGGTTTCCCCTTTTTTCTGGAAACAAAACAGGTGTTAAGATGTTAAAACACCAAACTAAAAACCTTTTACAAGGAATCATTTCTGCATTTGGAGGTCCCATGATGTAGCTGCTCTCCCCGAGCTCTCATTACTCTGATAGTGCATTTTCTCTGAGCTGTACGCCTTTTGGCATCCTCTGGTCTAACACTTTGAGACGAGGCTCCAAAGAAAGCTGTCTCTTGTGTGGACCAATCAGTTTCCAAGACAATGCATTTATTATCAGAGTATGTTTTTTGTTTGCATTCTGACCACAAGTATTGTGGTTAATGCAGACATGATTTCTTGTAAAAGGTTTCAGTTTGGTGTTTTACAATCTTAACACCTGTTTTGTTGCCAGAAAAAAGGGGAAAACCTATTCTCATAGTTTGAACTTATATACTTCATTTATTTTACGTATTTATTTGTTCTTCTTTCCTATACTTTGCACTCTAATCGTTTGTTGTATTGTTTGCCGTTGTAACTTTCTGACCCGCCCCGTCTGGACAACTGTGAAAAATAACTTTATAGCTCATCGGATTTCTCCAGTAACAAATAAAGATTCTGATTCTGCGAGCAGCGTTTCCCAAGCGCCCGTGCTCATTCCACAGTGCACATTTTCACGTTATCCCAGTCCTCTCCATGCTAATGCAAATGAAGTAATTACACACTGCATGCGGCTGATGATTTGTAAACAAGAGAGAAATGTAACTGCAATAAATTTCAATACGGTCGGTGGAATGACATCACGAAAGTGCTGTAATTAATTAAGCTTCAAATTCATATCTGACAAGCAGTGACACCAGGATTGAGCACCGATCTACAAGATAACAGCGTTTTGTTAATGTTTTCGGTTGGGTCTAATAGCAGTCATGCTGTTGATTTACCCAGGAACGCCTGACTGAGCCTCAGGACAGATTTTTCACAACAGGACCTGCAACAGGATATCTCACCAATTGCGTTTGTGAATGTTTGGCACGTGGGAGGAAACTGAAATTCCCACACATACAACAGGATACCACTGAAAGATCCATACAGATGGATTCAAGTATCTATTGCTGCAACCCAGTCTCGTGGATACCGCAGAGCCATGGACCAACTGCACCCCAAGGTTTAAGAAAGAGATAAGACCAATCTTAGAATCAGTTCCGATCTGTGGCTAATCAATATCTGGATATTGTGACACGCATAGTATGAATTTACAAACTATGGCGTTATTATATCATTTCAGCTAAAGTGAATTTGCCAGATCTCAAAATTATTTGAATATTTTACTTAAGTGTGACATCGCAAGTTTCAATGTTTTTGCACATAACCAAGTGGCCAGTAAGATCACCAATGAGACAGACTGCATGGGGTTGGCGGTTAAATTTATGCACAGAAATGTTCATCCACGACCTCCTGTATACCAGGCGAGTTAGTTAACATCTCGCCACCACGGTGCCCCTGTTTTAGCCAGCGCGTTCACTCATGCATTTTCAGAATGACCAACGGCCTGGCAAATGCCTCTGGCACTTGTATGGCGCTGTATTAATGTGCATTATTATTATTAATATTGTTGTGTGTAGTCCTTAGAAGAGAAACAGGGAAGCCTCACCGCTTGGAACTCTTGCTTTCGCGACAGCAGCAGCAGTAGCAGCAGATGCACATCGCAAGCAGCAGCACGCCGGCCACCACTGACATGGTGATGATCAGAGCCTCAAAGTTCACTGCAAAAGAGGCAAAACACGTCGGCAGCGTATGCCATCACAATTAACACAGCAGCGATCCTCCCCACCCACTATCTGCTTATCTGCCAATCAATGTCATTCCACAGATGGAATTTGGAGTTGTCAGGTGTGCAAATGCTGCCTTGCTTGTAGAAGGGCTGGGAGTTCCCCTGCCGAGCAACATTCAGGACACTCAGAACCAGCATCAGAATATTTATTTATACTGGTAGGAACCTCCTGGTTACACCAGCCCACAGGGGATTATTGTGTCCGTCGTGCAGGGAGGGGCTGGGTGGGGAGGGAAGGGCTGGGTGGGGAGGGGAGGGTGGGGAGGGGCTGGGTGGGGAGGGTGGGGCTGGGTGGGGAGGGGCTGGGTGGGGAGGGGCTGGTCACCCCGTGGTGCCCTTATAAAAATCAACTTTTAACCTACTCACGCCGGCTTGTGCTCGCCCTCACAGTCGGGCATATTTGCGGAATACACCACACCGCCGTTGACCCAGGCCATTGACTGAGCAACCCAACGTTCCTACCAGCTCCCTCCGCAGGAGGAATGTGTTACTGGAGGAATCAAATGAGCTATGAAGCTATTTTTCACAGACACTCCATGTGCGCACACTCAATGTGTGCGTCACATTTCAATGGAGGAGAAAAAAGATTGGGGGGCTTGCCCGCTGAAGAGACACTGGGCGTAATGATACGGTGTCTGCTGTGGAACACGGAGTTACCTATTGCATCGGTATACCCTACAGCACACCCCGATGCATTCAGGTCGGCTGCCGTGAACATTCAGGAATGCAATAAGCAATTGTGTAACCTAGTAAGGCGTGCTGATAAGTACTAATGAAAACAATACCGGTCTTTGCTGCGCTGCACCTTGCAAATGGTATGTATTAATGTTGAGAGGTTGTCTACATGAGGCTGATGTTTATTTTCAGTAAGTAAACACTCCTTTTCTTCATGTTTTTTGTTACAAATTGCAAGTAGAGAGCAACCACAAACATGATTTGCAGATCAGAGGCGTTTACAATCGGATCTCGCTCACATTAATGAACGTGTAAACACAATATGCCTAAGCCATCCTGAAGGCCAAGCCAGTGCACGCTGATGTTGCGAATGTTTAGTTATATCAAGTTTTATTTTTACTTTAATGCCCCATGCAATGTAATACTATCACTTACATTTGTATCATATAAGGTTTGCTTTGTGAACATATTTGTTATGAAATGTGCAATATATATTTTATCATCATTATTATTATGCTTGTTTACCCAGGAAAGCCTCTCTCAGAGTGTCATGACTTTTTCAGGAGGGTTCTGCCACGTTTTCACACATGGGGGGTGATGATTGCTGTGCGTTTTACAATTTGGGGTGTAATTTTTAAATTTTGACCGTGGTGCGGCACACAATGGCCTACTCTTGCAAATGACTTCACGGGATGTTTAATGTCGTGATTCTACGGTTATTATACCCGCAGTAATCACCAGGGAGGCTGCTGGATTTGAACCGTGAAGCTCTGCAAAGACCAGCGAACGCGCTACAGCTAGACCATGTGACGGCCACATAGATGACGATGTATGAATTATATCATTTAAAATCAGTTGCCCATCATACGCCTATTTGCTTGGTCACCATTGGTGGGGCATTCTAGTGAAAACAGAGCCTTTCTTTTGGTTAAGAACCATTTGAGAATTGAAACCCACATCTCCTCAGGGCTTGGCATTAAAGCATTTAAGGTCAATAGCTGGGTGGAAAAAGCGGAACAATAATTCTGAAGTTTTTTTGACAAATACCGTAGGAAACCACCTCTAGATTCCATCGTGATAATCGGGCCACCCTTGCTAATCGGCGCTGTGTCAATGTGCGGCCGATGCATTCGGTAGCGGCCGTGTGAATGTGCAGCCGATGCATTTGGTAGCGGCCATGTGAATGTGCACCGTACCCCAGCAGACGCCCCAGCGGGCCTTGGAGAGGGCGCACACTGAAGAGGAGGGCAGGATGGTCTTCACGGGGTAGTCCAGGCACGAGTTGTTGGAGAAACACCACAGGCACTGAACACAAACATGGCTGTGTCAGCACTGAAGAAGATAAATCCTCGATTCGTTTGACATTCACAAACATGTGAGCTCTCCCTTGCGATTTGCAAACCAGACATTGTTAGCAGGAATCAGGGACATCTATATAAATAGACCTTAATCTGTACATCTCAAAAACATCTAGGATTCTTCCCGACAAGGTAGAAAGCTTACATTTGGTACATAGGTAGCTTTGAGGACACAAAAAAGTGAGAAAAATCTGAAAATCCGATATTTTTTATTTTAAGGTCCCCAAATCTCGATTTTAAATGCACCATAAACATGTTTGTGCGTATCATTCAGAAACCGTTCAAAATATAAGATTGGGTTTTTTACGTTGGATAGAGCGTTAAACAGCAAATAAAATTAAAGCGAAAACTGTTGTTCAATTTTTTTATTGTCTTTGAGATATTTCGGATTCAAACGGGTTTGAACGAAAAAATACGCATTTTATGTTAAAATATAAATAATTCGAAAACGGTAAAAGATAGGAGCTTCCCCTCAAGAGTATCGAGTTCAAAAAAATGTGTTTTTAATAAAAAAACTAATCTTGAAATTGAGAGGTTTCCGATGGTATCTCTTTAAATAAAAGAAGTTGAATCAAGTCGTCAACAATTTTAGTTTTTTTTGCAGAAAAACACATTTTTGAAGTAGTAGTTAGTGTCTGATCGTAGATACAAATTGTACAAAATCCTTGCCAGGTTCATTATGACATTTGTAGAAGAGTATTGTGAGTCACCAAATGAGGGGGAAAGCGGAAGGAGGTGCGAGAGAGTCAAGGAAAACGTAACGTCACGGGTTACGCAAGGGGCTTTCTGAAAGCACTTTCGGGAACATGGGCGGGGCCGAGCTGGGGGGAGGAGGAATGGGTTCTTAAGGGGGACCCCGTGACGGGGGCGTGGTCGTCGTTGGGGGCCAGGGTAAGGAGCGGCTGGAATAGGGTCTCTCTCTCCTCGTCGCGGAGCGGGTGTTGGCTGATCCCCCTTGCCAAGGGTAGGGTCCAAATAGTATTCAGTGTCCGGATGAAGGACCGAGATAGAATGCACCTACACTGGTGTGGGTGTGGGATGTCGAGTGTGAGAGTGTTTTAATAAACGGCAACAGCCCTTATAGTATTCCTCGTCTCCGCGTGGTTGTACTGCACAACACATGCATTGAAAACTATTGCGTGGCAAAGACAGGCTTCATGAACTAGCTTGGTTATATTTTAATGAAATATATATATAACGTATAGTTTAACACGTAGGCTTTCGCGACCAGTATTATTCATGATAAAGATTTTTGGGTTAGATCGCGTTATTTATAAATGTGTCGCCACCCTCCACCACCCGACACGGTCAATCAGTAAAAAATGTGTCACGTTGACAAAAGACAAATAAATTTTGATTTAAAGCTTTCGTGACTGCAGGGATTCATATTATTGGTTCTTTCGGTAAAGTCACGTAGAAGGGAAATAATATTAATATAAAACAATAAAAATTCTCACGACGTTTCGAATGCAACACAAGCAATCATCATCAGGTGTGAAATCCACAGAAATCCACAGATTTCACACCTGATGATGATTGCTTGTGTTGCAGTCGAAACGTCGTGAGAATTTTTATTGTTTCATATTTAAATTATTTTATTATTTCCCACCTACGTGATTTTATTATGTTTTATTTTTATTATTTTATTACTTCCCTTCTACGTGACTTTACCGAAAGAACCAAGAAGATGATGTAGCTTGTTTACACAGGAGAGTCTCACTGAGTCTCAAGACCCTCTCTTTCAGGAGGGTCCTGCCAATTTTTTCGCAGGAGGGGGCGATGCTGCTACTGTGTTTTGCCATTAAAGTGATTTTCGGGAACACATTTTTCAGCATTGGGATGTTTGGCCAATTTCCAGTAATATTGTACGTATGTTTTTTGCTGTAAGTAAATAGTGAAAAAATCAATCCCACAACCCCACAAATGACAAAATAACAAACATTTGGAGGATACACTAGGATCACTATTAATATTTACGCTTTTACGAGGCGCAACAGACTCAACAAAGGGCTTCAGAGCACCGTCGATGTCACTACGTAGGCCCCTTGCTGATATTCTCTGAAAATGCACCTCTGACGGCGGCTGACCTCCACTCTGTAACTATTGACTGACTCATCTCTCAGAGTTGGACTTTAACAAGAGGCAACTGCAGAATCAAAACACTTTATGGTTTCTTATTGTCAGCAGTGACCAGTGAGATCATCGGTGTCATACCTCGCTACCATTAGAACCTGGTTTTATCTCCGATACAGTAATCACCTGCGTATAGATTCCAGGGTATCAACACCGCTGGCTCAGTCCTCTAACAATGCAATATTGTCCCCCCCCCCCCCCCCTGAGTAAAGCAATCTCCTTCAAAACGAGACTAACACAAACCACTACAAGCACTGGATCTGTACTCACACATGGGTAAGAGGCTCACACGAATGGAGCCACCTTGTTGTGTTCTCAAAATACATTTTGTCCAAGAGCTACTATAATTACTTCGGACAAAGGTTGGACTCGAAATTATCTGTAAGAAGTCCCAGCAAGGACACTGCCGTGTTCCCATGGTCATGTGATGCACCGCGAATACGGAGCTACAAAAGAGCTCTCATCAAATCTCTGTGAAGACGAAACGATGAAGACGACTCACACTGACGTTCTTCAGACATTCTTCACAGGACTTGCCGCTCATGGTGTTACACACTGCGAAAGGAACAGAACAAATGTTATTTTACACGTTCATTATGACACATGGGGAAAGGTTCAGTTCGAGATATCGTACCGACTGGGTTCCCCCCCCCCACTCACTCCTCACCCCCATCCCATCCCACCATCTTTTTTTGTATCCCATCCAGTACCTGGGCCCACCACCCCCCTCTGGTTATCTCCACGTGTTTAGCTGGTCAACCGGATGTAGATGAATAAGATGCTTTACAGATTCAATGCAAAACCAGGTCACGGATTAGTCTGTTTGTCTACTGTAATGTATCAACAAAGATTTATTTAAAAGTCAGCGGGTTTGCGCAGGACACGTCGCTCGAAGGGGGAACATTGGCCGGTGGTCAAGGCTGACGTCAGAGAGACCGCCAAAGGAGGGATCGTGCCCAGCAGGGCATCCACCGTGGGAGATGGAGTGATGAATCGGCTCGTGTGCAGGTGCTAGATAATATTGCTACACTGCAGGAGACATGGCGGCACAGTTTGGGAGGCCTTCATCGGGCAGTGGATCATGGATCGATCACGGTTGGTGATTAGGCGAATGGAAAATGTCTGATGGTTTTTACGAGCTCGAGAAGTGGCAAACACAGGCTTGGCACGTAAATGTGCAAAGTACCATGAAGACCATTCAGAGATATTGACAAAAGTGAGTCATTCACTCATCGCACGAAAACCCAAATAGGGCACAAGTTCCGTTATCCATGACCATGCGAATTCCTGTTAACTCCTCGGCCCTATAAGAGGTCAAAGTGACTAAAGTAGCCATTACAATCCTTGCTATCTAACAGATAACACCACAGCAAAAACATACGCACATGACATTGAACTCCTGCTATTTGCAACTGGTAATATCGGTGAGGCCCAGACAAACTCCAATTCCCTCTGCTACCGACAGATTAGACTCCTCTTATCAGCGAATTTGCAGATAGGAGGAAGGTGATGTGATGAGCCACACACACAGGCGCTAAACCCAGCCTTATTGTCCACAGGTATGCACAGATAAGAGATGATATGATGGATAACTATGTGGATGATGAAGATAATCACGGCCATCGTCGTTGCCTTCATTAAATCATTGCCACCGCCACCATCAATGACGAACGCCAGTTATGAAGTTTAGGAAGCAATCGTAAATGTTTAATCGCCAGCGGTTGCTATTTACTTTACGTCGGTACTTGTTTTTGGTGCCAAACATAAAAGGGCACGTGGTTAGTATGGGTGTTGAGATTTTTATCGGTTACGGCCTTGACGTGTGTACGTATAAGCGCATGCAAAGTAATTGTGCAACGTGACTCTATAATCTTTCAACTCTTTACGAAGGCATCCTGAGTTAAATTACCGGCCATGGCTTATACCAGCGATGAGCGTTATCTGAACCGGTCTCTGGCCGCCCTTCACTGACTCGCACTGACCACCATGGTCAAACAGCCTCCCTGACCAGCTCGGTGTGGTGCGGGCAGGCCTTCATCCAGCAGTGGCTTGCCACAGGATGACTCGTGTATTGGCAACAGATATACAGTATTGCATAGTGGAGAATTACTAACTAATGCTGCACTTTAAATCACTTTGTCAATTCAGTGGCAGGTAAAGAACTTTTGGTCCATGGAGGTGTTTTGACCATACTTCACCATGCAGGTCAGTGCAGGATGGTGGAGGTACAGCCAACACCGGTTTAGATCGCTGGGAATCGGACTTAAGGTCGCCGGGTTCATAACAAATGGGCTGGCCAATGTGCCACCACTTAATGCAACACCTAAGTATGTCAAGATAAATTCACGTCCAGATATAATAAAATGCAAACACCGACATTTTTGTAAATTCCGATCTCTGACATGATCAGTGCCAGCTACGCTTCAGCAAGGTCACTCCTCCTGTACAGGGGCACACCACCACGTTCCCCGCTGTGCACACGTGGCTGAGCAAACGGAAAACAAATCTCACACATTACAAGAAACACCTACCCACAAATACCATGTGCAAACACCCACACAACCATTACCAAGAAGTAAAACCAGAACCAAGTTGGCAGACCGACTGCAGGTTCTGCCTTTGACATAGCATTTAACGTTTGAAAAACTGCCCCCATAATAGCCTGAGTAAATATTTCATCATAATTAATTGTGCGCTCCTAAAAAGGTAACCTGGGGTTCGATTTCTGGCTATGGCTAACCAGACTGGTAAGGAGTGGTCACGTCAACTCTCAGTGAACATTACGGCATGGGGAGGCCTTTATCCAGCAGTAGATTGCAAAAGACCGTGAATGTTTTTACTGCAACGTGAAGCACCGTAATTATCCGAGCATCGAAGCCACGTCATCTCCAGTAGGACTCATGTGGCCTCAACCTCATCCCATTGCCTCCTATAGAAGAACTCCTGATCCATGCGTTCTACAGTACACGCTGCAGCAATAGCAGTCTGTCGCAACGCCGGGTGGCTGCGGTCTGTGGCAACACTTCCATGAAGTCACCGACCCTGCTCACCGAACATACTTTAGCCCCACTGCGTCCATCCACAACCAATTCGGCAAGACAGGCACCTTTCATGCACATCACTCGCCACTGCTGTTAGCCGCGGCTGGGAATTGAGGTTTGGCCTCGTCCACCGATCTCCCCGCTCTAACGTTGTGTTGTTACGATCACAGTAAAATGATACATTCTCAGGCTGGGATTAAAACTGGGAACCGTTGCACTTCAACAGGGGGCATCTGCCACAGGCCGTAAGGCTAACTTTACATATAGAGTCATACTGTCATATATACAGCACTGGAGGTATGAGTAAAACTAAGTTTGTCCCGGTTAGATAATTCGGTTATTTAATCGAGCAACATTGCGATCAGCTAATTGGGATGGGATCTTGGTGTCGAGCGCTCCGATCCGAGGAATCGGCGTGGGATTTTGTGTCGTGAGTAACTTGGCAGTCGTAACAGGAATTCCATCCAATGAATGGGCAAACGTAACTTCATTAGGCATTAAACAGAAGCGCTTACACAACCTTAACGTTGTAAAAACCGGTCCGGCGAGCCCTCGTCAACGTTGACATGCGGGCAGTACACACTTGAAGGTGTTTTACACCGACGTGCCACAGTTGAGTGGCGTGCGCCAATGTTGAGCGTTGTTGTTGTCACCCACATTAATTGCTGCTTTTCACCATTTACAAGCACAGTGCTGCCACAGGGAGTATGTTGACGTCACACAGAGTAAATGGGGAATAGCCTCGCACCTTGCAGCCAAAGAATGTGGTTGTTGGGTCACCTGGGATGGGCATGAGTGAGGTAATAACGGAGCCATTAAAGAATGCAATTACTGGAACCTGTGTCCTGCAAGTGCCTCTGTGTAAGAACTAGCGAGTGAACAAGACGAGTTAAAGCGTTAAGAGGTACTGTAACTGTATGTCCCCATACACACATGAACTCATTTCGTTGATTTGACAAATTTTGTTGTTGTTTGTGCTTTTAGTTTTGGTTCAATCTTTAAATTATACATTTCTGATTTTGCTTGATAGTAGTAGGGGTTTGCACTTGCTTGGTGTGTACGTGTGTGTATTGGGGAGCGGTAGTGGAGCGGTCAGCGCACTGCGCTATGAACCCGGCGACCCGGGTTCGATTCCCACTCACAGCCAACACCGGTGACGATTATCTGAACCGGTCCTGGGCCTCCCATAGCTCGACTCAGCCTCAAATGAGTACCTGTTGCGATGTGAAAACATCGCCATTAGGGAGACAAAGGCGGCCGGGCGTGGTGTTGGCTACCCACCCCCTCGTGTGCTGTGCCGGCCTTCATAGGTACAAACAGCACTTGCCCCAACAGTCTGTTACAGGCTATAAGGGGATCTTTGTCTTGTTGGGCTACTTTCACGCTGCACGTAGCTAGCCGCGTTTATGGGATTTTGGTCCTTATCTATAATTAATGTACAGCGTTGGCAGATGCTGTTGGCATGAATGACGCTGCTATATAAAATTAAAGTATTGTTATTATGACTACTACTAACCTCTAGGTATCTTCACTGTTTTCCACTGTACAACCGAGCCGAGGCAGGGCGGGGGGGTCACAGCCGGCACCGTGTTCTCACCGTGTGGCCCTGCTTGGCCCCGAGCCAGATGCCGGCGTCTTGCGAGGCCAGGTGTCACAGTTTGGTTCTGACAAATAACCAGGGGGAAACCACCTGTACTGGGAGGGTCCATCGCTGGCTCAACTCGGATGTGCCGGTGAAAGAGCACTACTTTAGCCAAGGTTAGTAGACACTGGTATGAGATTTGTGTTTATTTTACCAGGTAAGGCCCACTGAGCTAAAGAGCGATTTTTCTGAAGGGACCTGGTCATCATAAATGATAGCTCAACAGAGTGGCTCATCAATTGGACATTTATAGCAGCCAAATAGTCTGAACGCGTGTCGATTCTAAATGTGGAGGGGAAAAACCGGAGGACCTGGAGAAAACCCACGTAACCACGGTGTGAGAGAGACACGCAAACTCCAAATATACAGGTGTCAGGGTCGGGATTGAACCTATGCACTCCTGCATTCCAGGTGAGGTAGTTAACATCTCACCACCGTGCATGACAGTGGTGTGGCTAGTACCATAATTTAACAAATTTGTCTTATAATGGCTGATGTTGATTTTAACAAAATTACAAATACACAGCACGTATAAAAGAAACGCTGTAATGTTCTTTAGTCAGCCAAAAAAAAGCCTCACTTAATATTAAGGCTAATTTTATCTCGGTTCTACATTCGACAATTCGACCGTTTCGGAGTAGCTGGGGGAAATCCCACACAAACAAGGGGATTGTCCCCAAATCTCTGCACGGATAAATAAAACAAATACACTGCTTTAACTGCCATCCCAGAACCAGATGGGCGTTAACTATAACCAACAACGTGCCGGTGTTGCCAAATTGCACACCACGTGGGAGCAATGCATACGGACAATTACAGAAATAAACGTTACAGAAGGGATCTTGTGCTAACCCCCTAAACCAGCGGTCGGG